ATATGAAATTGTAACGTTGGTAACTAAATTAATTGCTTAATTTATAAAATGTGTAATTCATACCGGAAACTGTGTGTAAGATAAAGGTTTGCTGATCTGCTGAATAAAACGAGATACGCCAGTTTGTGGTTTATATGACGCAATAGACCCTTTATATCCACAGATAATAATCAATTTACATGTGCAGAGAGCTAGCAACAATGTGGAGTAGTAGAATATCATGCTATCGATGTATGTATTCAGCACTTTGTAACGTCCCACTGCTGGGCACGGGTGTCCCTGCATACGAGGGGGATATCAAGCCATAGCCATATGCGTATCATGCTATAATCTATACTAATACTATAAAGAGGCAGAATTTGTTCGTTTCATCATATAATATATACATAGTCTATTCCATACTAACCGTTAAAACGTACCTAGAGACGAACACGAGCGAAGCGAGAATGAATCGCCAGTTTATCAATATTTGTATGTAAACAAATTATAAAATACTACTAAATAACGTATTGAAAACCTTACAGTAAAAAGTAGTAACAAAAATTCTAGAAACTATTAAGTTCCAGCACAATTTTTTTATCAAACTATTCGATGAGCAACCTTGACCAGTATGTCAACAATTTTATTGAAGTCGTATAAATTAAATAAATATCATAACATATTTGTCAGTTTTCATATTCACCTCATTTCATAACGTTAGATAAAATCGATTACTATAAGATTGTACATCAGCAGGAACAAACGTCTCTAAGGTCACCAGCGTAGGGGATTCAATAGGACGATCTCTACCGTATTTGACAAACTTTTTTGCTGTCTCTATCAGTGACGTACAAAGCGATGTGGGCGTTCCCTAATACGATATCAATTTCGTAGGATAACATTTTTAACCGATATTCAGACCAAAAGTAAATTAGACGAACCTATTAGCTAAGTTTGTATTTTATTAATCTCATTGTAATTTCATTTACACAAGCTATAGGTCTTCTTAGAAATTTCTAGTGCTTAGCCGCGGTGCTTGTAAACGTAGCACGGGATCGATAACAACGATCAACTGCTTGCTATACGTGAGAGAACTAAGCCCTACAACGCAGTTATCTATTAATTGAGTTCAGAAATGTTAATTATCCTAGTCAGTAACTTGAGGTAGATTTTATTAATTCTAGATACAATTAGACTGGTATAATTACCTAACAAGAACATAAAAACAATGAACTTTAACTGTTAGTGATTGAATTTAAAAATTATATGCGGTATTGAAGAAATAAATAATGTTTGGAAGATATACACCACTAGCGACACACCCTCACTTTGCTCGGGTTCTTTCCTAGGTACCTACGTTTTAATGGTTAGTATGGAATAGATAGCCTATATTATGATTTAAAGCCTATTAAGCCTTCCTCAATAAACAGGCTATCTAATGCAAAAAGATTTTTTCAAATCGGATAAGTAGTTCCCGAGATTAGCGCGTTCAATCAAACTCTTAATATTATTAGCATAGATATATACTTTTTTAATGTTTGATATTGAAACTTTTTTAATCTATGAGGTATAAAGAAGTCATTATTACTTAACTAATTTTAAAATATCTCTAACTTGATTTCAGTATTTTAGAATGAACTCATACTCACAATCAGTGGAACGAATGTGTAAATTGAAGGGGCGACAGTTATTCTAAACGACTTGACGTGTGAAAGGTAAACCACTAACCAGTCAAGTCATCAAGGGCAAATGAAATTAAAAAAAAAGCGATACGTAACAGCTATTTGTAAATTCGTACAGAATTTTAATTTGTACTATATCTGAAAATATGTAGATTTTTTTTTTAATTAATGTCGCGTAGGCGTGACAGATATAGTTAGTTATGTTTATCAAATGTCATAAGCGCATACATCTTTATCCATACAACTGGTTGGAAACAGTCCAAATTGTACGTTTAAATAGATTATTAAAAATATCATTAGTAATGTAATAGATGTGAAAGTGAAGTTGTTTGTTTGTATCTTTATTATATCCCTTGCTGACTCAACCAAACATAATGAACTTCTGCACGCACTAGACTATGAAGCAATTGCTTGTCTAAATAGTTAGGATATCTCAAAATATATATACCCATATACTACACTTATATAATACTTTCTCATATATATTTGATACTGGGCGAATCATGGGCGGGTCGCTAGTTCAAATTTAATTATAAATAACGTAATACTTTCTTAGATTTATGCGAATGTTTGACATATTAAATAAAACTTTCTTTTTTTATCTGGCGAGCTTCTCTCCCGTGACAATGATAGCTGTAAAACATTCGAAACGTCGAGAATAAAAAATCTAAATAAATCCGCGGAAGTCCGAAAAGGTACTTGTGTTACTAACGGGCAATGTCTAGACAAGTACGATTATATTGGGCCTTTTTTGACTTAAGTTATTATAGTTGCCATGGAAGGCGGTGAACACTTGCGTAATATGATTCTTGGCGCAGGCTTCATTCTCCAATACAAGGATTTCGGAAATAAGGCGTCTAATCCATCACCTTGATCTAAAGAAAAAGCGCCCGCAGCTTTGACTGCGCGTACTTACTTCTTTTTATTACATTTATATATTTTCAAGAAATTGTTTTACATAAAATATTACATAAAAATCTAATAATACTAATGCTAAAATTGTTTGAGAGTATAAGTATATTTTTGTATGTTTATTAAATATGTATTATATCTGTAAGTTTGAAATGTAATATTATGTATTAACAAGCTACTTTGTATTGGCCTACTAAGAAGTTTATAAAGTGTTTCCAAAAGGACAAAAAGTCACTTTAATTTTATTTTATACTAGCATTGCCCGCGGCTCCGCCCGCGTTCAGATGACCAAAAACTAAATTCTTAGGTGTTACATATTAGTATACTCTTACATTGCAGTTTTTGTATTTTTCCTCAGAAATAAGATATTTTCCCGCGGTAAAAAATATCCTAGGATCGCGCGCTACATCGCCCGGTTTATATAGCTTGAGCAGGCGGTCGAGCGATGCGGGGCAGAGGGGATGGACTCGCCGTAGGCATCTCAATGCTCGCCAAGCATTAAAAATGTTTCGCTACTAATTACTTCTAACAACGATATCTCAAAAACTATTCATCTGATTGATTTAGTGTAAAGAGCAATTTTAATCTGCATTAAATGACTAAGCTAACTAAAATATTCATTTGGATAAGGATTAATACCGAACTAAAGAAAATAACTTTGAAAATAACGTAATGTTTTTAATTAAAAATGTTAACATAAAAGTGGTTATTGTAAGTCAACCGTAAGAGATAGAGATATGCTATCGCGGACTTTTTTGTAGCATTTTTATAGATTTTGAATTCTCTAGTACATTACTTAACTGTATCTTTGCTAGTTTACGCGGCGTTCGCGTGGAAAGTTCCCATTTGGCGAGATTTTTTGCGACCTCTTCAACATTTGTCGCCGTATTTCAGCTAATTTACATAAAAGCATAATAAATTATATACCTAAACCTTCCTCAAGAATTACTCTTTCTATTGTTGAAAACCGTATAAAAATCCGTTCAGTAGTTTTCGAGTTTATCGCGTACAGACAGACAGGAGGACAGACAGGAGGACAGAAAGACGCGGCCGGGGGACTTATTTTTATAATAAGTATAGATAGATACCTACTTATTAATATAAATATCTATCTTTTTACGAAAATTGCGCGGACAGTGGAGTATGAAATTTCCCACACTTATAGTTTACTAGCATTGCCCGCGGCTCCGCCCGCGTTCAAATGACCAATAACCGAATTCTTAGGTTTTACATATGAGTATACTCTTCCATTGCAGTTTTTGTATTTTTTCTCAAAATTGAGATATTTTCCCGCGGTAAAAAGTATCCTATATCTGATTCGGCCTCTGTATCGATAATAATGTTTATTTGAATAAGATTATTATTTATTTGAATAATATTTAAAACCTAAGAATTTGGTTTTTGGTCATCTGATCGCGGTCGGAACCGCGGGCAATGCTGGTTTATAATAATAAAAGCTAAAATTAAATAAATAATATTATGTATTGCTATATTTAATTGCAATAATTATTAAAAAAATCTAATTTTTAAAAAATTAAAATAAATCCGTGAAATAATCCGAAAAGATAGTTTTATTTAAAATATTAAATTATTCGCATAAATCTAAGAAAGTACTATATGAAAATTAATATAGTGAGTAGTACGAGTATAGACTGGAATTAACACATTAAAGCAATCATTAATGTGTGTACTAAATCATGTATGTTATAAAATCAATATTTATAATTATGTAAGCAAGTACATAACACCGTAGATACGTCATGGTTTACTTATATGACGTGTGGGGGACGCTTCTCATACACATGTAATAAAACTCAAGACCCTAAACTAGATTATTATAATAGGCTGTACAAAAAACTCTCAAAAATCAATTATGAATAAACGACCATTACGAATATTTAAGATATTATCGAAATGAGATTGAGATACCATAAATTTAAATGTGTATTAAAGTATTAATAATGTGTGCAAGCTTTTTATCTCAATATATTATGTTATTGCTAATTATGATGTGAATATTAAATATTTTCCATATACATTTCAATTTACAGAATTATTTATTTAATTAGTTTTTAATAATACTAGACATTTACAAACAGTAGTTTTGGTTGCTTACGTTTCGAATTTCGATGTCATTCATGAATAGAAGGTGCAAAATTAATTTAATACTTTACTTAAAACTTGAATGAACTAATGAAAAAAGAATAATAATAATACTTCTATTTTCATCTCCGACCAGGAGAACCCCAAAATTACTTCATTTTGTTCGCTTTCCTCAAAAGCAAGACATTCTAACAAAATGAGAATGAACGAGACTCGAGTCGCGGACACGACGCTTCCGAGCACTTTCGCCGGGACTCGGCGTCCCTCGTTCGCCTTCGCTCCCCAGCTGACTGTGCGAGTGAGACGGCCCACTAATTGCCACGCATGCGGAAAAGGGACGGCGAGCCGCGCAACTCCAACCGCCGCCATTTATTTCTTTCCAGTGCTCGACTCGGTCGTAGTGACAGCGCTTTGTAATATCGCGAGAGCGATCTTTTTTTATGTGAAAATTGTATATTAAGTTTCGTATATATTATATATTAGTTTATCAGTGTGTGCCGATTGGGAGCATCTACCATGTAATAATATGTGTGTAGTGAATGTGACGTGGTTACAACGCTAGTATGTCTGGCGTTTTCACATCTGTTGTCAACAAGAAATAACGTGGATTATGCAAGGTGGAATGATATATGGACAAGTGTTAGGTAAATTATTTTATACCTTGTATCTTCTAAATACATTTTATGAACACGTCTAACATTTTATATATGAAAGTGAAACAAACAAAAGATGGATTAAGGATAGTCAGCCCGGACAGATACAAAGCAGCCACGAGAGAAGTTACAATAATTACTATGGTAGGAAAAACACATTAGTCTCGAGCGGTTTATTTATTAACAGTTACAACAAAATATACAAACGATTATTCTAGAAATGTAATGAATTACTAAAGGCGCTCAAAAGTTATTATACGAGTTCTCAGTAATTGTTTAAGTAATTACAAATGAGAATTTATTTGTGTAAAACGTCGGTGAATAACAGCGAGGTAATATGTGTGAAGAAACATTTATACCTAATATAAATGAGACACAAAATACTTATAAATGGGCAACAAGTATTATAAAGTTATTGTATAATCTATCAGCTGTAAAGTACAGTAACGGAATGCATTGACCTTACTATCACTTAAGAAAATAGAGCACTTTTTGTATGTATTAAATTATATTGTTATATTAATAATTAATAAATGGTTATAAAATATAACATTTAAGTTTATCGATCTCGCATAATTTACTTGAATTATACGTGTTTTGATAAAAATACATCGAGTATAGTATCCAAACTAGTTTTGAGCCAGTACAAAGTGATCAAGAATAATATTTATAACGTTATTGACCTACAAATAGAAATTAAAATACAATGTGCATTATCTGATGCTATCCAAGGTTTACTTATTACACAAATATTTAAAGTTAGTAAGAAAATGTTTACAAATAGAATAATTTTTACAATATTACATAATAAAAAAATGTCTCATATATTTTAAATTGTTTTAGTCAAATTCTTCTCTATGAGATTATGTGCATGTATAAAAAAGTGCCTCATTAAACTCTTGTTAAAATAAAACAATAAGAGCTTGATTTTAAAATTTAAAGTTAACAAATTATGAATGTTTTAACAAAGTCGACCTGTAAACTTAAATAATGTTTCAATTTCTGAGTGAATTAAGTTATCTTTGTTTTTCTCTTTCCAGTCAGTAAGACTATGAGGGTTGTAAAATAATGCAGTGGCTGCACAAAATATTGACGCTGGCAATAATTTGCGCAGCTGTGGAGGCGGAGGAGTGTCCTTCTACTTGCGTATTATGCACATCAACGAAATTGGGGTGCTCTGGCACTAGGATCCCTGATAATAAGCTGTCTAGAACCGCCATTTATAACTATGGGCCCCAGCTCCAAGAGATAACTTGGACGAGTTCAAATATAAGCGCCATAGAAATTGACGTTTTTGACGGTCTACAAAATATTGAATACATCGATCTAAGTAGAAACGAAATCAAGAGAACTGAACACGGACTATTCGCGAGACTGAGTCGTTTAAAATATTTAAACCTATCCAGAAACCATATAGACGACATTCGTAGATTCACTTTCGTAGATTTAGAAAACTTAGAAGTTCTAGATGTGTCCAACAATAGACTTCAAGCGGTACCATTCCAGGTCTTCGGGCCGATGATAAGATTGCAGTATTTGGATATATCTCATAATAAAATTGCTACTTTCTTAGATTACTATTTTAAGCCCAATCGTCAACTAAAAACTCTGTTCCTAAACAATAATAGCCTAGTCAAAATTACATCTAATGCTCTAGTCAATCTAAAGGAATTGGAGACGCTCGATATTTCCAGCAACAAGTTGGACTATATTCCTAAAGCTTTATTCGATAATTTAGAACAACTGAGGGAACTCGATATTAGTTACAACAATTTTCAAAACATATCACAAGATTCTTTTAAGAATCTCAATAAATTAAAAACTCTTAATATGGGCGCAAATAGACTGAAAATGTTGCCCGCAATGCTCTTCCAACATAACGAAAATTTGATAACGCTCTACCTCGATCACACTGAAGTTACTGTTTTACAGAACACTAATTTTAAAGGATTACACAATCTGCAACGTCTGTATATTAGAAACAACCAATTGTTACGTGAAATAGAGGCATTTGTGTTACAAGATACGCCGTCTTTGACTCATCTGGATATAAGTGCGAATGCTCTAACGTTCCTTCCGCTATCTTTAAAGATGCTAGATAAATTACAAGAGTTAAGAATAGGTAACAACCCGTGGGCGTGCGACTGTCGCATGGCGTGGTTTGTGAATTGGGTGGAAAGAAGGAAAGACGACATCGTTAAGTCGGACTTGAGTTGTAGACTAGCATATCCGAATGACATGCTGACGGTTTTAAATAATACTGATTGTGAACCGCCAACTCTCATCGAAAGTAGCCCATTAACGTTGCATAGATTACGAACGGATGCGTTGTTGGAATGCAAGTTTGCTGGCAATCCGGCGCCTTCTATCACATGGATAACTCCTACGAGGGAAGTGTACCATTGGAACCCAGAACCCTCGCTACCGGATATATTTTATAAGCACGGTGTCGCCCATGATCAGTATTATCGCCCCATAGATTACAGTAAATCGAGAGTGAAATTAAAAGATGGGTCATTATTCATAGAAGATATTCACCGAGAGGACAGTGGCACCTACATATGCTTTGCGTCAAATCCTTCGGCTAACCTCACCGTGGAAGTTGTTCTAAACATAGATCCTATGACTATGTTTGAAATAAAAATGTACAGTTTGTTATGTGGAGCTATATGTGCGGCGAGTTTTCTGGGCCTCACTTTACTTGTGCAAGCTATGCGATACATATTCCACAAGTCAGTGTCAATTTTTTATAAAAATAATCGTTAAATTTTTTATAAATATAGTTTTTATAATGTTTTTTTTTTCTTTTTAGATTTCGTATACTGGAAACTTGCTGCAGTTGTTGTACTTGTGTCAATCGCGATGCGCCTCGTACACGGCAGATATACAGCATGTTGGACAACATCGAACAATATAAAAGGCAACAATTGGAAAAACTTAGAGAAAATTATGCAGTCCAAGTAAGTAATTATAAATTAAAAATAAATAAATATCTGTAATTTAAGAATCTGTTGCAATTATTGCTATTTGTTAATAGGTTCATCGTATCAAAGAGAACTGCACTCAGCAAATGGAGTGGATTCAAAGTAGCTACTCGAGTCAAGCGGCTCATCTACGCAACATCAGAGACATCGGCACTAACCATTTGACAGCTATGAAAGATCAATATTATGATCAGGTATAAATAGTTGTATTAAATATTTTAAATTTTATAAGTTTTATAATATATAATATTATCATGGCCAATAAATTGCGATGGTAAAAGAAATAACATTAAAATTTATTATCGTTGTTGACGCAGGTGAAACGTGTCCGTGAATACTCGACGTCACAGCTGAATTGGGTGCGAGAGAACTATGTATTTCAACGGAATAAAATAAGAAAATTCAGCGCGCACCAAATACTACGGTTGCGCGAGTCGTACAAATACCAGCAACAAACACTGAACAAAGTTCTAGAAAATTTACCAAGCTTATACTTCGAAAACTGTCGTAGCGGATCGTGCGGACAGAGCGACTCTATGGCGTTCGACCCAGACGTCGAAGTAATAGACATGTATTTGAAAACCAAAATTGAGAAGCTGGCCCAGCTACCGAATCCTATATTCGACGATGACAGTAAAATATCGGTATACTACACGCCGACGGAGAGGTCTGTGAATTCGCGTCGCAACTCGCCTATCAACATTCCCGACGGGATCCACATAAACATGATAGAGAGGAGCGGGCCCCCGCGGCTGATGGCGATGATAAAGCCACTACAGCCAGCGCCGCCACCCAGCGAGGCGCCCACGCCCTCGGGGTCGCAATCGCCCTCGCGGATCGGGCACTGCAGCAAGCGGTACAGGGAAGAGGCCAAGCCATCCAGCCAACCCTTGCTCGGCCACCGGGACGTGTTGCGGGACAGGAGGAACTTGTCAGCGAGCATCAGCTCGCCTGAGTTGTGCCGGGACGTGGAGCGCGAGGGCGCGAGCGGTGACACGGAAGCCCGACATAAAAACCGTGTGCTGCTCGCGGTGGAGCTGGCGCAGCCCGAGTGCCAGGTGCGCCACGCCGCGGGGCAGCTGGTGTGCGGGGAGTGCGCGAGACTGTGCGAGAACACGCCCTTGTAGTACAGGCTTTTGACGCGTGTGTTCAAAATATACGCTCTGGGCCCGCGCCCAGACGTCGACATACGCCTCTGTGATTACACTGAATCCCCATCCTATGTGTGAATAGAGCACATGACTTTCATAATCATTAAATTATTATGCATAGGACATTAACGACATCGTCGCTTGCTAATGTCTTAAATTTTAGGAACTATTGTAACACTTTTCTCGTTAACTTAAAATTATTTTTGTAATTTAAAAAGTGAACATAAACTAAGTCATGTGCCCTGCACAGTATCTTGCCCGTGCTCTCGGTCGAGTGTAGTACTTTTAAGTAAGCTGTGATAGTCTAGATTGAACGCAATAGCGGTTTCGTTTCTCCTAGTGGTAGGTTAAGTAGTGGCGTTTAGTCTGTAAATACGTCTGTTCGTTTAAATCATTTTCCATTTTGATGTATTTTTAGGGTAACTTAGAACGTTATGCATTTTATATTTGTTCGACTTAAGTAGTTTAAAGCGAGGTGTAAGGTTGTTACTGTCATTGTTGTAATCGTTCGTACTGCTCTGGTGTATCGTAGTCTGTCCATCGAACTCCGCTCCTGCGCGGTCTCGCGGCGGGCGCGAGGACGCGCGGGGAACTTTACTATTTATACTATATTTATATTTTGTGACCGTCGTATCGAAGTCTTGCAGTGATATGCCAAATACTACATGCAACAATGATTATATTGTATAACGTTTCTTAATATAAAATATACAATTATTGTTGAAAATTTTCTAAATATTATAAACGAGATAAGCAAATCATGAAGAATAAATTATTTTTCAATGTATTTTTTCGTTTGATTTATTAACAAAAAATTAAGACAACATTTTTACTAAAAAAATATCAGAATAAGTTTTTTATTAATTTAAAAAAAAATTAGTAGATTTAAAACGTTCAGACTAACTCAAATTAAAAAAAAAGTTATAAACTAAAATAATTTAAAAAAATTGTGCCTTATAATATAACTATCCAATTCCATCCACGAATAAATAAAACACCCAGAACTTTGCCAAGACTTTATTTGTTCAAAAAATTTCACGTAACATTGTTATTTGATTACTCTCCGATGAGCGCCGCAAAAGATATATATTAATACGTAGAATAAATATAACTTAGATCAGATAAAATAATTGCTTTACCTTAATATACTAATATTAACCTGATTTTATATAAGTAAATGAAGTGTTTTTTGCACCCTATCGCTTCGCTAAAGTTGTAAGATAATTATAAAATTAATTTTAATAATACTTTCTTAGATTTACGCGAATCTCGTTTCGGATTTTTTCGCGGACTTATTTTAATTTTTGGTTTAAAATAAATCTGCGAAAAAAAAACCGAAAATATAGTTTTAATTAATTATAGTGTATAGACAAATCATAAACTTTCTATTGTACAAATGATGAAGGCCTAAATCTAATATCTTAATTCCGTAGTCCATTGATGTATGTATCAGTTTCTAGCGTAGATTGTAGTTATGAAATATAAAACCGCAAAGTATCACGAAGTCTGGCTATACCCTGGTATCGAATAACCTTTTTTTATTTAAAATCATTTATATTATTACATATATATTTTATGTAAACACTGCAGAAAGAATTATTTCAATATAACTGGTTCTACATTTTGACGCATGTATGTTTGAAACGATTAACGACGAACTATCTAAAGCTTTTTTTAAATGAATGGACGCCAGTTAAATTTCTGTGTGTATAAATTTTTTGGGGGAAAATATCTTTGTGATCGCAATCACGAAGATATTATTCCGAAGGTTCTCTTTCTTAAAAATCGTCAAATCACGACATCGCTTTTGTTACTTTTTATCAATTTGTAAACGTTTATATAAGCCCAAAATGAAATAGAAACTTTGTATTAAAAATATGCTAACTAAATTGAGATATAAAAAAATTGCTATCTAAAAATTTTCATAATATAGTGTTGTAAAACGCATGAACATCAGAATATATATTAGTAAAAATTAGCAAATACTTGAAAAGGAAAATTCACAATAAATATCACGGCATTAAGTACGTTAAAAATTTTTTAGAATAATATTGCAAAATTTTGATTAGCATTAAAATATTAACGAAATAATAACGTCACTACAATAAAATATATACGTTATTATAAATAAGAGTCTCTGAGCTGAGCTGTGGACGGACGGACATAGCGAAACTATAAGGGTTCCTTGTTGACTACGGAACCCTAAAAATAGATTAAGATAATATTAAGAAACAATAATTTTTCAATTGAAACAAAATTAAATATTGGCTTAATTATATGTATGATCTTTTCAAACATTTCTCATTTGATTGGAAAAATATTATCATCTAACAAAATATTTACACTGTCAATATCAATATTCTACTAGATAACCTGCTAATATTGTCTCATAAAACAACATTATAATACAATATATTATAGCAGTCAGTACCGAGTCATGTTTAATTGATAAATAGCATTCATGAGCAATAACTTATTCATTTGCAATATAATTATTTTAAAACCAAATATGTTACTAAATTTAAAAATTCATGGATTTTTTTTGAGTTTTAATGATATTATATATTTAACTTTATCAATTAACAGAAAACATAAAATATGAATAATTATAAATTTATGTTTTTATTTTGTTTTTAAATTCGAGGCAACTCAATTTTTTTTTTTGGTTAAAAATATAATTCTCAATCATATAACAAGTTACCATAATAATGATAAAAAAAAGTTCGTCTTAGCACAATTTATTTGATATGGCAACACATAGTTAATAGTCTTCAAAGTCCAAGACTGTGGAATCAGTATAAACTTTCGATACGTATAAGTGATAAATTAAAAAAAACGTACCTAGCAAAACATAAATTGATCGAAGATGGCCATTCGTGATTTATATTTCAGATTACAAGATACCACGCCATGTTGAATCAACTATATCATACCGTATATATTAGAAACCATTCTCATTAATCTCATAGTAAGAACGTCAACAAAAAACGTAAAATCACCAATAAAAAAAGACCTTTTCTAATCGTCCTCCATCTTACAGAAGTATGACGAACTAGACATCCTAAAAGAACCTAGATCATAAAAAACCATCATTCAAGTTAAAACAGACAAACCCTTATCCCCTGTATTTATTTATACATATATGGATATTTGTGCCTGGATAAAGAAAAGAATACATATTATTACATGGTCATCAAGTAACAAATCCACTTACCTTAGCCCCTGTGCGGTTCCACACGACCACTTTGTGTCCGGAGTTGAGCAGATTCTTGACTATGCCACTGCCCATGATGCCGAGCCCGAGGAACCCAAACTTCATCTGGCTGGCCTTGATGTTCTTTTCTAGCAGCGTTTCTGACACATTCTCCAAGTCTAATGGGGGTGTCTCCTAGAAATTATTTGGTTAGTAATATCATATCCAGTAGTTGGACTTGTTTATGGTATCTTAATATTTATTATGAAATATTTTTTTAAAAATCAATCTATACTAATATTATAAACAGGCAAAGTTTGTTTGTTTAAACGCGCTAATCTCAAGAACTACTAAGCAGTTTTGAAAAATTAATTTTGCACTAGCGACTCACTCTCGCTTCGCTCGGGTTCGTCCCTAGCTTGCTTCCCAATACAAACTTTCTTCCCCATTTTCACCCCTTTTAGGGATGATTTCCGGGACAAAAAGTACCGTTGTAAGTAAGTACAAAAGTCCTTCCCAGGGTCTCAAACTATCTTGTTACCATATTTCATTAAAATCGGTTACATCCAGAGATTACCTTTGCCTCTTTATAATATTAGTATAGATTAGATAGCCCGTTTATTTAGGAAGACTATAAATCATATTATATATATATATATATATATATATATATATATATATATATATATATATATATATATATATATTCCATACTAACCACTAAAACGTACCTACGAGAGGAACTCGACGAAGCGAGGGCGAGTCACCAGTAATGTAAAAATATAAATCGCTGTTATTAAAAGAAACCGCAAAAGATTCATATAAAATGTAATATAAAAAAAAAAAAGAATTGATATGGTAATGGAATATAAAATAGTCTATGAGACTTAAAAACCATCATTATCGACCAACTTCTACTACCTTATGTAATTAGTGTTGTCATCATAAAACATATCAAAACAAAAATCCAATTCATTCACCATTCAATATTTTATACAATGTAATTTTTTTTAAGCATGTTGTCTTTTTGACAGACTCGGTGTGTTTTTGTTTATCTTACTATGTTTATTGTAAATTGATTTTAATATTATATATAATTTTTATTGAATTTAATTAGTTAAGGGACGGTTCTAAAGAAAAAAATGTTTTAGAGAAATTTTAAAGTGGATTAACTTTTAATAAATAAATATTATTTTAAAAAACAATAATGAAATAAATATTTATTAACTTACAGGTCTAAGAATGTTGGAGGGGCGATGCAACAAGCTGGACTTCTTCGAGAAGGAGTGATTCAGCATGGAAGGCTTCTCATTCGCCATGTCGCTATCTGTGAAGGAACGCGAGATGCTCTTGGCCTTCTTGCGCGGCGTGGGCTTGCCGGCGGACGACGACCGCTTCAGGGGCTTCACCTTTGAAATTCCCAAACGTATCTATAAATATTGAGAGTTTTGTAATAATTAATGTTATTCTATTCTATTCTTAGGTGATAAGATCTACCATAATTTATAATGTATATATAAACCTAAAATATATTTTATTCAAATAGGCCTAGATGGAGAATGTACTTGCACTTAATCGTTTTTACATTTGTTAATGTAAATACAAAAGTACCATAGTCTTTCTATATATTTTATATAATATAAGAATAAAACCCATGTCATAATATGAGCAGACCAGACACACAAAGACGTCAAAATGGTTACACCCACTGTTTTCCGTCGGTGTAAAAAAAAAATTAATTTACATTGTGTAGTTGTTTTGTTAAATTTTCCTGCATATCCCATTCTTAATTTACATATAATAAAAAGATTAAAGTAAGAACATACAATTTATACTTTTAAAGAGTATAGAATACAATTTTATTTTATAATCCCATTATTAATGTTATAAATGCGAAAATTTGTATGGATGAATGTTTGTTACTCAATCACGCCAGAACGGTACCTGGATAAAAAATCGCACAGAGATAGATTATAATATATAATCTGCAATAGCACATAGGTTACTTCATATCCCAGAAAAATGTACGGTTCCCATGGGATATATTTGTTTTTGTTTTACAGTTTTTCTATTGCATACTAATCGTTGAAACGTACCGTCATTTATATTTCGATGAGACCTACAGCAAGTTAGATTACAATCACAAGTCGATGGCAGGCGCAACCATATATTAGACAATCTCCTTTTTTTTGAAGTTGGTTAAAAACGCATCGCAATATTAGAGATCGTTGATGAGAACCTAAACGTTAAAATACAATAATGATAAATTAAAGGCAAATAGTATTGTCAAGTGTCCATACAAGCAGTTATGAGACCTAAATACCTTAAACTTAATAGATGTTAAAACTGAAAACGTGATTTGACCTTTATCCTCTCGTAAGTAAAGTATAGGCCTCCATACTCTATCTCCATTTCTCTCTTTCATCCGCTACATCATGTTTGCTAAATTAAATTATTATTTATATATCTTTACATAGTTTAAAATGAAGTCGCTTCCGTTGTCTGTTCGCTTATATCTTTTAAACTACTCAACGGATTTTAATGCAGTTTTCAGCAATAGATGGAGTGATTCAAGAGGAAGGTCTATAATCTATATGTATAATACAAGCATATTATAGTACAGAAAAGCCGAGAAATTCAAAGACTTGTATTGTACCTAGGGACGACCCCAAGCGAAGCGAGGGTGAGTCACTAGTTATCTATAAACAACAACAAATTGAAACCCACCCTCGCATCACTCGCTCAGTACTACCTGATATAAAATTAGGTTCTTTGTATCCACGTTAAGAGTTTTATAAGTTACTAGTGACTCGTTCTCTCCTGTACGGCCCACGCGTTGAGTAACTTTATCCATTATATTTATATCCTAAAAATAACCCCGTTGGTCTGGGTGATGGCTAACAAGTACGAATGAAGATCCAAAGGTCCTGAATTCAAGTCCTCGGTTCGGTTTTTCTGTTAAGAAATTCTCTGTAGCAGAACCACAATATTTCTTGTGCATGCGATAAGTCGAGTCTTAATGAGAATGGGCGTCTTGACCGAAATCAGCCAGAAGTATATTATTACTATATCCTAAACGAAACTTTTTATATAACACGATAAAAAGGAACATAATATGTCGCTTTCCGACGACACATTTGGCTCAGTTTGTAGTGACCCTACTTGCTGTGCCAGCGTTCGCGGGTTCGAGTCCCGCTGGGGGCATTCATTTGCGTGATGAGCACGAATGTTTGAACTTCAGTCAAGGGTGTTTATATTTATAATATGTATCGAAGCAGCATTAATTTTCTCTATTATTTTCCATTATTTTATCATGAATTATACAGTGGGCGTTATATGGGAAGTATTGGTTCAAATGAAAGTCGATGCAATCACAGTTGTATTTCAAATTAACAATAATCACTTTGTACATAGTTAAACAGCACTTCACTACACAACCATATACCACTTCACTATTACCACGTATAGACAATACGGAACGCAAGACAGTTCCTAGTGGAGCGGTCCTAAGCTTGGCTCGGCTCGAAGGCAAGTGTCCAGCCCTCTTAGCACCCTCCCTTAGCTAGGCTCCGTCGTAGCACGAAGCTCGCCGAGTGTTGGCGATAATACCGAAGGTGCTGCCATTACTCAGGCGTCGTGCCGCGCTTCGTTTAGCGACCGTATTGATGACCGTCTACGACACGGCCATCCTGCGTGCACACGCCCTCGTGTGTTAGCCGTGTGTTAGCCTGCAACCAAATAAACAACGAAAATACTTGCTCGACTCGGTCAATCCTGACCAGATAAAACTTAACTTTGAATCTGAATCATCTTTATTCTAACGAAAAGCTTTAACGCTAACACCTTTGTTTTTTTTTTTTATACTCCAAGTCACTGTAACTATCTCTAATCTAACTAATAACATTAGTCATCCAGAGCCATGTACCAACATCATTCAACACTTCAGCAATCAAACTAATTTTCAAATTTACTAGCACCTTTGTAAACCACTCTTAGGCCACGGCTTTACAAGCCAACCAGCAATCACAATTGCTCCACAATCCAGGTGCATCCACTACGGGATCACCGTATGTATCATCCTCTCGATGACTACACACTATGGTCATAACATACCCCGACCTCCGCCAGAACTAAACGCACATCACACACCCACGGTCTATTTAGTTTGAGCTTCCTCAAAAGACCGACTTTTACTAGGCTATGACTACGTAATAGTTACTAGTACGGTCGACACTACTACGGCCGTCAGAATGCTTACATCGGTTTCCATCGACTTCATTAAAACATTTGCTTGGCATGATGATCATTATTTACATCAACCTCTATTGGTACATGACCTACTAGAATTTTTGTGTAAAGAATTTATAGCCGTCATGTTTATAGAAAACCTTTCAATATCTCATGTTCTATCATGATACCATTTTGTAACTAATAATTAGGCAAAACATAATATTTCAAAAGATTTCAAGAGAATGACCGTTAATCGTTACAAAACAAATTTTACTCTGTGCGGAATATTCCGGTTTGATCAATACTAGAAATTGCAAGGACAAAATCGTTAACCACACAATTTGACTGCTAAATGTTATCTTACTAACGAATATTCAGCACCATCATTATAACAAAGGCAATACAGATTACCTCTATGCCATTGAGCATTCGAAGATGGTTGTACAACACATACATCCACGCGTCGTTCCGTTCGTGTTGCACCCAAATTGCTGCCGTCCACTTGACTGGCACTACTTATGCACCGGAGCGTGATGTGACCAGGCTTGCCACATTTGAAGCACACCAGAGACTTCACTGCAGGCTGCAATGCCGTTGCTGTCATCGAAGGTCGTTCCACACTGTCATTTACCTTGTTTCTACACTATGACCGCTTATGACTCACTTTTCTGCACTTATAACATTTTAACATTAGCTTGGCTCGTTTAGCATCAGGCACTTTTAAAAATTATCAGATAAACTAGCTTTGCGTTTCAAATGTGAGAATGCGTGCAATCCCTGCTGCAGTCGATCTCGCGAAGCAATTTTCGTAGTAAAGGCCAATCGTTGTAATTTCGAATTAAACTAACATAAGTGAGCAAGGACAGTCGCAATTGCTATCTGATTCTTGCTAGCGTCTTTCCAACGATTAGTCAATGACGTCATCAGGCGATTTGCGTACGTAACGAGTTTCTTTTTTCATTTGGTTTGTCACTGTTAAAATTAATTAGCGTACCAGCCAATGTCTTGGTGGAAATAAATCTCGCCTTGAAAATCACCTTGAACTCTTCCTATGTTATTCTCTGGTATACAAATTGTGACAGCCACGTCGTAAGTCTTTTTAATTCCTTACTGACTGTTAAAATAAGCTAGCCGCCGTATGGAGGGTATTCGGCAAAACACAAATCTACAGTCGCAAATCAAGATCTTGCGTCCGTATCCATATTGTCAGGGTCAAACTCACGTAACTTGACGTTCTTCTTCATCTGAGGCATTTGCAAGGCCTCGATAAGAGATCACATAATGACATTTTGTTGTTCAAACATAGCACGTCATTGTTCACTCAGAGTTAGTTCTTTTTGCAATTGAACCAACACTGATCCCACTTCTGATATCGAAGCAGCATTAATTTTCTCTATTATTTTCCATTATTTTATCATGAATTATACAGTGGGCGTTATATGGGAAGTGTTGGTTCAAATGAAAGTCGATGCAATCACAGTTGTATTTCAAATTAACAATAATCACTTTGTACATAGTTAAACAGCACTTCACTACACAACCATATACCACTTCACTATTACCACGTATAGACAATACGGAACGCAAGACAGTTCCTAGTGGAGCGGTCCTAAGCTTGGCTCGGCTCGAAGGCAAGTGTCCAGCCCTCTTAGCACCCTCCCTTAGCTAGGCTCCGTCGTAGCACGAAGCTCGCCGAGTGTTGGCGATAATACCGAAGGTGCTGCCATTACTCAGGCGTCGTGCCGCGCTTCGTTTAGCGACCGTATTGATGACCGTCTACGACATATGTATGTCTTGTATTTGTTTCCGACACACTTTGTCTATGTCAGAACAATACTCCGTTGCTGCATGAAATGATAAAGCTTCACATCTAGATCCGAGACTGTGTATTCTGTCTATTTAATCCACAATCTCTAAACATGATTCTGTTTTGTACTTGAGCATGTTGGCTATCATATCGTAACAAAACCTATCAAAATGCATCTAGCTGATGATGTTTAACCATTGTAACTTTTGTTGGTAATTCAATAAATAAGACTAAGACAGACATTCTAAATTAAAAAAAAACTAGACAATATTGCTGCTTTAACAAAAATAACTTAAATTTTCAAATTTCATATACTACCGGTTGGATGGAGAATTTAATTTTTTTAACATCCAAAATGCATGGCCCAGTCATAAGCACCTATGTTAACTTATTGATAACGTAGTAAAGTTGTACCCTTAATTTTCAATTTATCTATACTATTTATGATAATAATTCTTTTCTTATAAACAAACATTTGTTCTATTGTCAGTGTTTAACTTTGGAACTTATGGGAATTTGAACTTTATGGCTTGGAATTTATGAGATTTTGTTTGTCAAAAATCGACCGTAACTTTGTATCATAGAGCACATATTCAAAGTTTGTATGTCTTTGCTAATTATCGTCCAATTTACTAAGGAAGCAAGTCATTATTCACTGTTCCATAGAACAAAACATTTGGGTTTCATCAATAGCAAAGCAGCTCATATAGGTAACATTTAAAAGTATAATTATGAACGACTTCGGCAATTTAATTTTCATCACTGACTTTCAGTATTTAAAAAAATAAATAATCAGTAATGTTTTTTTTCTGCGACTCATATATGTAGCTACATCATTTATAAAAAAACTAGCGACCTACCCTCGCATTGCTCCGGTACGTCCATAGGTACGCTAAATTGATAAAAATTGTAATTGCCATGCTGCCATGCGTTTTAAGAAAAAAATAGCTACTGCGAGTGTACCTTAGGAGGTAGACATATAGGTACTATTGCAGACTTTTCTCTAGGTCTTTTTAACACCTACAATTTTTTAATACATACATTGTTTTGATGTATCTTTTAAGGTTGAGCCATGTAAATTTTTAAGAACGCCTCGAAAGAAGCAGTTATTGTGTTTTCCTGTGGGAATGAAATTAGATATGGGAAATGTTCATCTGAGTAATAAGTTATTACTACACAAAATTTATTTAAAATCCGTTCAGTAATTTTTGCGTGAAACACACACAAATATACAGACATACAAACCCAAAATTTTTTGGAAGGCCTTTCCTTAAATGAAAAATTGTAATAAAACACTCAAAAAAACCAAGCAATTACAACTTTAATAATATTAACTGCGATGTTTATTTACGTGTAGATTAATCATTGATAAAAATCTTTTTTAAGGCAGTGGTAGCCCAGTGGTAAAGCGCTCGCTTGGGAGACCGAGTAAAGCGGGTTCAAATCCCGGGTCTCGCACCTTTGATATTTTCATGTGCGAATCATTTCCAACATGATTATCACTTGTCTTAACGGTGAAGGAAAACATCGTGAAGAAACCTGCATGTCTGAGAGAACCTAGCAAGTTTTTAAAAGACATGTGAAGTCCGCCAACCCGCACTTGGCCAGCGTGGTGGACTATGGCCTGATCCCCCTCGTATTGAAGGGAGGCCCGTGCCCAGCAATTGGACGTTAAAAAGGCCTGAATACATAAATCTTTTTTGATTCGTTAAAACGTGAAATCTATGAACATAAATAACTTTATATAGAGATAGCTAGCGACCCACCCTCATCTACCGTTCGTCCTTTAAGGTTAATATAGATTTCTCAGAGATGAGATATTTTCCCGCAGTCAAAATTATCCTATATGTTGACCCGGATAACCAGCTATCATCATACAGTTTTTCATCAAAATCTGTCCAGTGGTTTCCTGGACGCGTTCCCAGACAGACAAAATTCTAAAAACTGTATCAATAAGAATGGCTATTTAAATAAGATATTCCAAAAAATATTTTATGGACAGATTCGACTCAAAACTTTATTACATGTATAGATGAAAAAAAAACAAGTTACCTCGTGGCATGCTAATGCAAACAATTTTGACCCTTATTACCTTTGGTGTGGAACTCTTCTTCTTCACCTCGGGAGCGGCTTCTTCTTCTGGCTTCTCATCAGAGCTATCTTCTTTGAGCACATCTTTGAGCTTGTCAAATTCTTCTTCGGGATTACGCGCGTGCTCATCAAAATCACCGAATTTCTATGACAAAATATAGAGTTAATATCGATTGACCATCACCGTTTATTTAACTAAATTACTTAAATCAAAACTCATTTTGGGAAGACAAAATAATTCGTCTTTCCCGTGACTACGTTTGCTCTAAATAATTCTAATCGTAAGGAACAAAATATCACTGATAGTTTTATTTACATTAAGTGATACCTATGCCACTACATTCTACATAGCCCGGTTCTTATTTAGACAATGCGCTGTGTCGGTGCTTAGCGCACTACATTGTCTTAACCAGAGAGGTAGAAGCCTGACGCCGGATCCACACGCTCCAACCCTCGACACAAATTCAAAAAACATGTGGAGAGGGCGTTTGGTTTGACTTTTGTAAGTTTATGAGAATACCTGTTATGGTCACACCGCTTTTTTATACCACGTCGGTGGCAATCAGGCATGCGGCCCGCCTGATGGTAAGCGGTTACCGCAGCCTATGGAAGCCTGCAACACCTGGGGCATCACATGCGCGTTGCCGACCCTTTAAGAACCTATTTACTCCCCTTTTGAAGGACCCCATACTGTAGCCCTCTGGGAAAACCTCGGCAGGGAATTCATCACATCACAACACAGCGAAATGGTCCGTGGGAGAAAATTCGTCTGAAACCGAACTGTACGGGACTAGCTAAGCCTCCTTACTCTAGAGTCACTCTTACCTATATAATGTACTGGCGACTTACCCTCGCTTCTCGTAAATTTTAAATAGATAAATAATTATTGCGAGTGTACTTTAAGAGATAGACATATACTATTGCGAATTTTTCAGTAGGTAGACCATTTTAAGACTACAACAATTTTCTATTACATACATTGTTATGACGTATCTCTTAAGGTTTAGCTAGCGTCAGCCATGCAAATTTCTAAGGACGACTCGGCAGAATCAACTATTGCGTTTTCCCATGGGAACAAAAGTCTATCTTGTAAGAGATAATACTAAATGTTGTCCCGAGTAATAAGTTATCATTACACAAAAGCCTCAAGCATCCTTCATCCTTTATGCAACAAACTAACAATGCACGTAATCTACTAGATGTATAGAAGTAGCCTACGTCACTTTTATACAGAAAAATCTAAGCTTCCTGTCGCTGCGCCAGGAAGAGCTGACTGATAAATAATACTTTCGCCTTTATTTTAATAAAGATTAAATGTCGCATGTAAAGCAATACAGCAAAGACAAATTCGGCTTTCATTTTCAGCACATTTGAATGGAATGATACATTTTGGACGCTATATTTCTATTTTTTACTACTGAGATGGCGGGTGTATTCTTCAAACTAATTTCTTTGGATGTACAAATGAACTAATGACCGCTTCAATATGAAAATATTTATTTTACTAATGTCACAATTATAGCAATAAATAAATGCACTGTTAGCTTGCTATGCAATGATATGAACATTATCACGGTATGAACGTGGTATAATGTATTCCATAAGTCATTTCCATAATTCCACTTATCTGGAAAACTCTTCATATTTCTTAATATAGTTTAAGTTAAGCCTCATTTGAGTATAGAATTAGGTATAAACTTAAAAGCAAGCATAGTGTTTCGTTTCCATCTATGAATATGTTGGGACATTAACACACAGCACCATCTAGTTCCATGGTAAACTACGGGGCCTGTGTTATGGATACCAGATAGTTGATACACTACACATATATAATTTTAAATTTAAACATATTATAAATATAAACATCCATGGCTGGAGTACAAATATTCGTGCTCATCACACAAATGAATGCCCCCAGCGGGACTCGAACCCGCAACCACTGGCACAGAAAGTAGGGTCACTATAAACTGAGCCAAACGTGTCGTCTAATATGTAAATTCGTATAAGTATATGAAAAACAGCAGAATACATACCTAAGTATAACGTATTAAAGATGATAAATAAAAGTAATTTAGATGGAATAAGCAACGAACAGTACTAACATAGCTTGTAAGCTGCTGTACTTAATTGTCACAACTTATAGATTGTCTTAGGTCAGAAATAAATGGTTTTTATTTATAACACTTTCATGAAACAATGCAATAAAAATATCGTACTAGTGATCCGCTCTGGCTTCGCATAGATATAAAATCCCATTAATATTATAAATGTGAAAGTTTAGATGGATGGATGTTTGTTACTCAATTATATCAAAACGACTGAACGGACCTGGATAAAATTTGGCACAGAGATAGATTAATTATAGTCTAGAATAGCACATAGGTTACTTTTATCCCGGAAAAATGTACGGTTCCCGTGGGATAGATTTGTTTTTATTTTTGAGGAGTTGCTAGTAACATATATGAACAAGTCCATACATATAATACTTAAAGGACAATCCAACAGTCTACAAACAAGTGCATATGTTAACAGTTAAAGTAATAACTAAGTGGCTAACTTAAGAAATCTCAAATGATCCGACACAATTCTCGCACCACTTATCGTACGCTGCATAATATTGTCAGAAATCTTTTCGCAGAGTAACTACTGTTTCTGCTATATGAATGTATGGATATGCTACAAATCCAGCTACGCAAGGATAGCTCACAGGCTATACTGCAACGTTGGAATTCACATGTTCGATTCCTTTATACGTTGAATTTTCGTTCTGATCTTCCCGGTCTGTTGTAGCCTATAATTTTATAACGTAAAGTAATAATGAGGGTACAGTGTAGAATATTGTGACTCGATAAATTTACATCTACTTTTTATTTTGCAAGCACATACGCGTCATGATATAAGATGACTATAATATTATAAATTAGTCGGGAGTTTGTATTTTTACAAATGTAATGTATTCATTGAAGCGTGAGAAGAATGAATGGGTTCGTAAAAGAAGAATAAAAATCTCATAAATGTTTTAAATTAAACTTTGCTAACATATCATGTGGAGAATGTGGCTGTGATGTGCTGTTGGTGCCTGACGTGAAATTTTCATATTTCGTTACGGTTAATCTATACTAACATAAAAAACTCAAGTTTTAAATAAAACTGTTTTCAAATTTTTTGCAGATTTATTTTGATTTTTGGTTCCCGACGATTAGAATGCTTTATTATATATTAATCATGGTCTTTTAAAGTTTTATTTAAAATATCAAATATTCGCGTAAATCTAAGTATTAAACTGAAGTTTGTTTATTTGAATACATTAATCTCTGGAACTAACAGTCAGGTTTGAAAACTATAGAGGTTTAAGCTAACTAGCATCACAGCATCTGTAGGAGCGGAGCAATTACACCAAAGAAAACTACACGACTGAAGCAGCGGGCAACGCTCAAAAATTATAATATCGAAAAGTGGTTGACAAGAATGCCTGATGGTAAGCAGAAATTGAAATGTTCACTTGCAACACCAGCGGTAGCAATCGCTTGTTATAAAAAAAAATCTATGTTGGTATTTCAGAAATACACTTCTTGTATATCCAAAACTACCAGCAGTTCGAAAAAAAATGCCTGTGAGAAGAACTGCCGAAAGAAACAAGTTCTTTTTTTATTTCGTACTTCGACTAGGAATGCATAGTTTTCTACTACTTTAAATCGCGAAAGATCCGAAAAAAAAAATTGATGTGTTAAATGTTAAAAATAGGAAAAGTATTGAAATTAAAAAAAATAAGAGGCTTAATATACATTATTGCTAGGTTATATTGTAAAAAATCATCAATCAATCAGATGGAGGAAGTGGGGGAATGAGGGAGGGAGAGGTTAGTCCTTTGGCACTTTTACACATTGAACCAAAAGCAAGTGTGGACACAGCTACATACGTCATACTTTCCCAGTCAGACAAAAGCATTAATATTAACCATACCTATCATATCTATAAGTTCTTATAACTTTATTTGGTCATGACTTTCTGGTAGTTTTTTTTTAATTAAATTTAAAAAAAATATTCAAAACTAAATTAATAACCTTTAAACAAATGTAAAAATATAAAAATATACGACATGCATACTAATAAGAATAAGTACCACTACAATCATTCACTCTCAAAAAACAAAAACGCACTCACAACACCAGAAACAAATTGAACTGCCTAAAACTTGGAGCAAATATGGAATAAAAACTGCAAGAACCCACATTTTTTTTTAGAATACCCACTATTTAAATTGTATACTATAATATTATACATAGTGCAATTGAAATTCCTAACGTAAGTAAACAATGTTTTTTTTTGGAAATAAAAACATCTTTAACCCGAAAATGAACCCAATGAACTTAGCTAAGAATACAGACAGCAACGTGACTTACTTCTGGATTCACAATGTACTCCTCAATCTGGGCCACAGCTTCTTTAAATGCGGCCGTTTTGCAGGATTTAATTAATTGTTCTTTATGCTCTTGATAGGGCTTTATGTTATGCTCCTCGATCCAGGCACTGTTGACAAAGTTAAAAGTTATTGCACTCAAATAATTTTTAGAGCTTTATAAAAAAAACGTTTAGTGGAAATAGTAACCGAATTACTTCATTAACGAAAAAGCTTTTTTTTAACGGAATTAAATGCATTTACGCGTACCACAACTACACATAAAGGTTGTTGTGGAGACTTGCTAGTTGCAAAAGACAGTACTACGCACTAGAACCCAAAAGAACTTTCTTCATTTTAATAGGGCATCGCAGAATCGCTTGTGCACTCAACTCAACCACGACAGCTGGCCGGCCAAGGCAGACCATAATAACCATGGGGCTGTTTCCATGGGCCACTCTGCTATCAGAGAAGTACCAGGAGAAACTTTTCGAGGCCCACCGAGATGGGCTGCCTCCGAGTGCGTTAGCTTTACGCCCCACTCCATTGTCGGACGCTACTGAGTTTACAGTATTGGTATCATCTTCAATACAGCACGTTAGAAATATTTTAGTTGTACCTTTATATATACTTTTTTCTATATAGTTAATTTAACAATTACAAAATTTATGTAGTTCTATAAAAAAATATTATTTTTTTCGGAGATTGTATCAATACCTGAGTAACTACTAACATAATAGTGTCTGTACCGGTACACGAAAGATTGACAAGCATCATAGACCTAGAGAATAGACTGAGCAATACTTTTATACAATTGACCTCTCTCTAGAAAGAGAGAAAGCAAACGTTTGGCCAATAGGTGACCGTCTTTTATTCCTATTTGAATTTGTAAATGAAATGTAAAAAAATTATAATATTATAATGGAATGTATAATGGTTATAAATATCAATATTCATTAATCGTATTTCAATGAATACAGAAGATTTCTGGCCGCACATTTGTTTTGTCTCTGTCGCACCTTTCTGCGAATTTTAGCTGACGCCTGGTAAAAAAAACTCAGTCCATCCTTTACGCTATCTGAAGCCCTGACACTGTGACACTTTATTTGACTTCATATTTAGCTCTATAGCAGTCAATACTTTTAGTCTCAAGGCTATAATCGTTTTCAAATAGAGGGTGTTGGGGCTGACATTTTCTTAAGATCATGAAATGCCTAAATTAATTTCATGGTTTTTTTTGACAGATAAAAGGAAAAATATGAATATTATAATATTGTTATTTTTTTTAGATGAATTAATATAATAAAAGAATAGGTAACTTATACTTTTAACATAATAAATGCTTCATATTAAAACTTCCTTGAACAGCTGTCAAATTACAAGTCCCCCACAGCATTCTATTTGAAATAGACTACAGTTGATTGATAATTCACTTTCATCCAATATTATTATATAATTATTTTATTAATTTCCTTTTTCTCTTTTTTACATTAAAATCTTCAGTTAATCTTTTATTAACATTTAACAGTTGCCATAAAAAAAAATATCTTCACAAAACCAATCTCATTTTGTTGTATATTTTTATTATTTTGTTATATATTTTACCTTCAATTTTTTCAATTCCATTCCATTATTATAACTGATAACTTTATTCTAAAGTTTCTCCTTTAGTTGAGTTTCTAGAAAGTTTTGAATAAGCTTATATGTCTTCGCTGTGATTACTTAAAAGTGATATTTATGAAAAATATCTTAAGATTATTTGAACAATTTTTAGGGCTTTCCAAAAAACTGATTCTTTAATAATAAAAACTTAGGAAAGATTCTAACTCATTACTAATGTTCATAGGATTTTAATACAAAAAACCTTAAGACTGTTGTCGTGTTTTAAAAACTTATCAATCATAAATGTTACATTGATGTATAATTTATAATATTAATGTTTAATAAGTATGAAAAAAATATTGTTTTAATTACAAAAATTGAAAAAAAGATAAAATCATTTTCATTGTAGCTTTCTCTAGTACAAAGACAAAATATAGTTAAATTAAATGAAAAAAAAAAACCTATTCAAATTGTACAAAGTAAGCTAATAAGATATACTTAACTTCAGAAAACTAATTTAGATTTAAACAACCTTAAGAAATTTTAAAAATATACTTTTAAATGTAAATAAAAAAATTATAAACTAATTTTAAAATGCAATTTAATTTTCAGATATGGAATCCAAACATATAATCCTTATAGAAGATTGTTTTTTTATTGAAAAAAAATTAATAATTGTAGCTTCGTATACAACAAAATATAGTGAATTTTTACTTTATATTATGCAAAATACAAAAATCTATTGCAATAACGTACATGCATTCAAAGCACTTATTTTCTACATAAATTAAGATTGCATTTAACATTTTAAGGAAACAAGCATATATTTAAACTATAATAATATTGTTTTTAATTTTATTTTCTAGTATGTAGAAATACCAATTCAGATTTTATTGTTGGTTGTATTTAGTGGTATTTTTGTTGTATTTAATTATTAAAAATGACTTATTAGGGGTAGAGAAATAACTTCTTCTACAAATTTTACTTACCCCTCAAATAATCATTTTTAATATTGAAATTTAAACAATTGACAAATTAAAATGCTAAATGCTAAAATTACCATAACACTAAGCTAAATAAGCAAAAAAATATATTCCATATGTAGATTAAATCATTTAGTTAAATGAAATTATAATAAATATAAACAAAAATATTCTGAATATATTAAAATGTAATTTTATAAGACATTTGCACATACTTAAAGTATTATTATCTTAATACACTGGTAAAAATATATAAAATACTTACATAAATCTATACTAACATAATAAAGAGGTAAAGTTTGTGAATTTTGAGATTATGATGTTGTAGGGGGTAATCTCTAGATCTATTGAACTGATTTAGATGAAATTTGGTAAAAAGATAGTTTGAGACCCTGGGAAGGACATAGGATACTTTTAATCCTGGAAATCATCCCTTAAGGGGGTGAAAATGGGGATAAAAGTTTGTATGGAGAATCAACCTAGGGACGAACCTACGCAAAGCGAGGGTGAGTCACTAGTATAATTATAAGTTACATTAAAACTATTTATTCTTATTATTTAGATTGGCTTCTTTATATTTTTTTAGCTATAAGAAAATGTTTACTTACTAATTATTAGTCCCAAAAAAATAAATGCACTGAACATTCATTGCCTTCTTGGGAGGCTTCAGCTCAGGGGTGGGAATGGCCACCTGAAAAACGAATATAAGTCATTTTATAGCTCTATTCCACATCAAAATAATATACTTGTCCCTCTTATTACCATGGCTTCATACAATGGTTTGAAAGTGACGTGTAATATGATTTTTTATGGGATGTTGTTTACAAGCAAAGCAGTCACATTTTGTCTTACGTCTAAGATCATACCGACGCCAGCTTGAAATACCGTCAGAGTGCCAGACTACAACGTTAGGTTTAGACCATTAGCGTCGGCGTTCATACTTACAAAAAATTCCCGCTCATTACTTCTAAACTGGAAAGTTGTTACAAAACAACATGAGGCAACATAAGAACCATAACATTATTGTTTGCACTTTAATTTTATTCAGTTACAGACTGTTGTCAGCATTTTTACTTTAAAATAGCATAGCAAAGAGACTCACCCGGCCGGGCCAAGGGCTGAATCCCTTCATTTTTGCCCTGTAACAAACAAAATTATAGAGTTTTACATAGCATGTTTTATGCTGTATTTGATTTCTAATATTTAATGCAAGATTTTATTACATACCAAACTAAATCACCAAGTTTATACGCAACCGACATGGTATTCGTCTACACTCGACCAGTTTCCACGACGAACTAAATCAAAAACAATCTAGATGAACACAAACTTTTCCGCGTCTTATTTGTGTCTATGATATACGTAGAAGTCTTAGAAGTTAATCCATATTTATTTGTAATTATATATTTATAACATATGAGAACATTTTGTAAAAGAATATTTTATTAAAAATTCAAAAAAAAAACAAAATAAAATTCGGTATGCCATAGGATTATATATCATTGTTTTATTTATCACTTTTACATTTTGTTTTTTAATCTGTCAATAATCTAAATGTTGCCACTTATTAATTTATTCCCTTTATGCTTGCACTTTTTAATGAAAATAAAATAAAATAAATGCTATATAGGTACCATATTATTTTAAGTATCCAGCTTGTTGATTTTGTTTTTATAACATCCAAAATTTAAAAATAATATCGTAATGGTAATATCGATGATAACCATAATATTATTAACATTTGTTATAAAGCAAATATTAAAGTTTATTTCAATAATAATTATTTATGAATGCTACGTAATGTCCGATAAAATGTTTAACTAATATATTAAGATGCATTAATGAACATTACCAAGTTACATCACAAAAAGCGGTTACTGGTTAATAATGATGTTTTAATGTACCATTTGATGAGATAATTATTTATATATAGATAATATAACATTTTCATTAAAGAAAGTATATGGACATAGATTATTATCATATTTTGCTTATCTATTTTGCCATATTTTGTCATAATGATTTTTATATTTAATATAAACATAATAATGTTTAATTGCCAGCTTTTAAATATAAGATTATATTAAAGTAAAAGTGAAAATATTACATAGGAAGAGAAACCACTATGGTTTTCTTTTCTACACTAATTATTATGGAGCTACATTAGTGGGATACGGCGAATATTCGCGGTATGACGACAAGTGTGGCCGAGTAGTTTAACGCATCGCGTAGTATTCGGGCGATGATGAATGCTTATCGCGGCACTGTCGGTAAACTGCAAAGGGTTTCATTACGACAATATTCGCTGTCGTGGCTACACTTCGCCACTAGAGTTGCAGTGACTAAAGTCCAGGTTTTAAGCAGAACGGACGTAAGTGTGGTATTTTGGCGGGAAACTGGAGCAAGGAAAAAGTATTGGAGTTTATTCAATTTTATGAAATGGAAGTATTATATGAGATCCTCGTAAGACTATAAAAGATTTTTTTTGTATTTGATGCGCAGGTTAAAATTAAAAATAAACTCACTAGATAAATGTAAATGATACTCGCACAATAATAAATAATAATTTACCGACATACAATATAACGCCACTACTTCCTCCATTTTACTTCACAAGAATTATCCCCTACGTTGGCCGCGAAACAGGCTAACGTGTTGAACTTATATGTAGACAAGAACATCACGTATACCCGTACACAATGTTTTACCGCGCCAAAACAACACGAATATTCGCGCGCTAATGTAGTCCCACCATTATAGTCGTCATACTTCGAATCTCTATTCTCTAGTGAGGGACAGAGGAAATGACAGTGAGCGTAGAAGATTCAATTTTAAAAGTAATATAGACAAAAAAATACTTTGCCATCGTCGATTTTTTTTAAAGAAATCCAAGAATATATATATATTAGGCAGTGGTAGCCCAGTGGCAACGCTCTCGCTTAGGAAACCCCGTGAAGCGGGTTCAAATCCCGGGTCTCACACCAACGATATATTCATGTGCGAATCATTTCCAACATGATTACCATTTATTTTAAGGGTGAAAGAAAACATCGTGAGGAAACCTGCATGTCTGAGAGAATCTAGCCAGTTCTCGAAAAACTTGTGAAGTCTGCCAACCCGCACTTGGCCAGCGTGGTGGACTATGGCCTGATCCCCCTCGTACTGAAAGGAGGCCCGTGCCCAGCAGTGGGACGTTAAAAAGGGCTGAATACATACATACACACATATATAATAACTATAATATGTAATAACAATCACAGAAATATAACATATGTATGTTATTTTTTTTCTCTACCGTTTTAGAAACAAGGAGAATTTATTCAATTCGATTAGCAACACAAATCATTCAAGTATTAGTGTTTACTGTACAGAAAAATAGTGATGAAAACTTCATCCGTATATTGTTTTTTTTTATATTCGATTGACAAATGACAGTTGACGTTCTCCCGGCATACTTCGTATCCAATTCCATTTGGTTTTTGGTTTTATTTGTCATCCATGGTTTTTGGTATGGTATTTACTTTGCTAAAAAGCGGCAAAGTAGATTTTTAAAATGGTGTTTTATTCTACAGACCATTTTACATTATCTATTTGAAAATGTCTAAAAGATTAATTTTTCCACAACAATACGGTGAACGCAAAAAGGCGAAACTTAATATCAGTGTTTCTGACCATAATTTTCCTTTGAGTCAAAGTTCAGTGTCTAACAAAGGTATAATATTTAGTAATAAGTTAAGTAACTTTAAAATTATTATATGTTTATAAATAATTATTTTAAATCTCGGGGCAGATCAAAATGATAATTGGGGTGACGATAACGATGACGAAATGCTGCTTTTGGCCAGTCAGGCTTGTGAAGAAGCTTTTAAGGATCCTAACTTAAGTATTTTACCAAACTATAGTATGTGTATGCAACCTTCTTCAACGAGCACTCAAATAGGTGAACCCCAACCAAGTTCGTCATCTAGTTCTCATTTTCAAAAAACTTCACTTCACTCTTTCAAAAAACCAGTTTGTAGTCCACTTAGTATCGTTTCAACGAAACTTAAAGATAAATATGAAAGAATTTCGTCTCCTTTACCTGGCCTCTCAAAAGTTTGCAAATCTGGTGGTGTTAATGTGATGGATGATGTAATAATAAATGACAAATGTGAGGGACAAAATTCAGAGTATATATACCGCCAGTTGCTAGAACTACAAGAGGAAAATAAAAAGTTAAAAACAGAAAATGGTAAATTACTTGATAATTGTATGACAAAAGAAGGGGAAGCATCAATTTTAAGAACACAGTTGAAAACTTGTCAAGCTACAGTAGACAATGTGAGATTAGAAAAAATTAAAGTTCAAGAAAAGGCACAGATGGAATGGTCAGTTAAGTCAACGGCTGCAAAGAATCAGCTAGATGACTTAAAAACTCAATTGGAATTTAAGGTGATCGTAATAGTTGTTTAAATGTAGTACCTTCTTTATAATTTATCAATTATATAATTAACTTATATATTTTATGTTTTAGAATTTAGAGATAATTAAAATGAAAGAAAAATGTCAAATGCTAGAATCACAAAAAGTGAAATTAACACAGGTTTTGGTACCCACAAATGACATATCTATGAGGTAATTTGTTTAAAAAACATACTTAATGTTTTAGAAAGAGTCTTAATTATAAAATAATAAATGTATTACTTTTCAGTCAAAGTCATAATAACAGCATTCATCTCAATAATGATTCTAAAATAATGTCTAGGAAAGTAAAAACAGCTTCCAATAGTGTTCAGACAGATGATAAATCATATTTTTTAAAGATAAACATTCCACAAAGAGAAGGTAAGTAATATTTGCTTTAAACTCTTATATTACAACTAGCATTGCCCGCAGCTCCCCCCGCGTTCAGATGACCTAAAACCAAATTGTTAGGTTTTACATATTAATATACTCTTACAAATCACTTTTAGTATTTTTTCTCAGACATGAGATATTTTTCTGCGGTAAAAAGTATCCTATATATTTTGATCCGGATAACCAGCTATCACCATACCAAATTTCATCAAAATCCCTCTGATGGTTTTTCTGTGATGCGGTAACAGACAGTCAAAAATTCTAGAAACTATAGATTTGGCTTCTATATCGATAAGAATGTCATTTTCAATAAGATTTTCCAAAAAAATATTTAATGTACAGATTCGGCTTAGTTACAACTTTATTATATGTATAGATATGTTATATAATATTACATGTTCCAAGAAATATACATAGATTATTTTATGTATTTATTTCAGAGTTATCAAAACTATGTGAAATATTACCACTTATTATGGAACCTACTGAAAGTCAATTCTCCATATTAGACTATAATGAAAAACTGAAATTATCACCAAACATACAGAACAAATGTCGCATTTTCAGCACATTCCATAGGTTACCTACCACAGCCAGTGCCAGTAAAGGAGTAAGAAGGAAAAATATGCATTTAAATTGTATATATGAAGACTTAAGTTATATAGCAACCTGTAAAGACAAATATTTAGAAAAGTATATATGTGTAAGTAATTTTTATTTAAACCAAATGTACAAGTGTAATAAACTAATTCTATTTGATATATTATGTACTAGTGACTTACCCTCGCTTTGCTCACGTGCATTCCTAGGTACATGTTAATTTTTTTGAGTGGAACCTTAATTCTTTTTCTAAAATAAAAGTAATCATGGTCTCTCCAGTGCAGTAAACATCCGGAACCAAAAATCAACATAAATCTGCTATATAATCCGAAAAGATAGTTTTATTAAAAATGTCGAATATTCGCGTAAATCTAAGAAAGTATTACTTTCAATTATTATAATTATTGGAATCCTTTTCTTAAAAATGAATAGAGATAGATTCTAGTCTGGAATAACACATAGGTTATTTTTATCCCAAAAAAAGACTAATCCGAGCGAAGCGAGGGTGAGTCGCTAGTCTATACTAATATAATAAAAGTTTGTGAGTTTGAAACGTTGTAGGGGGTAGTCTCTGGATCTACTGAACCGATTTAGATGAAATTTGGTAAGAAGATAGCTTGAGACCCTGGGAAGGACATAAGATACTATTTATCCTGGAAATTATGCCTTAAGAGGGTGAAAATGGGGATGAACGTTTGTATGGGAACCAACCTGGGGATGAACCCGGGCAAAGCGAGGGTGAGTCGCTATTTACTAATATTTACATTTAATTATTTCCAGATTTTTAAAGTAGCAAAAGAAGTTATAAATGATGTTCAATTAGAATTAGATACCGTGCATCAGAGAATGACCACTGCCTTTCAGAAGGAAATGGATGAAAAATACGATGATGTTACTTCTAAGATGTTGACAGTCGAAAAGCGAGATTTGTTACGTGGCAGGTGTGCATTTAGTTTTATTATTTTTAAATAGCTAAATAATGAAAAAGTGTGACAGATTTAATACTTTAGTAATTAGTATCCTATTCTATATGCTTTTTGATTCCATCCTTTTAAAACTGCTGTGACAAAACAGTAAAAATATTATTTATTTCTTTTCATTAATTTCAGGGCTCTATATAAAGAGGAACAGGCTTTATTAGCAAGAAGATTAACAGCAATATTGGCTTACATTCTAGAACATTCCGCACACAAAAATGTTATCACTCACTTGCTAGAACAAGATGAGTCAAATGTAGTGCACACACAGACACATTCTATTATCAATGATATTAATGGAATATGTAGCTTATTGGAAAAAACTGTGAGTAATTTTAAGTAAGTTGTTTAAGAGCTCAAGTTGTAGTTTAGAATGTATCACTTCTTCGTATTCAGCCCTTTTAACATCCCACTGCTGGGCATGGGGCTCCCTTCAATAGGAGAAGATCAGGTCATAATCCACCACGTTGGCCAAGTGCGTGTTAGTGGACTACCCATGTCTTTTAAAAACCTACTAGGTTCTCTCAGACATGCAAGTTTAATCACAATGCCTTCGTTTACCACTAAGACAAGTGGTAATAATGTTGGAAATGATTCACACATGAAAATATTAGATGTGCGAGACCCGGCATTTGAACCTGCTTCACTCGGTATCCCAAGTGACAATGGTACCACGTTGGTAACACTTGGCTACCACTGCTAGTACTTCTTACTTTTTAATTTTTTTGTTGTCACTATTTTAATAATATATCCATATTTCCAGTCCTGTGCCATTCTATACAGCGGATTTCTTTTGTCTATTACTCATCTAATAGAGATCATACACAAACACACAGACAAGCAGTTAATACTACAGATACTGAAAACCATAATAACTTCTCGACCAATGCCCTTTGTGAGCTGCCATATAGTGAAGTTATTAACATCTGTTTGTGCAACAACTGAAAATTTTGGTCAATTTTGTATTAATGGGGATTCCATGGACTATGATCAAGGTATTCTATTTCTATATAAAAAAGTATTATATATTTTTTTTATTATTTATATTGTACTAAAAATAGTTAAAAAAATATACACTTTTTTAAATACATACATATATCAAAAAAATATTATTTCTTTGATATATGTACTTATGTATTTAAAAAAAAGAAAATTTTAATATATTTGCATTAATACTAAACTCTTACGTGTTCCAGATCCTTGTGTGCTACAAATACTCCTAAAACAAATCGAGGCGGCCATGAAATGTATAGGAAAGCAACAATTGTTAAAGCAAGCTGTGGAAAATACTCAATATATAATTTTATTGTACAGTTATTTGAACCCACCAACTACTTGTAGTGATAGTCAAAAACAAAAGTGAGAGAATGGTTATTTTGAAACATCTATATTATATCTATATGAATATTATAAAGAGGCAGAGTTTGTTTGTTTGTTTCTTTGAAAGCATAGGAACTACTTATCCAATTTGAAAAATTCTTTTTGAATTAGATAACCTGTTTATTGAGGAAAGCTTTAAGCTATATATCATCAAGTTACTACCCAAGGGAGCAGAGCAGTAACATAATACATATATATTCTGTCTGTTCCATACTAACTGTTAAAACATACCTAGGGACGAACCCAAGCGAAATAAGAGCCACTAGTCTTTAATATAAGCCTTTTACTTATTCCCTAAAATGTTTACTTACTAACATTTTTTTAGTAAGTAAAGCCCTATTAACAAAAAGTGAGTCAAGAGGAGGAACGGGACAGACTCCTGTAACCATAATTGCTGTAGAGCATTCGGATCATTGGGGACCAAAAATCAAAATAAATCCGCGAAATATATATATATATATATATATATATATATATATATATATATCGCGCATTTATTTAGATTTTTGGTATAGTTTTATTTAAAGTGTCAAATATTCGCGTAAGTCCAAGAAAGTATTAATGTGTATTTAAGAAGTACTAATTTAGGTCATTTATTTCCAGCTGTAACTGTCAGCTGGTGCTGATGCAGGTGCTGGTTTATGCACTCCGGATATGCTCCAACTTCTTGGACTCTCATGATTGTGGAGAAGGTAAATTATTTTAAGAATATTTATTTAAAGTGAATGTTCCTAAACCAATTAAACTTAGGATGAGAGCAAGCGAAGGAATCATAAGTAGTATGTTATAAAACTCCCTACAAAGCTAAAAAAAAAAAATAGGCAGTCATGGGGACTGCCGGCAATAGTGAAAACTTATAACTTTGGAATAACTGTGTAAATAATTAAAATTTCATAATTTGTAAATTGAAATTATTAATAGTCTCAAGTCTGGTTTTCACATCCATTGGCACTCCGAGCAATAATTATATACATTTCGATATAATTTTTATTAATCAAAATATCGGACTGCGTCGACATGTCGCATGTCACATGTCGGTGACGCGAACGCGAAGTTTTGCTCCTAAGAAAAATCGCTCAACGCGGTTAAAGAGATTTTCACTTTAATCATTTAACACGTGTTAAAAAATTGTTCCATACTTCCATACTTAGTATTATAAAAATAAAAGTGTGTTTGTTTGTTTATCCTTCTTTCAAGTCGAAACAGAGTGACGGATTGGCGTGAATTTTTGTGTGGACATATTTGGAGGGCTGGAAAGTGACATAGGCTACTTTTTACAGAGAGAGAGAGTATCGTATTCCAACGGGAAAACACATTATAATACTACCCCAAAAATTATTTATGATCAGGATTACTTGAAACTTGTATTAATACTCTTCAATATAATTAAATAAATACGTGTTATAGCATTTTTCGAAATTCATTCCATAAAAGAGGAAAAACAGGGGATGAAAGTTTGTATGAAACCTACCTTTTTAGAGTTCTTTTTTGTAGTTTTTATGGATGATTTTCGTTATAAAAACTATCCTATGTGTTTCTAAGGGTCTTAAACTATATTCTTACCAAATTTCATCTGTATCGTTTCAGAGCCTATTTGGTAGAAACAAACAAAACTTTCCTCTTTATAATATTAGTATAGATAATGTATTATTAACAATATCGTGCGTGTACGTGTGTGTGCAGAGGGCGCGGTGCAGCGCGTGCTGGCGCTGGCGGCGCGCGGCGCCGGCGCGGCGGCGGCGGCGGGCGCGGCGGAGGGGCAGCTGTTGCTGCTGTGCCAGCGCGCGCCCGGTACGCACGCGCCGCGCACTCGCATCCCAGATACAAATATAAATCCGAAATTTAAAAATATTTTTAATTTAATTCAATGTTTGTTATTTTAGAAGTATAAGTACTTATTGTTTTAAAAAAACTCGATCAAAATTTCGGAAATTAATACACGGACTACTTAAATTACCGTGAAACTAGTTTTATTGACTCCAAGATTTGTTTGTGTAATATTATATTCGATGTCGTAATAAATAAAATTTTCATACAAAAATGAGATTTTAAACTGATGATTTATATTAAAAAAGACATTTATGTTAACAAAATTAGATTACTAAACAATCTCATGTTGTATAATATGTGAAATATTAATATATTATTTTTTTATTTCTATTTCCAGGTAACATTTTATCAGAAATAACAAGCACCCTACTAACAGTGGAGGAGGAACCGCAGAGTTACTCCACTAATGCTTGGCTCGGAGCTCTAGAAACACTCGCCATAGCGGATTGACTGTGTTCCTAGTCTAATTTGTAAATTGTACATAATAATATATTTTCTATTTCACTGTTTTATTAAAATACTATTTTATCACCAGTTTCAAAAAGGAGGGGTACACAATTTAGTCCTTTTTAGGGTTCCACACTTGACCCTATGACTGGCCCTTCTCTGTCCGTCTGTTATATCTGTCATCGAGCTGTATCATAAGAACCGTAATAGGTTATAGTGTTAAAATTTCCCCAGTGTGTATTTTTATTGCCGCTGTAACAAATAATATAAAACCAAGATGGCGAATTTCAAAATGGCCGCCGTGCAAATTCAAAATAAAAACATCGATAAGCACATAGTATTATATCTTGTACGATATTACGGAAACCTTTCGTGTGCGAATCCTACTCGCATTTGTTCAGTTTTAGCATCGATCAAAAAAATACCAGATACACAATCTCATGCAAAAGTTCTCTTATAGGATCACCTAATTTAAAGTAGTGTTTAAAGTTGTTTTCGCATAAAAAATTACGACCGAGGCTCGCCGCCGCCATGGCGCCACAACATTTTATACTTAAAAACTGTTTTTAGGATGATTTCTTGACAATATATCAGTATTTACAATATATTAATAACAATTATGTAATGATAATATCGATCCTTACTAAAAATATAGAACTTCTTTCTTTTTTGGCATCCTAGATGTGTCATTTTATTTGTTAATACTATATGGAGACAAGAAAAAAACTTTTTTTTTTTATTTGTTTATTATACAACTTATAATCACAATATGACAACTTAATAACACTTTACATAGTAATAAAAAATTACAGCTAATAGTTTAGAAAACAACAATTACCCAGTAATTAAATTAGTAAGAAAATAATTGGTCACTGTCTTGAAAAGTCACCTTGAAAAGTGTAGTTAAGTGAAGTTTCAAGTCTTTAGTAACCAAAGTTATGATTAAGTTACTCGTAATTCATATGCCGAATACACCAACTGATCTAGTCTACCTAAACACTGCTCTAGATATTTGCTGATATATATATACAATTATACATATTCTTTAGTCCATATAAAAAAGGATACAGCCAAATATCCGAAAACTAAAAGTAATTTGTGTCATAAAGTAACAGGTTCTTTTAAAAAATCTAATGTAACATTGCACTAATACTTTGAACACTTATACTATTTTTTACCATGAAATAATTTCGATTTTTTTTATTTAACATATAAATATCAAGTATATTACTAAGAATTACTTAACATTTTTTGGATTTTATAATTTTTATTAATAAAGAAAATTACTGTACTTTTATATTAGCTATACTTGTTAGGCTACTAGTAAAGGCTACATGTGCCATGTCAGCATTAAGAAATATTTCATATCATAAAATAAATATTATAAGTAAAATAGCTTACAAATAAACAAAAAAAACAAAATCTTGCTTTATAATTCTATTGTAACGTAATTCATAATATATAAAGTATAAAAACTAAAATAAGTACATTATTTAATTAGGTTTAGTAGTTGTAGCAATAATGGCGACAGGATCAGATGAAACTGGATTGTGAAAAAAGTATAACATAAATCCTGCCGCTAATAGAAAATGAAATGCTAAAATTGAACCCGTGATAATGAGAAAATATTTGGACTTTCTTAATGCGGGTAAAAGCCAAAAGATGAGTACAGCTCCTGAAACTAAAGCTGCCATGAGGACAAGGAGCCATTGTAGCCATGAGATTTGTATTGTCCAGAGTATTGCAACTGGAATGTATATTGATAGAGAGTATCCATATAAGCAAAATAGAGACATCATTGTTGGTGCAGTTGAAGTCTGAAAAAAAGGAGACATATTAATAAAATATGAAGTGAGTTATAAATATTAAATATTATTGGTTCAATCTTGCTTCTCTCAGGTTCACCTTTAGTAATTCAAAAACAAATCTATATCCCACACGAACCATAAATTTTTCTGGGATAAAAAGTAGCCTATGTGTTATTCTGATGTATAAGCTATATTATTGCAAAGTTTCATTAAAATCCATTCAGTAGTTTTTGAGTGACTGAAACTTACGCATTTATATTATTAGTACAGATGTATTGCAACACATACTTCAAATACTTGTTGTATATTTGCATTAATTAAAATTTAATGTTTCTATTTTGTTAATTTATTTTCTTTAATAAATTACAAACAAACCTGAGTCTCAATTTCATCTTGGCTATCTGGTACTGTTGTCCATTTGAGAGCTCCCCACAGTGCCAAAGGAACAAGCCAAACATAGCATATGATTGCAGTTGCTGCATATGAAACTAAGTGGTAATTGTACCTCCACACTACAGCCTTATTTGAGCTCTGTAGGTAGTTTGCTATGTTACCACTGACTGCTATGGTGAAAATCTAACAACATAATAAATATTGATTGAATATTATATTTTACTAATTTAATTAAACTAAATAATTATAACACCATAAAAATTAAATAATTGATAGAATACATTGAAAATATTTTTTAGATAAGTTTTGTGAATTTAACTGTCACTAATGACTTCCTTTTTCAGTTTTTTAATTTTTGTTTAAAATAAAAATCCAAATAAATCTGTGAAGATAGTTTTGTTTAAAATAACTCTAAGTGTTTAAAATTTTATGATTTTGATATTAATTAAATATTTAATGTAAATAGATGCATAAAATTTCATACTTCATCTTTAGTTCTTACCAATGTTACTGATATCCATATTGGTCCATATAAATCAGGTTTACCCTTGATCCTCTCATCAAAGTAATTGCGCGACACCTTTTGGGGCAACACTGATGATATGATCCTCTCCACCACTTCACTTGTCCTTACATCAAAATACTTCTGGTAGTATTCTATTGTCCAGAAGTTGTGATTACCTGAATAAATATAAGAATGTTAGTTTGTGACAATTAGCTAGTTAATTAATACTATCATATTGCCTGTGTTTACTTTGTGGAGTCGCTTGCTGTTCCTCCGCTACCTTTGGTTCTTCATAAGAATAACTTGAGTTAGTTATGGGATTGTTGTATTGATTTGTATGAACTGCTTCCACATCGATACGCGCGCTTCTTTCATTATGTTCAGGAGAATAATCTTGAAAATTTAGCAATTCGCCAGTATGGACGTTAGACATCTTAACAATTTTCTGATTTTACTTTTTATTCAGTAAAATTTTAACAATTCTTCATCATCACAAACTGTAACTATGTCATATTTATGTCACTGTTGATTGTCGAACATTGAAAATGGAAATTTGAGTACGATACGATGTGTCAATAAGATACAGTTAAAATATAATTATAGCGAAGATTTCTTAAAAAAAAAGGGCAGTAAACGTATGGCCTATTTACATTCAGTCTGAGGTTAAACAATTTATTGTGATATCTGTTTTAGACCTGGTTTTTAACGTGTATTGTGTTTGCATCTTACCTGTGCTATGTATTGTACCTGGAAGTTAAACCAGCTGACGGAAAAATTCAGAAGTAGAGGTGCATCCTGTGGCAGTCTTGATTGACTGATGGATCAACTGTCAACAGCATAGAGTATATTGCTACATATATAAAATCAACAGTCAACACACAGCCTAAGCAACTAGTCGTAGAAACGTGGAGGACGTATTCCTTATGTTGTTGGTATCCAATAGGAAAGGATTTTTCAAAGTGGATAAAATAGGGGATTAAAGATTGTATTAAACTCTGTCGTTCTTAATGTGAAATACACAGAAAACGGTGTTTAGCTTTAAAGTAAACAATAAGATATATAATTATATGTTTTTTTTTTCGAAATTCAGACCATAAAGGGATAAAAGGGGGTAATAAAATTTGTATGGACAAAGAATTATTTATGATCAGAATTACTTGAAACTTTGCAGTAATGCTCTTTAATACAATTTAATAAATATTTTTTTAGCATTTTTTTAAATTCAATGGCATAAGGGAATAAAGTGGGAGGTGAAAGTTTATATAAATAATATGTAAAATAGTACAACAAAAAAAACAAAAATAGAAAATTCACTTGTAGACGATTTAAGAGTTTTAAAATCACTTTCTGTAAAATGATGTCCACAATATAGCCTTAAATATAAAGATTGTGTTCTCGCCAATCTTGGTCGTCTTATTGCTTTAGCTTACAGTTTCTTCAGTTTTTGTCTTTAAGGAATAAATGATATCCACTTTCGTTGCATCCTAGCACTGCACAATTTGTCATTTTAATTAAAGTTTTATTAAAAAGAAGAAAATCCATCCACGCTATATAGAACTTTAAAATATACTGAGGATGATAGTGATCGCGACATCTAGCGAGAGAAAAAGGCACAATCCTTTTCTTTTTATATTAAATGCGACATTGTACGATTTTCTTGAAATATTAAAATAAACATGATTATTTTTATTTACATTTTTAAAACAGAGAAGAACCATAGACAATATATAAAAAAACAGTTAACCATAGTTAGAAAATTGTGGTCAGAACGTCAGAACTCAGACGCCATATTTTATTCGCCATTTTGGTTCAAGAATAGCTTCTTGCACGCACTTACAATACAAATTGTAATTTTCTTTATTCTCATTAAAAGAATACATACGTGATTTTATCTTTAAGATGTGTACATTTTACTGTACGTGATCAAAACTCGTCACATTTTGTAATTGTAGTTGCCAGTACATTGTTATCTTAGATAACGTAAGTTTTCTTCGTGCAGCTTTGGAAAATTACGCCATGTTGAAAAGCAGCCACGTAACGAGGAATTTATTTTCATTACAGCGATTTGAATTAGAAGACGGTACTTGGCATGGTAGTCACTTCAACCGTGGTGTTCGAGCAACATGGCGAAGGAAATTGCGGAAGAGTATGCGTCGAGCCTCTCGGATCTCACCGTGAACAGCAAGCCTCTGATAAACATGCTTACGATCCTTGCAGAAGAGAATATCGAGCATGCAGGGGTTATCGTTGAAACAGTGGAGAAGCACTTGGAGAAGGTGAATTTGCATTTTTAAATATCGTGAAAGGCTGGCGTTGAAATGCCACGCCATGACGTGAGCAAGAAAAGTGTCACAAAGTTATTATTACGCACACACGGGTGCGGTTTGTGTTCACTGTGAATCTCGTTGTAATTGATGCTGCCACTAAGCAGGTATCTCCTAATGTCATTTTCTTGATTTAACCAAGACAACAATCGTTTGAAATTGAGAAGATTAGATACACACACTTGATGGATTAGCCTACCATATTGGTTATTAGTAACCACACAGATTTTGAAACCCATTAGAACATATTGTGAATAGTTAGGTAGTTATTTTACCATCAGAATCACTATCCATTTAGTAGCCATATGGCTTCATTAGAGTAATCTCAGTTTAAATTTTACATTATTGGAAAATTAGCATTATATATTTATATATAAAAGCAATTTATATTTCTTTAAATGTGTTTGTTTAACAACATGTTTTTAAATTAAAAATAACAATATACCTTATTAAATTTTGCTTTAATTAAATATTACATTGGTACTTACAATTGGTAGAAAAAGTAATTTTTGCCATGTTTATATACATTATCAGTATGTTTTTCTAAAATCTTTAAAACTATATTTGTGGTCACTTTGTCATAGACATTAAATAAATGTTTTTTTTTTCAAATAATATAATTTCGTACATGTCTGAACTGCTCAGTTAAATTAGTATTCTGAAAGTTGTTTAATTTGATATTGTTACTATCTTAAATTGTAACTTGTGAATATTATATAAAATTCCTTTAATTTGATTGTTCATTCTTGTTTCTATTTGTTTTTTTAATTAGGAGATACCTGTTCAATTAGAAAAATCATATTACCATATACCTCATTGGTATGTAACCTGACATACCTGATATTATTGGTTGTACACCAAGTTGTTGTAAAATAAAGACTTTTACAAACTGAGTTCTTATTTATTTTCAATTTTAAAATTAAAAAAATTAAACCGTTGCTACTAGAAACTTTGTATTATTTCCTGCACCACATCGATTAATCACGAATGAGTTTGAAACAAACTTTCGTTGACTGGACGAGCCAGTGGACTTGGTTAGCCCAGGGATGTAGGATTAGAAAATATTTTTCCTATACAGGTGCCTCCTGACATCAAGCTGCCAGTTCTGTATTTAGTTGATTCAATTATCAAGAATGTTGGTGGTGCATACACACAGAAGTTCTCTGCCATCATCGTTAATATGTTTACTAAGACTTTCAAACAGGTAACTATGGAAAGCATTACACATGGTTTGTTAATATATTCAATTTATTGTGTACTTGTATGGTTTTTAACATCTGCTTTTATTCTCAGGTGGATGAGAAAATAAGATCACAAATGTTCAAACTCCGTGAGACTTGGCATGATGTGTTTCCTTCAACAAAATTGTACCAACTTGATGTTAAAGTGAATTTGATTGATCCAGCGTGGCCCATCCAAGCTCAGCCGCATCAGTCTAACATCCATGTAAATCCAAATTTTCTGAAAAAGGTGTTTTTTAGTTGATTATGTTTGATGTATTTATATATGTACGACTTCATCCCATGCAGAGCACAAAGTTTATATGTAAATGTTGGTTGCAAGGCTTACTATGGCTTGGCTTGTTGTTCACAGTTCATAATATCAGTAGTGTTGTGCATATAAATAAACATGACACTTAATGATAAAAGTATATTCACATAAAATATTAAAAGCTAAATTTCATTTTATGCATATTTGTTATCTTGTATTTGCAGATGTGTGATGATGATTGTGTTTGCAGAATTTAAAATGCTTATTTCTACAATTTTGCAAACTTCCAAAACTGGTTGAAAAGATCTCTTTCAGATATATTTTAAGGACATTAATTAATCTCTGATGACAAGAAAAATGTTTAAAATCGTAAAACCTGTATATAAAACTTCATCCAAATCGGTTGTCAAATACAACCTGTAGAGGAGTACCAACAATCTGAGCATAATTTATTTACAATTACCTATTATTATATTGTAACATTTAATTCAACCGCTATTAAAAATTCCTAATTTTCTAAATATTTCTTTCACAGACAACCCCAACACCGAGTACATCTTTGACTGAGGAAGAAGAGAGAATGCGAAGTGTTCTGGCCAAGAAGGAACAGGAACTGCTCATGTTGCAAAGAAAGAAGGTAGAAATGGAGCTGGAGCAGACTAGGCGGCAGCTACAGTTGGCCGAGAAAAATACCAAAAAGGTAAAAATTAATTTTTTTAATTAATTTAAGTATGTAAGTGTAGCAGTGGTAGAAAAAAAATCACTCTCTTTGGAAAATCATGAAACAGGTTAATGTCCAGGTCTTGAAGCTCTGAATTTTAGAAAAATATTATCATGATGGGTGAAAACTGTGATTTTTAAGGTGTGATTTCTCATCTACATGTTCCGCGAGAATAATAAGTATGTTAAACTTGTGTAATTTTTTTTTAATTTATCAAGTTACCAATGGAGTTTATTAATAGCATTATCTAATAAGATCAAGTGTGAAAAAGTTTATAATAACAATTATTATATAGAGGCAGAGTTTGTTTGTTTGTTAGTTTGAACGCGCTAATCTCGGGAACTACTAATTCTATTTGAAAAAATGTTTTTGCATTAGACAGCTTGTTTATTGAGGAAGGCTATAGGTTATATAATATCATCATGTTACTACCCAAGGGAACAGAGCAGTAATCACAACTCGCTATATAACATAAAGCCAAAGTTGTTTTTGTAGATTGAACACGGGCAAAACCCCGGGTTCCGCTAGTATTCAATATTTAATCATTTGAAGTGCTTGTTGATATGATTCTGTGTGGCGCAGACTACCGACAATTAATTTTTTTAGCACTAATCTTGATACATTAAAAAATAATTGTTATAATCCATTCAAAATTGAAGAAAATCATATGTACACAAAAAAAAAATACCTTTTGATCTCTCACCGTGTGTGTCCCGCCAAAATCAGAAAGAACACTCGTGTTTGCGCGCATACTTGTCTATACTAATATTATAAAGAGCTAAAGTTTGTGAATTTGTGACGTTGTAGAGGTAATCTCTGGATCTACTCAACCGATTTAGATGAAATTTGGTAAGAATATAGTTTGAGACCCTGGGAAGGGCATTGAATACTTTTTATCCCGGAAATCATCCCTTAAGGGGGTGAAAATGGGGATGAAAGTTTGTATGAGGAATCAAGCTAGGGACGAACCTGAGCGAAGCGAGTGTTAATCGCTAGTGTAATATAATATCATCTTTGCAAATTCGATTCAAGATATTCAGACAGGAGGACATTATAAATGAATGAATAATCCCCAGTTGCCGATAGTGGCGCCCGCGCCCGCCGTCGCCGCCCCGCCCACGGTGGCCATGGTGAGCCCGGTGGTGGCGCCCGCGGTGGAGACCTCGCTCTCCGTCAAGCAGAGGCTGGGACCGGTGAGTTTTGTTTTTTTTATTTATATATTTGGATGTGTGATACGGTGATGTAGACTACAGACTAATTGAGATAGTGATTTGTTCTTGTTTTTTTTTTTTATTTTTCTTCTTCATCTTTTGTGTCACTCAATGAGTTCTTTAAATAACGATGTTTTTTTGTGTCTTTTGTCTTTTTTTTTTAATACTTTATTGGATCGTACACTTATAGTTTCCAGTTTCCACATAAAAAAGCAAAGTTATATATATATATATATATATATATATATATATATATATATATATATATATATATATATAGGACTGCTTTCAACAAATTTCTGTTGTAATAGATTTTGTAATCAAAATATTAATATGTAAATATGTAATGCTAAAACTGTTAAATATCTGCCCTTCATCGAGGCTTACAAATGTAATTGGTTGTCGAAAGATAACACTTTTCATACACACTATACACAATCCCATGCAATAGTTTTCTTATAACTGTTATCAATTGTGTTTAGGTAATTATTCCAGTTGAAATAAATATACAAAAATGTAAATTGAACCTTAAATGCAATGTTTAAAATTGTTTTCACAAAAAAAATTATTAAAAGCGCGCTCAAATGTTCAAATGAGCGCTCATTCGGTGAGGAAATTTTTTTTGTGGACCGTGCCATCTCGTGGCAATTTACAGTTACATTACCGTTAAGTTGTTCCCTACTGTCATATAAAAGTACGTATGACTGTGGGGAGCGAATCATCCGCGTCCGTCGCCCTTTTATTAGACGGCTGAATGAATTTGTATTCTGTGTAGTAGTTTATATTATAACGCGATTATTTCTTTTTGATTATAAAATCACTTTAAATCTAATTATTCCCGTTGAGAGTGGAATTTTTTTACCAACTTTCAAAAAGGAGGAGGTTCTCAATTCGTCGGAATCTTTATTTTTTTATGTATGTTCACTGATTACTCGAAGACGCCTGAACCGATTTGGATTTTTTTTTTGTTTCGTAGGGTATACTTCCCAGGTTTAAATTTTATCGAAATCGGTCGAGCGGTTTTAAAAAAATCAACAAATAATTTTTTTTTTAAATCAATTGCTTAATCGAATATGTTATTAATAAAAACTTTCTTCTTACTTAAACTTAACTTACTTAAATACCTGCTTATTACGTTTACACTAAAAATGGAAAAATATAAACTTAAAAAAACCGACTTCCAGACACTAAAATGTAAAAAATAACTAAACGGGGGTTTAGTTATTTAGCTAGCCGATGCAAAACCAAATCTAATATATGTTGATACCTAAAATACGTCACAAATTGATGTACAACATTTTAACTATAATTAGAGTTCATACCTAATTATATTTACCTATCGGATATTCATATCTTAAAATATTGTCGGCTGGCACCGAGTTTGAAAATATCTGATTAGATATCTATTCTAAACGAAAACCCCTGTTTAGTTATTTTTTATATTTTAGTGCCTAGAAGTCGGTTTTTATTTAGTTTTTTAAAGTTTTTTCTTAAATTATATAGGAATTGGGACATAACAAAATAATGAAAGTAAGAGTCTTTTTATAATAGGTAGAAAACCTACGTGTTATACGAATAATAAAATTGTGAATTTATAAATAAACTTTTACTTAAAAAATAATATTTTAAGTTACGCTTTATATTAAATTACAAACCTTTGAAATGAGATTAGACGACCTTGGATACCGTGAAATGTTTTAAATGTAACAAATCGGATATCCAATTAGATTAAGTATGTTATTCACACACACGTCTAGAAAAACGTTGAATGTTGTTTATGAAGTACGTGCCTTTATGGAAAGGTTATTTTTGGCTCGTAGAAGTCAATTTGAGAAATTTTGAGGCAGTCGTAGACTAGTGATATCGCTTACTTGGGAAAGTGAGTGAAGCAGGTTCAAATACCGTGTGTCGAACCTTTGATAATTTCATTGTACGAATCATTTCCAACATGATTACCACTTGTCTTATAGTAAAGGAAAATATTGTGAGGAAATCTGCATATCTGAGAGAACCTAGCAAGTTTTCACATGTGAAGTCCAACACACAAAGACAAGTCCGCCAACCTGCACTAGGCCAGTGTGGTGGACTAAAGCCTGATCCTTCTCGCATTGAAGGGAATGTCCAGCAGTGGCACGTTAAAAGGGCTGAATACAAGCCAATTTATTACATTTAGAATGTTTGTTAATGTCTGTTTATTCTCTCGTCACTGAAGAACGACTGGACGGGTTTCATATTATGATAGATCATATTTTGATCCAAAGATAAACCATGCTTTCATGCGCACTCATGGAGGTAATGTTTTATAAATAAAAAAACTCGTTACTCTTTTATAAGAACGTTGTTTCAAAGTTTATTCTTGATTTGAAAATATAATAATGCCAGTGGCTCGTATACCTACATATAATCGACTCGATCGTGTATATACTAACTATTGTGCAGCGATTTCCACCTATACACTGTACTATCATAAAATCTTTTTTCGGTACATTGCATACTATAGAAATGATCTAAAATGTTGATAAAGGAGATCTAAAATATCTGAAATTTCGAGTAACTGCCGTTCATCAAGCTAATCTATGTATGTTTGTTTGTTTATACACTGCCTAATACTAGGCAAAACCTTTTTTATTCTTACCAAAGAGGATGACCTAAGGGATGTAAATTTTTTTAACGTCAATATGTCAATGTCTGTCTGGGAACGCATCACGACAACCACTGGACAGATTTTGATGAAATTTGGTATGATTATAGCTGGTTATCCGGGTCAAAATATCTCATCTCTGAGAAATCTCTACTAACCTTAAAACGTAGGCACGAACCCGAACGTGACGAGGGTGAGCCGCTATTAATAAATAATAATAGTACCAGTTTCGACCACGGTGACCAAATTGGTCTCTAAGACTAGCCATGTAAACAGGACATGTTATAGTGCGCTGTTATATACGCTCTCGCTCGCTCGCGCTTTCTATTCCTGACACTCAAAGTCAGATATTAGGTACAGGACTGATGGTTTTACGTGCTGGTTCAATCCTCGGAGGAGAAATACTTTTGACATCCCAACTCCGGGCTGTTACTAAGAATTTCTTATCAGAATAACCCAATATCTACATTTCGACCCGATCCGGGAATCTCAGGACCTTCAGATCACTAGACCAACGAGGTAGTTAAAGCAAAGATGTGAAGACTCGACTCATAACAATTTTAGATATTGGCGCATCGCTTGGACAGCAGACATAAAATTATTATTTATACTTATTACAAACGACGGTGAAACGCTAAATTTGTAAGGCAATTAAACCACATTTATTTTATATATATAATGTTATCAAGCATTTTTATCGATATGCTTTAATGACAAATAAATTATGGATACAATAAAACAACGTAGATCATAGAAATCAGATCTCAATAAACAATAATAGAATAAGTACCTATTTAAAAAATAATCTTTTTCTATTCTTATAAAGTTGAATTGTACCTTTTGAAGATCGTTAGTTATGAAGAGCTAAAATAACGTGTATATTTTTTTGCCATTGTAAAAATTAAAAAGCTCGTCCGCCGTTGACTTTGCGATCAAAACCGCGATTACTATCAAAAGCGACCAATTATTTATCGAAGCAACATTAATTTTCTCTATTATTTTCCATTATTTTATCATGAATTATACAGTGGGCGTTATATGGGAAGTGTTGGTTCAAATGAAAGTCGATGCAATCACAGTTGTATTTCAAATTAACAATAATCACTTTGTACATAGTTAAACAGCACTTCACTACACAGCCATATACCACTTCACTATTACCATGTATAGACAATACGGAACGCAAGACAGTTCCTAGTGGAGCGGTCCTAAGCTTGGCTCAGCTCGAAGGCAAGTGTCCAGCCCTCTTAGCACCCCTCCCTTAGCTAGGCTCCGTCGTAGCACGAAGCTCGCCGAGTGTTGGCGATAATACCGAAGGTGCTGCCATTACTCAGGCGTCGTGCCGCGCTTCGTTTAGCGACCGTATTGATGACCGTCTCCGACACGGCCATCCTGCGTGCACACGCCCTCGTGTGTTAGCCGTGTGTTAGCCTGCAACCAAATAATCAACAAAAATACTTGCTCGACTCGGTCAATCCTGACCAGATAAAACTTAACTTTGAATCTGAATCATCTTTATTCTAACGAAAAGCTTTAACGCTAAGACCTTTGTTTTTTTTTTTTTTTTAAACTCCAAGTCACTATTTATCTCTAATCTAACTAATAACGTCAGTCATCTAGAGCCATTTTTTTTTAACGTTGGGAAATGCATTTACGCACGAAGTGTCTAGAGCCATGTACCAACATCATTCAACACTTCAATCAAACTAATTTTCAAATTTACTAGCACCTCTGTAAACCACTCTTAGGCCACGGCCTTACAAGCCAACCAGCAATCACAATTGCTCCACAATCCAGGTGCATCCACTACGGGATCACCGTATGTATCATCCTCTCGATGACTACACACTATGGTCATAACAGACCCCGACCTCCGCCAGAACTAAACGCACATCACACACCCACGGTCTATTTAGTTTGAGCTTCCTCAAAAGACCGACTTTTACCAGGCTATGACTACGTAATAGTTACTAGTACGGTCGACACTACTACGGCCGTCAGAATGCTTACATCGGTTTCCATCGACTTTATTAAAACATTTGCTTGGCATGATGATCATTATTTACATCAACCTCTATTGGTACATGACCTACTAGAATTTTTGTGTAAAGAATTTATAGCCGTCATGTTAATAGAAAACCTTTCAATATCTCATGTTCTATCATGATACCATTTTGTAACTAATAATTAGGGAAAACATAATATTTCAAAAGAATTCAAGAGAATGACCGTTAATCGTTACAAAACAAATTTTACTCTGTGCGGAATATTCTGTTTTGATCAATACTAGAAATTGCAAGGACAAAATCGTTAACCACACAATTTGACTGCTAAATGTTATCTTACTAACGAATATTCAGCAACATGATTATAACAAAAGCAATACAGATTACCTCTATGCCATTGAGCATTCGAAGATGGTTGTACAACACATACATCCACGCGTCGTTCCGTTCGTGTTGCACCCAAATTGCTGCCGTCCACTTGACTGGAACTACTTATGCACCGGAGCGTGATGTGACCAGGCTTGCCACATTTGAAGCACACCAGAGACTTCACTGCAGGCTGCAATGCCGTTGCTGTCATCGAAGGTCGTTCCACACTGTCATTTACCTTGCTTCTACACTCTGACCGCTTAAGACTCACTTTTTTTTGCGTTTCAAATGTGAGAATGCGTGCAATCCCTGCTGCAGTCGATCTCGCGAAGCAATTTTCGTAGTAAAGGCCAATCGTTGTAATTTCGAATTAAACTGACATAAGTGAGCAAGGACAGTCGCAATTGCTATCTGATTCTTGCTAGTGTCTTTCCAACGATTAGTCAGTGACGTCATCAGGCGATTTGCGTAGGTAACGAGTTTCTTTTTTCATTTGGTTAGTCACTGTTAAAATTAATTAGCGTACCAGCCAATTTCTCGGTGGAAATAAATCTCGCCTTGAAAATCACCTTGAACTCTTCCTATGTTATTCTCTGGTATACAAATTGTGATAGCCACGTCGACCCTTATCCTTTTAATTCCTTACTGACTTAAAACAAGCTGGCCACCGTATGGAGGGTATTCGGAAAAACACAAATCTGCAGTCGCAAACAAAGATCTTGCGTCCGTATCCATATTGTCAGGGTCAAACTCGCGTAACTCGACATTCATCTTCGTCCGAGGCATTTTCAAGGCCTCGATAAGAGATCACTTATTGACATTTTGTTGTTCACACATAGCACGTCATTGTTCACTCAGAGTTAGTTCTTTTTGCAATTGAACCAACACTGATCCCACTTCTGATATCGAAGCAACATTAATTTTCTCTATTATTTTCCATTATTTTATCATGAATTATACAGTGGGCGTTATATGGGAAGTGTTGGTTCAAATGAAAGTCGATGCAATCACAGTTGTATTTCAAATTAACAATAATCACTTTGTACATAGTTAAACAGCACTTCACTACACAGCCATATACCACTTCACTATTACCATGTATAGACAATACGGAACGCAAGACAGTTCCTAGTGGAGCGGTCCTAAGCTTGGCTCAGCTCGAAGGCAAGTGTCCAGCCCTCTTAGCACCCCTCCCTTAGCTAGGCTCCGTCGTAGCACGAAGCTCGCCGAGTGTTGGCGATAATACCGAAGGTGCTGCCATTACTCAGGCGTCGTGCCGCGCTTCGTTTAGCGACCGTATTGATGACCGTCTCCGACATATTCATATTGTTGTTTTCAATACTACGTGATTTGCAAGAATAACACGACCACGAAGATTATCACTACATACTTATTATAAACTAACGACTCACCCTCGCTTCGCTCAGGTTCGTGCCTAACTTGCTTCCCAATCACCCCCTTAAGGGATGATTTTCGGGATAAAAAGTATCCATGTTTTTCCCAGGGTCTTAAACTATCTTTATACCAAATTTCATCTAAATCGGTTCAGTAAATCCAGAGATTACAACCTCACAAACTTTATCTTTTCATAATACGCGTAATATATTAGTATTTAGTACATACTACATATAGATTAAAGTCCCCTACCGCACTGATAATGTTAATACTTTTTGTACGGATTTTCATATTTCTTTCACCAATAGAAAGATTGAGTATCTAGGAAGGTTTATAAGCTATGGTTTATAAATAGCTTACGAAAATAAGCAACCGGTATCAGGTATAATGTGTTAATTTCGAAAAAAATCGTCCCTTCCGTAATATTATATATGCGAAGGGCATCTGCGCCAAGCGACGACTTGTATATGATAAATAATTATTATACCAATTATAATATTGGTCGGTGCGACTATGGTCTCAGTCACAATCACTTAATGGCACTTTTGACTCAGTTTGTAGTGCCCCACTTGCTGTGCCAGCAGTCGCGGGTTAGAGTCCCGTTGGGGGCATTCACTTGTGTAATCGGCACGATTGTTTGTACTCCAGTCATGGGTGTTTATATTTATAATATGTATGTATTTAAAGTTATATATGTATGTGTAGTGTATCAACTATCTGGTATCCATAACATAAGCCTTGTAACTTACCATAGAACTAGATGATGCTGTCCCAACATATTTATTTATTTAATGTATTGAATGTTAACGTTACTTAAAAAAAACCTTTTTATCTGAAACATGCTTAAACTACTATGTAAATGACAATGCAAATAAACTACTTTTCTTTTTTCCAACATTCTTAAATTATTAATTTAAATGAAAATATGTCTACATTTAGAAGACCTTATTTGTTGTGAGATTCCTGGCGGCATCGTTGCCAGTCTTCAGCTTAATTGAGTTAATTAAGGCGGCATTCTATATTAAAGATCAAGGATAATAATTCTAATTAGGTAGTCCGTGTAGTCCACGTTAGATAATTCTAGTTAGGTTTATATTTTTTACTATCTTAAATAATCTGATATTTGAACCTTGGACCGCCGCGCCGACATACTGAAAGTGCTACCAGAAACCAGTTTTTCGAGAATAGCTTCTCTCTAGCGTTCTTAGATATTTGCGTTATCCAGCATACTTTTTATCTAAATTTCATTTTATACCGATTATACATGCGCAACCTAATGCTGACTTACGCCAGATGTTACATATTTTTGTATTTAGGTAATTAGTCTGATATTATTAAATAAAACTATCTTTTCGGATTATTTCGCGGATTTATTTTGATTTTTGGTTCCCGACGTTTCGAATGCTTTACAGCATCCATGGTCACTGGAGAGACTGAGGTGTTACATGTCTTGTGTACATGTGTTGTTACAGACAGCCTACCCACAATTAACAAAATGAAAAATGCACCAATTACATTACAATATTTTTAACTTTAAAACATTTTTATAATTTTAATTATATTTGAATATGGAAAATTATTTATTTAATTTTTGCTATTATTTTTATAATTATTACAATTTTAAAATATTAATTAGTAATCTATATTTAGTGTTGCCATTATTATATTTATAACCATAAAGAAAAATATAAAATATAGTATTAATTATTTAAGCCATATAATTGTTCTATGTGTAATTTAAAAAAGTTAAAATTAATTAAGGATAATAAGATAAGATAATAAGAAGAAGATAAGAAAGTATTATAAGAAAGTATTAGTCTGATATTGTTGACGCCGATACGGCATTATATTTTTTGCATCGCGTGTTTAGTCAGATCGTTTTGTTATTCCTTCGATGTCACACATTTTTGCTGTCATCGTGAGAATACATACTAATGAATGAATCGTGCAATCGGATATTATTGCCAATTGGCCATGTAATTATGCTTGTGACTGTACTGCCAATTTTCATGACTTTTCGCAAAACTATGATGTACACTTGTTAGTTTTATTTAGTTTGCCTGTTTGGGTAAAATTTAGTAATTGAAATTCTACTCCTTTCTTGCTGACAGATTGATCTGATATTTGGTACATATCTTTAGTTCTGATGACAATACAATTGAATATATTCAGTATTATAAATCCAAGATGGCTGCCGCCACAAAACGGCAGATTATATATTTTTCACAACCCCCTCAATATGGGTATCGAATGGTTTTACAAGTAGAACACAGCATGGCGGGTCATACAGTAAAAAAAAAAACTAAAAACTTGAAAATAAAATGTTTTTTTTTTTTATAAAGTTACAACGTTTTTATTGAAAAGAAATATAATAAGTACATATTTACTCAGGTGACGCTAGGTCCCAAGATTTTATTTTTGAGTCTGATCAACGTCCTAGATTGATGAGGAGAGTGTGATGACTGGTACCTAGGACCTATCTAATTATTTTGTTGTTTTTAGTGCATTATCTACAGCATCATTATCTTTTATTTTAATAAAACCGTTTAACTTAAAATATTTTTTTTACCTATTTTGTTTTTCATTCATTTCGTGGTAGTTGTTATAGTCATCGCGAACCTATTAATCTTTCGTTATATCCTAATATATTTTTTTCCATTTTGATGCTGGGCCCATACAATATTCTCAGCTTAAATCCGTGGTTACTATTTTTTCGTTATTCGGGACGGAAAAGAGGCTTTATCGGTACCCTTTCTTTCATATAGTTTGTCCGTATAAAGTCTTTCTAAAAGTTTAAACATTCATTTCTATTAAGGGAACATAATTTCATTATCTAAAAAGGTTAATAATTAATATCGTATCTTAGATATATTAATAGATCTATATAACCTTGTCCACAGCCGGTAAACAAACCGAGTGTGGGACGGATAACGCCCGTCAGCGGCGCCCTTGGTGGCCGCGCGCCGCGACCCGCGCCTGGCTCGCCACCCGCCCGCCCCCGCGCCGGCGCCGCCCGCCCGCCCCAGCCGCCGCTGCGCCCGCCGCGCCCATCGCGCCTAACGTGTTCGACATCAAGCCCCTGGACCGGCACGTGACCGTCACGCAGCGCAAGAACGTCATCACAATAGACGTGCGCCAGGACACGCGCGACGCGCGCGACCCGCGCCGCCGCAAGCCGCCGCCCCGCGACAAGGACAAGCGAGACACCCGACCGAAAGACGCAAACAAGGTCGTCGACGATTACATAGACCGTCTCCAAATACCAGACCCCAAGAGAATAAACAAACTACCCCCCATACCCAAAATACAGCGCGATAAAGACGACCCCCCCGTCAAACGGAAGAAGGAACTACCCCGCGACAGAAAGAAAAGAAGGGATAAAGACAGCTCCAGCTCCTCCCCGGAAAAACGGCTGAAAATTGTTAAAGCCAAAGAGAAAGAAAAGAAAGTTAAAATAAAAGAGCGCATGGAGGTTGATGAAAAGCCGTCGGATGGCGAAGTCGTCGCGTTCAAGGAACTTAAGAATTATCACAAGGAGAGATACATGCGGAGAAATAAGGAGAAATCGGAGAGCCCGGAGAGAGAGAAAGAAGAAGCGAAGCCGCCAGAAGAGTCTACAAGTAAGATTACTTTTAAAATGCGACTAAACTTGCCGTGTTTTGGTCTAACTGTGATATTAGGATGTAAGATGACGAAACACTGTGTGGAAATAAAATATTTTTCAACTCTTGGAGTATTCATATTGTCATGCTTAGGATTTTGTACCCTTTACTTCTTACATAACATACTGTCTTGCCAAGGTTTTCATCTGGAAAGCTCATATTATAATATCAGATTAATTTTAATTGATTTTCTCAACAAGAATATGTATCATTGAGGATACAAAAGTATATCAGGAACGAAATGGAATACGTTTTTGTATTCACATTTAGCTCGTCATATTCAGTACCATTTGGTGGAATTTTCATAAGTAACAGTTTTTACACTGTAAATTTTATTTGATCTCGATACCAGTGAGCTGACAAATCGTAATTAATATTGCCTTTATTCAATAATTTTAATAATATATCTAATAAGTTATTAAATAATATTTAATTTCACCTACATATACATATACTATCTATAAAGAAAAATACAAATTATTGTCTTACTTTATAAGATAAAAAATACATTTACATCTTGTTTTTGATGTCATATAAAACAATAGCTATTCAAAACAAGCAGTCTGACGACTACAATTATCTAAAATTTCAAGAGAAATCTAGAAAACTATACAAGAATATGAAGAAGAAATCTGTAATGGCAACCGAGACTGAACAAAGACCACAAGTAGCATCAAGTGTTCGAAGTACGAGCTAATTTCGTTTGGAAATTCTAATTTCTAATCAAAATGGAAGATTTGGTATGCATATGTACAAAAGACTGCTGACGAGTAATGAATTATTATTTATGAATTAATATATTATATATTTTTCAAGTGTACAAAAAATGCAAATAATAATTGAGGGGTTTATTTATTATATGCATTAGCAAATGTGTAGCGTTTTGCACTCTTCTAGTGGGTACAAGTAAATATGGAAAACTACCTTGTTTCAAATATTTCAACATTTTCAGGGGATTTTTTGGAAATTTGTAGGGTAATTTGCAAAAATGCAAATTTTTGCGCGAACTATGTTCTAGTTCTAATTTATTTTATTGCGAATGTTATAATTTATATATGTATTTAATTATTACAATACAATACTAAATTCATTATTACAATGATATTATAAATGTCAGAATTTCTTTTGACTGCGTGTGTGTATGTGTGTTGGTTGCTTCGTGACGCTGGAACGGTTTAACGGGTTTGAAGTGAAATTCGGAGTATTCAAACAAGGTTTCTTAAAAAATCGCTTATATTTGGTGGAGCTAAAAGTAAGATGTTTATCGAAAAAATGTTTATTAATTATTATTAAGTAAAGTACACAATTTGGGAAAAGTAATATCGTCCAAATGTAAACCCTCGCGTTCGCGGCACTTATCTAATCAAATAGTAAAAAAAATTCACGACGGCTCGGCAGATAGATTCCGTGATGGCTGTCGTTTCATGACGGATATTTTTTTTTCGAACGTGCCAGTGAGCTTGTTCGTTGGCGTAAACTTTTTATTTGAGGTACCTAACCCCACAGGAAAAACTCCATAGAGGTTAAATTAGGACTATGTTATATCTCCTGTCCTATAGATCAATTTACCTAAGAAAATTTTACGAATTCGTGGCAGAGTTGTATTGGACGTATGTGAATTTGATCCGTCCTGCTGGAACCATGTTCTTTAGTTATAGCCAGGGAATGTTTGCAGTTCAAGCAACAAGAAGTTATAACTGCAGTTCTTTCATCTTAAAAAAAGTAACAGCCGATAATTTCTCACGAAGACATCGCAGCCCATACGGTCACTTTAGGTGAATGCGGCTATTTTTGATGCTTGCGTTTCGGATTCGCTGTACTCGAGTATCGGCGTTCTGCTTATTTACATATCCATTAAGATGAAAATGAGCTTCATCCGGAAAGTAAAAGTACTTGCGCGCTTCTGAATTAAAAGGTTCGGATCGTCACTAAAAGACAGATTAACACTCCACGTTTTCTGCTGTTCTTGATGACATTAGTCGCCCAGAATTTTTGGTATGCGCGCGGTCCGCTACTGAAAAATGCTTGTGACAAGTGAAGTCCCAATATTTTCCAAGGGCAAAGGGCAGGGTATATAGACATACCCCCGCGCATCGAACTCGATGCGTTCACAGTAAACTAAACAAATATAAACTTTCTTTTGAGACTCTTGTACTGTCGTCGTAGCTACAATGCGCCATTGGCAACGCAAGCGGAGCCGCGGGTTCAAACTAGTATGTTTTTTTTTTCAATTTGATGCTTAATAATTTACAAAGTTAGACAAAAGGTATCTCATATTTTGTATTTTATTATAGTAGCGGTTTATGTTCATTGCTTATGTATCCTATACCTATAGCAAATTCAAAAAGGGCCCATTTTTAGAAACTACTTGTAACACAATTTCGTGTTAACATTCCGAGTATCTACTGCTAGTTTCTACTGTTTACTTTAGACGGATTTATTTAAGAATTAACAGAAAATTACATTTCTATGAAAAAAAAACCTGGAGAGAATATGGTCTGGTCTGAAGAGCATGCGCTCTTTAAGAAGACGTTAAAAGAACACATTCGTATCGTTGAGTTGTTTTAGATTGAAAAAAAAATATTATATTGTATATGTATGTATTCCTTTGCTTATGGGAACATTAATATTTTAAATTACCTATTTAAAAGCTTTGTGTTCTTAGTTACTTCACAATCATTAATAATGAACTGTTTTATTTATTCTTCTGTCGCTCATGTAAAATTACTATCTATATGAAGAATCTGCTATCTATATTTCCTTAGATTTGGATTTAAACATTAAAATATCTTAAATTTATCAAAATCATTAAATTAAAATCAAGCATATTTAAAAAAAATCAACATCTCAATTTAATGAGCATGTTCTTACTTTTTCCTTATCAATTAATTTATTGTTCTACAGACATAACATTTATATTTTTTATATGTTTACAATTACAGATCATTGATAAAAATGACCTGTAAATTTCTTCTACAATTTTTATATATTTTCCCTTTTCATATGATAAAGACTGCGTATTCACTAGAATAAGCATTCTGAAGAATACCCTTATTTTATTACTTGAAAAAATATTACCTGTAACAGATTTTTAAGCTTCACAACCACAACATTAATCTATTACATATTACCAAAACAAATGGTTACGTAACAATGATTTAGCTTTTATGTTTATGAGGCACATTTCTCATCAACAAAGTAGTATGTATGTCAGCTCACTGGAATATCTAAAGTGTCGTAGAAATCAAGTTGGTGAAGACTAAAATGATCAAAAGAAACTTATCTTCCATATTTTTAAGCACTTAAATTCTCATTTAATTATTAAGATAGTCATGAGCCTAGGCCTAAAAATAAAATCTATTATGGAGGTCCACTATTGACATCAAGACAACAAAGGTAAACTGCAAAGGATGAGAAGACAGGTAAAAGGTGTGTGATATTCAATTTTAGACTTAAAGCTGCAATAAATAGAGTCGTGTTTTCAGAACCAGTTGAAGCAAGTGTGGAGAATAAGGATGTCGATTTGCGAGTGTTGCATCCGGTTATCGCAGAAACAGCTGCGCCTATCGGACAGAAACGATCGTCCACTGAGGCACTTGAGGGGAAAGCTAAGAAAAATAAGACAGATAAGTTTGATATGTAAGTATATTTTAAAGCTTTAAAGAGAATAGGTACTTAACGTTCAAACTCAACGATTCAATAAATATTTATGTTAAATCTTCAAGTATATCGGTATACTACTGCTACTAGATTATATTCATAATTATAGGTGAAACAGATACTTAATATTTTTAAATTTTCAGTCTTTTTGGGAACGAGGACGTTGATTTGAGACAACTACCTCAAGTAGAAGAAGTGAATGTACCGCCCCCACCTTCAATAACTGAAAATAATATTTTAATAACGTCAAAATCTAAGGAAAATGATGATGGTCCAGAAGACTGCGAAGAAGCAGTCTCACCAGTTCGATCACCAAGAAAAGACTGGCAAGAAGTAAAGGAAAAAGAGGATACGAAGAAAACACCATCGAAATTGGATCTTGTAAGAGCGAAATTAGCTGAGGCAACGAAAGTTAAAGATGGCCTTGGGCGTCCTCTATTGTTCAGCAAATCACCAAGTAAGTGTGCAATTGCGATATGATGTGCCCTTTTTAATCTTCTATTAATTTGTATAATTTACTAATTATAAACTTTTCATTTAGGTATAGAAAGAGAAAGAAGGCGTACACTTAGTTCAGAAGATAATGAACTACGAACTGATAATGGAGAGGACTTTGACGCAGAAGATCACAAAAAAACCATTTCAATTATCATGAATCAAGCAAAAGAGCAATTTAGCGATGGCCAGCTCGACAAAAATCAATATAACGCATTAATGTACCAAGTACTACAACTCAATGAGAAGCTAAAATTAAAAGAAGCGAAACAAAGAGAGTCCTTAGAAATATCCAAGAGGAAACTCAAAGCACATATACAAGAAGAAAATAAAGTATCTTCGCCTAAGGCATCTCCATCTGACAGAAATAAATTTGGAGACATCGATGAGAGAATAACGCCAGCTCCATACATGGACCCTATGTCTGAAAATCAAAACCATCACCAAGATTCTGATATGAGGATGAATCATAATGGAGAAATCATGGACAATAAACCCGGACATTTCCCCATGCCACCAATGATGCCCATGTTCATGGGACCGTTTCCTCCAAGGTGGAGAGGACAGCCTCGTCCCAGGATGGAAGATTTCGGACCTCGAAGATTTAGAATTCCCATGCCGCCATTTTTCAGGGGAAAATTCGATAAAAGAGGGCCCAGATTTGAACCTAGAATGCCACTTTTACCAACTCCAAAACTAGGCATGTGCCAAGGTGAAAATCCTTTAAAGCCTTACGAAAGATCGATTTCTCCTCCTCCACTTGGTACTCCCGGCTACAGTCTTCCCCCCACCGATTACAAAGTGCTAGAATATATTGATCAAGATCCTGTAAAAAGTATTCAAATCGATGGCATTCCTAGAGAAATAAGATTTTATGGAGAAACAGCCGTTATAATGCGAGACTGGGACGACCCGCGGGAAATAAAATTTTTACCAGGGTCACGAAGGGTAACTTTTGATAACAAAGACTCGGTCGTTTTAAACTTTAACGAGGGCTATAAACAAGTAGAAATAGACGATCAGACGTTTGACATTCGGTTTGGGGCGCCCACTAGGGAATTGTACATAAATGGAAGGTGGTACGAGTGTTTCTTCGGCGGTCAGCCATTAGGAGTTATAATTGATGGTAAGCCTCGTTTAGTTCATTTAGAAGGCCCGCTGCCGCAAGTAGATATAGGTAAAATCAAACGCACAGACTTAGTGGCAGGCAAAATTAATCTCATAGTGAACGCGACTAATATCTGTCCTGTGTATTTGGACGCGAAAGTACAAAAGTTCCACGTGAACGGACAGTTCTTCACAATACGATTTGTAGATTCTCTACGAACCGTGCTTATTAACGAGCAACCGTTTAAAGTTGAATATGGTGATCTGCCAAAGCCCATATTTATTGGCGGGGAGAAGTATTTTGTGAGATTTTCTGCTCTGCCCAAAAACATAAAACCCGGTCAGGTAGAAATAGCAGGCATGGAAGGATCTAAGCCGTTAGAGAAGAAAGAATCGGAAGATATTATAGAAAAGAAAGAAGAACCGATGGAAACCGATGTGGAACAGCCCGTGGAGGAGACTGTACGGAAAACACCAAGCCCTGAAGGGGAGATGAAAGGTAAGAAATATCTAAAACCTTATCTTACATTTCTACGTTCTCTATACATAATTATTTATTTGTTCACGAAATAAATCCTTTTGTAAGACTGTAAAATCAGGGCTCGGAAACCCGTTCAATTTTTAAACCGGTTTTGATCATTGATCCCAAACCGAAAGGCTTTTCGTTTTAAGGTTTCAATTACGTTCTTTAACCGGTTAAAATAAGTTTTTGTTTGCTTACATTTTCCGCGTCATTGCTAATGGTAAATGGCTTAGTAGAAGGATACATGTACGTTTCTTATGAATTGATTAACTAGTTTATTTCGATATCAAAACCGAAATCAAACCTTTCTCTAAGAATAACTGTTAACTATTATTATTTCAGTTTACTAAAAACCGTTCATTTTCATTAACCGGTTAAAGAACGAGCTATTAATTAACCATTATATTAACGTAATTTACAGTATCTATTAAGCTGGCTCCGAGCCCCGTGTAAAATATGATTCAGATTCGTAATACTGATTGACTAATATATAACTTTTGCATTCGTTTTTCACTTATCAAGTTTCTACATTGTTGTAAAATTCCTACAGTGGTGACAACACTGTGTTGTTGATATAATAATAATATAATAATGATATCAATTGACTTTGATATAATAATGTATTAATTGATTTGCACACAGGATTGGATATGTTGGCGAGCTTGATGCCAACCAGTATGGCGCCGGCCTCGAGTTCGGAATACAGTTCAGCCGAGCCATTATTTGCCAAACCGGAAAAAATACCCGGCCTGGAAACACCTTCAGACGAAAAACCAGCGCCATCTTTGCCAATCCTTGGCAATATCAACGTGAACGATTTGTATGCTAAGCTGGTGGCCACCGGCATCGTGCCAATGCTAAACGATGTGAAGCCAGACACCAAAGTGGAGCCCAAGACTGAGGAAGCTAAGCCCAAGCCGAAGGAAGATAGGAATGTGATACATAAAGTTGATATGTTGAAATCGGAGACTCTGAGAGTGTAAGTAATAAGATTATTATAAATATGTAAATAAGATTATTTCTCTTTTATATTTACTTAAATTGATACTGACAAATAAAACTTCAATAATTGCTAAAATTTGAGATTCATTTTATTAATAACTAATTAAACAAAATAATAAGAACCTATAGCTACATTATATAGAATAAAATAATATTATATGAAATTAGAGAAACGACATTTAAAGTTTTAATTCAACATTTTTACAATTCAGCATATACCCCTTTTCACACACATATCCTCTTTCGCACAGTTTATGTATACCTTTCTCGATTTACCTCTACATTTATGTGTAAAAATGTAATGATGCGCAGGAAGCAGCCGGCGCTGGTGGCGCGGCTGTACGGCGGCATGCAGTGCAGCGGCTGCGGCGCGCGCTTCCCGCCGGAGCACACGGTGCGCTACTCGCAGCACCTGGACTGGCACTTCCGCCAGAACCGGCGCGAGCGCGACTCCGCGCGCCGCGCGCACTCGCGCCACTGGCACTACGACGTCTCCGACTGGCTGCAGTACGAGGAGCTCGAGGACCTGGAGGAGAGAGGTGACACACGACAACACGAGACGGCACAATTACAGTGCTCTAACTTTGATATTTTAGCCACGAAAATTAGTACTTTTTTCCAACTCTTACATTTAACAGCATTTCCATTATTTATCGGGCTCGTTGTATAGGTTTTTGTACTGTGTTTGAAATAATTTAAAAAAAAAGTGTCTGTGTACTTATGTGGCCAGTGCTCTGCCCCATTTTCTTACCATGATCTTATATATTTATCTTATAAATTAAAACCGCCAAAAGCAAAATCAAGAATCCTTCTGCAGCGCAATTTTAGTGGTATCAATTTAGATAGATTACATGCAGATGCTGAAAATATCGACTGGTCGGCTGTTTTTAATGCAAGCACAGTTGATGAGCAAGTATCAATATTTAATTCGCTGTTAACCCAACTGTATGACATCCATGCTCCGGTTCGCCCTGTTCGTATGAAGCATCTTCCAGCTCCGTGGCTTACTCCTGAAATCAAAAAACTCCAAGGAAAAAAATTTGTAGCGAAGTCAAAGTACGTATCTAATCCTAATGATGACAATAAGGCCAAATATATTAAGGCTCGCAATCGTTGCAATATAGTGTGTAGGGATAGTCAACGACGCCATATCTATAAATCTATCATCGAAGAGGATGATCTAAATAAAATGTGGAAGTTTCTTAAATCCCTTGGAGTAGGTAAATCTAAGCAAAATATAAATCCGCACAATATAAATTTAAATCTGATAAATCAGCATTTCTCTTCTTCTACTACTGTTAATAGTACAAATAAATTAAACACGCTCAACTATCTTTCAACTTTACCTACTCCTGATTTTCCCCGTTTTTCTTTTAGTCAATTTTCCGAAAGTGATGTTAAGAGAAATATTATGGCAATAAAATCTAATGCGGTTGGGGCAGACTGTATAAGCCGTAAAATGATTCTTCCCGTTCTTGACTATATCGTTCCTATTATTACTACCATTTTAAATTCTTCAATTAACTTCAATCAATTTCCTTCTTCCTGGAAAGATGGGCAAATCTTTCCTCTTCCTAAAATATCTAGTCCATCTTCTTTTTCTGATTATCGTCCTATTTCTATTCTTCCTTTTCTGTCAAAAGTACTCGAACGATTGGTTCACCAGCAATTGAGTGCTTTCCTCTACAAACATAATCTTTTAAATTCCTTTCAATCTGGTTTCCGTCCTAATCATAGTACGACTACGGCTTTAGTCAAAATAACAGATGATATCAGGAAAGGTATGGACCATCAAAGACTTACTGTGATGGTTCTACTAGATTTTAGTAATGCTTTTAATACGGTGGACTTTGACATCTTGCTTGCCATTATATCTTCTCTAAACATATCTCCTGAGGCCGTTGACTGGTTTCGTTCTTACTTGTGCGATCGCCGGCAACGAGTTCGGATTGAAGATTCTTACTCCGATTGGTGCAAAGTTACTGCCGGTGTTCCACAAGGTGGCGTGTTGTCTCCTCTCTTATTTTCAGTTTTTATTAATACTATTTGTCTCCAAATTTCTTCTCACTACCACCTATATGCAGACGATTTGCAAATTTATGCCGTGACATCTGTGGCTGATTTACCACAAACAATAGAAAATATTAACAAAGATCTCTCCTCTATAGCTACATGGGGTAAATCGTACGGCCTTAACTTAAACGCAACGAAATCGCAGGCAATTATTATTGGCAGTCAAAGGATGTTGTCAAAAATTAAAACTATACAAATACCAGAAATATTGCTAGATGGTGTTCAGATTCCTTTTCAGGAAAAAGTTAAAAATCTGGGTTTACTTATTGATCAACACCTGTCATGGGATCCGCAAGTGAGTGAACTGAGCCGGAAGATGTTTGGAGCGATTGCTTCTCTTCGCAGATTGCGAAATTTCCTTCCGATTCCTACCAAAATTGCGCTAGCAAATTCACTCCTACTACCGATTCTTGATTATGCTGACATTTGTTATCTCGACATCAAAGAGGAGCACTTGAATAAACTTGAGCGACTCCAAAATCTTTGTATACGGTTTATTTTCGGCCTTAGAAAATATGACCATGTTTCTCAATTTCGTAAAAAGCTCAAGTGGCTCCCAATCCGATTCCGCAGGAATACTCATATTCTTCATCTTCTCTACTGCGTGCTGTTTAACCCTTCAACTCCTATTTATCTGAAAGAGCGTTTTGAGTTTCTGGATGATTCCCATGTTCGTTCACTTCGCTCTGCTCAAAATTTCCTTCTTAAAAATCCTACTCACTCTTCCTGTTTCTTCACAAATTCTTTTACAGTAAAAGCTGCTCGATTGTGGAATTCTATTCCTTTAAGCATTAGATCTGCTAAAAGCTTAGATAAATTTAAAAAGTTATTAAAAGATTATTATATGTCTCTTTAAGTCTTTCCCTTAGTCCTTTCTCCTAATATCATCGTTATTATTATTTCCTCTATTATGTTCTAGTATCTAATCCTATTTATTATTTGATTGATTTTTTCTTTTTTATGTGTGTGTGTAAATTTAACGCATATAAGTATGTATGAATGTATGTATGTATATATGTATGTATGTATGAATGTATGTATGTATGTATGTATGTATCTATTTATCTATAAGTATTTATATATAGTAAACATGTTAAAGCAAGTACACCGCCTACCGTTTTTATGAACATTTACTCCTCCACCTCAAGGTTGCCTGGAAGAGATCGCTTCCAGCGATAAGGCCGCCTGCTGTGCATCTTTTCTTTGTATTGTTTTTTTTATTTTATATTTATTTTGGTGTACAATAAAGAATATTATTATTATTATTATTATGTGCGCACTTAAAAATTATACTTCTTTGGCATAATAGAAAAAAATAGTTAAAGATTTCATCTCGCATCTCACAACTCTCTGTTTGTAAAAGAAATGCTGCTAACTTCATCATGTCGTTTTTGGCTGTACTGTGCGCACACATCGTAAAAAATTTAGTCTCATATTTTTTTCCAAACGTACTAAAACAAGTCTTCAAAAAATTAAAATATAATATGGAATGGCTTTGACAATTCAAAAAAAAGAACCATAAATACGATACAAATCTTACAAATAAACACTAATATTATATTCAAACCGAACAGAAAAGAGCTGGTTCGAGACGGGCGCGCCGGCGGGCGAGGCGGGCGGCGCGGGCGCGGGGGCGGAGGCCGAGGAGAGCCCGAGCGCGGCGGCGGGCGCGCCGCAGCACCACTGCGCGCTCTGCGGCGACCGCTTCCAGCAGTTCTACAACGAGGACCGCGAGGAGTGGCACCTGCGCAACGCCGTGCGCCACGACGACCGCCACTACCACCCGCTCTGTCTGCAGGACTACAAGGTACACACTTGTTGTATGTAGCGTTCATCGAAACACAATACCGCGCATAATGCTAGTCGGTAAAAATACCGTTATACAGCCGACGCTGCACTCGGGCGCGCCTCGCGTTTTACCGCGCGAGATCGTTTTTATCTCGCCCGAGAGAAAATCTCGCTCGCTAAAGTTTATGCCTTACGTTTATTCGATTTCGTATTTCGCATTCTAATATTAATATTTAATGCCCAAAACTAATTCTGTACTTTCGCTATTCCTTCTCTGTGTAATATCATCTGTGTGAGAAAATACGTGTGTTTAATGTGTTGATTCCCTTCTTTAATTTATCCCTGCATAACTTTACCTAACTTCTTATTAATATAGATTAAAACTCATTCTATACAACAACCCTTTTTTTTTTAACGTTGGGAAATGCATTTACGCACGAGGTGTGGGACTCACCGGCAAAGCCAGTACTACCCACTAAAACCCAACAAAACCTTCCTCCGTCTTAATGGGGCGTCGCAGGATCGCTTACGCATTCAACTACGACGCCCCGACGGCAGGTCTGCCGAAGCAGACCACAACAACCATGGGGTTGCTCCACAATCCACTCTGCTATCAGAGAAGTACCAGGAGCAACCCGCAAGGTACACCGCCCCCCCGAAGAGGGCCACCTCCCACCGCCCACCGAAGTGGGCAACCTCCCTGTGCGTTTCTTAGCTTCGCTACTACTACTGAGCCCCCCCACCACGACATGGTGAACGCACGTTGGGGGGGTATATACAACCCTGGGATTGGCCTCAAAAATTGTTTCTAGTGGCTTTCGGTGTCACTAGTAAGCTAGTTCTATCGTCATATTAGCTTGATCCTGCTCCATGTTTTACTTATGTATTTACATAATTTCAAAGTATTGATTATTGAGTTGTAACAACACTAATTTTAATTAAAATGTGTACACTCTTTATTTTTATTTTTGATATAGATATATTTTTTGTTTAAAAAACGTTTTGATCGTATTATTTTTAGGATATGGCTGATTTATTACGTTTTTTATATACAGCAATGACAAATTTGAATATACTGTAAACGTTTACGAATAGAAGGCGACGATAATTGTAACCATATTATAACAATCCAGTCTCTTAGCACAAAATAAAATAATTCATTTTTATTTCCAAGGCATCATTGACAAAAGAAGAGCAGCCCAAAGAGGAGCCACCGGTGTTGACGGAAGTGCCCTCGCAGGAAAAGTGCGAGGAGGCGATAGAGATCGAGGACGACGGCAAGGGCGAGGACGAGGTCGAGTCCGACTCGGAGTCCGTGGTCGAGGTGGTCGAGCCGGAGGTCATAACGGCTGAGCCTGTGGAGGTAATGCGAGCAAAACGTATCTTGAATTTAGGCATTATTAAGATAATAATGACAAATTAGCTTAGAAGGTTTCATATTATGTCCATGTCAATATAGATTTCCACTATCTGTGTGAATATGTTACAAGATATTAGTAATGTCATGCTCCATAAGTATATTTTGGGTTTAAACTATCAAAAGATTAATAAAATGCATTTTGCGTTATTGATAAGACGAGACAAATATATTCTTTTATAATTTAAACCTAAAAGCCATAAATAAGATTGAATATAAGTAAATGAATTTAAAGTGTCTGTTTGTTATGCCAAAATATCAGCTTTTTATATACTACAGTACTTATAAGAAAAAAACTTAAAATGTTTGTCTGTTTGTTCCGATTAATCTCCGAAACCACTAGACCAAATTTGAAGGCATTTTCACTGGCGGATAGCTGATGTTATGAGGGGAGTAACTTAGACTATTTTTATTTTTTTAAAAGAATTATACTTTCACATAAAAAAATTATAACCCTTAAATTGTGAACAAAATTCCGCGCATCTAGGCTTGCACGCACCCCAACGAAGCGAGGGTAAATCACTAGTTCAAAATACATCTTAGTTACCACGTTCTAATAAGTCTTTCTCCCTCTCAATCAGATCGACGAAGGCGAAGAAGACGATGTGGTGCTAAAAGCCGAGCCCGTGGAGCAGGTGGTGGTGGAAGACGCTGACACCGACGACGAGACGGCCGCCGAGCGCGCCACACGCGACAAGCGCGCCGAGATCGACTTCGCCAACATCAAGGTCAAACAGGAGCCCATTGATCCAGGTGAGGGTTTGCTTCCTTTATAAAGTGTTTTCTCAAAGGAATGAGATAATCTCCCGCCATAAAGCGTAGTATAAGTCACTCCCCAGCCCTCCAAAATCACGCTAATCTGACTCTGTTCCGTTTCTACGTGAAATAAAGACAGAAACACATTTTTACATTTATAATATTAGTATGGATTAGTTCGTTTATTGTTGTAATGTGTTATTTTCATAGTGTATGTAAAAGTAACCTTCAGTTGTGTTAGTGTAGTGTATATTTTTTTTGTAGGTGTCTTAAAATACAATATTATTACATGATATCTTGACATATTTAGCCAAATGTTTAGTTCTTTTTGAAAAAGAAACGTAATATCTAGTAAGAAATTAATTATTTGGTACTTTTACTTCATTGAAGAACGTATTGTTCTTAATTTACGTACTAAATTGATATTTTCTCTTTATAGACGATGAACCAATAATAACAGCGGAGGTAGAGAGCATACCGCCTACCATCGACACTACGCACAATACAGTGACTTCGTCTATCGACGGCAACGTCCAACTCGAGGACGCCACACAAACACCTGTCATACCATTTGGAGGCATTCGGATAAATATCTCAAAAACCATCTCTACGACCACCAACCAAGAGAAGGAAGACGACAAGATGTTAGAAGATGTTAGTGCAGATGAAGAACTCCTCCCACCAGGAGAAGAACCGGAGTTAGAGTATAAGCTAAAACCCTCGTTAGAAGGCATTGAGTTCACCAAACAGCCGCCTGTACAAAAAGGTAGTGAATTATCTGGACTGTGCTCCATTATGTAAAATTTCAATGAAAATGACACAAGTTGAGATTTAAAAATAGTACTCGGAGATTTTATAAAAATTGTTTGATTTTATATTATTTCCTAATTATATTATTGTCGCCATCATTTCTATGCTTTGTTACTATTCTCAGTACTGATAAGAAATAGCAGAATGACAATTTATTATAGATATATTGTATAATTGTGTGTATAAGTTGTTATTTTTATAGCAGAAGCGCCTATCAGCAGCAGTTTTATTTATTTGTAGTCTGTAAAATAAAATTAAAAAATATTTAAAAAAAAATTAAATTTTCATAAAAAATGCTTAAAAAACATTTTGTTTTAATTACATCAAATAAGTTGTTTATAAATAACAATTATTGTAGATTTATCACTGCCCGAGAATGTTTGCATGTTGCAGTTTTGGCGCTTTCCTTTTGTGTTGCCAGTACCTATGTACAAAATTTTTTAAACTATAATTTAATTAGAAGGATTTTAAAGAAATGAGTTTTAATCAGTTTGCTTGTTTAATACAAATAAATGTAAATTAAAGTAAAAATTAAAATGAATACTTTAGTTCAATCATTAAGTGCTCAAAAAGAAAAAAAAAATAAGATTGTTGTATCTTTGTGGACTACTTACCTCTGCTAATCTTTAAATTTATACTTCGCCTATAAATCACTTTTCTCCACAACTTTTATATTATATTTATAAATTGTAAATAATATATTGTTGATAGGTTAGTAGAATACTAAATTGATTTCGATGAAACTTCTTACTGCTAGTTATTCCCATGGCAGGGCTTCTTTATGTCATTGATGCCAGTAAAGCATGTGTCAATTTTCTAGCATTCCATACAAGGTGTATGGGTTCATGTTACAAAATATCTTGTCCACAAATGTTAGTTTTAATTAATTGTTTAGTTCAAATATTTCTAATAACTTCCAACATAAGTATTTAACGAGAAACGTTTTTTTAAACAAATGTGATATTAAATTTAAGATAGGTAATTAGTAATAGATTTTTAAAAGAAAGAATTGTTCACTTTTTGTATATAAAGAATTTGTAAATAGTACGATTGTGTTTCGGTTGTGTAAACTGTGTACCATTCTATTCTAAGTAGGTGAAGGAATCTCTATATTGCTTTCCCTTCTAATTTTACCAAATTTCGAATTTTGAATGAAATCACAGATGTGACCATGTTGATTTAATCGAAAATAAAATAGGTTATTCTTGTCTCAAGTTTTGTTTTTATTTTATTACTTAGTGCCACTCTATGTTAATTACTTGAATAAAGGTCACTTTACAATTAAATACTGTTTTATTTAAATGATCTACGGATTTTTTCTTTTTTATTAATATGTGCAGAAAGATAATAATATATTAAAGAAGAGAAAAAAAAATTGTAGTCTTTTCATTCATCTTTATGTGGAATAGACTGATAATTGTAGCTTTAAAATATAGATAATGTTCAATATCATAAACTATACATAATATTATGTCAGTGTTTTTCTGTTGGAATGAAATAATCTCTCGCGGTAAAAAGCATTATTATGTCACTCTCCAGTCCTCTATCTCCACACAAAAAATCACGTCACTATTTCGACGTGAACAAAGAAAGACAAACACTTTCACATTTATAATATTAAGTGTGGATTGCCAATGTTGTCAAACAGAAATAGCGTTATACAATTGGGGCCCAGTCCACAAGAAGACAAAATGTATGTATGGCTATTGTGTATCTTCTCCCTGTCTACTAATAACCAAAGTCAGGTACACTATATATGAAGCCAATCCATACGAAAATGCAAGTGCTTTAGTTATTTTAGTAGTTGTAGTGTTAAAGCTCCACTTTGCATGCATATTTATCTATACATATAATAAAATTCTAACTAAGTCAAATCTGTACATTAAATATTTTTTTTAGAAAATCTTATTGAAATAGACTTTATTATCGATACAGAGGCCGAATCTATAGTTTTTTAAAAATTTTGTCTGTCTGTCTGTCTCTGTTACCGCATCACAGAAAAACTACTGGACGGATTTTGATGAAATTTGGTATGGTCATAGCTGATTATCCGGGTCAACATATAAGATACTTTTTACCGCAGAAAAATATCTCATTTCTGAGAAAAAATACAAAAACTGGTTAAAATAAAAAACGATGATACTATATAGATTTTAGCAAGTTAACTTACTAAATATGTCAAAAACTATTAAAAATAGCTAATCTTGAAAAAGTATATCAATAGCACTATTTTCTTCATTAAAAAAATATTTTAATGAAATTAATTTTTGTATTATTTAGATATTTGATAATAGATGTCGCCATGTGTCTTTAAATTACGTAGTTTTAATTCCAAAAAATTGAATGTAAAAAATTCGACCTATCTATGATTTTATTAGAATCACTACTAAATTACCCGCGGCCCCGCCCGTGTTTAAATTATCAAAAAACAATCTTTTGGCTTTATAAATTAGTTACATCTATAGATACATTAAAATTTAATGAAGCAGTATCTGTGCTTTAAATATTGTTTGGAAAATTTTACTGAAATACACATTATTATCGCTAACAGACCCGAACCTATAGTTTTAAGAATTTTTGTGTGTCTATCTGTGACCACATCACAGAAAAATCACTGGAGGGATTTCGAAGAAATTTGGTATGGTAATAGCTGGTTATCCAGGTCAACTAATATACTAATACGAGTATACTAATACATAAAACCTAAGAATTTGGTTTTGGTAATATTAACGCAGGCGGAGCCGTGGGCAATGCTAGTAATTAATACAATATCAATGACTAGAGGACTATATTACTTCATGAAGTAATGCTTCTGAATTCAAACTTTAACCATTTATAAAGCCCTAATAAGATAGTTCAATATTATGAGTAAATAAATTAAATAACTTGAACTTCATAATAATTTATTTTACTAGAATTATACAAAAAAATATCTACATATCACAATTATGAGGCCATCTCGGAAATGGCAAAGTATCTTTGATATTGGGCACATTACAAATAACTTGCAGTATTCTTTCCAAACCCAAGCCGAAACCTCCTGTGGGTATATTTCCAAATTTTCGTAGCTCTAAGTACCAGTTTAAAGCTTCTGATGGGAGCTTTTGTTTTAACTTTTCATAGTCATCTTCCCTTAGGCTCCCGCCAACTATTTCTCCTGTAATTGGGGCTAATAAGTCTAATGCATCAACCTAAAATAAAAATTATGTATATTAAACTGCATTTTTCAATAATTATAAATGAAAAATAAAAAAAATCTTCTGATCATTCCTTTTGGAATTATAATAGTATTTTTTTTTTATTTTACTAATACAACTAAGCTTGGTAAATAAATGCTTGTTATGACATTATATTTTGAAAATTATATGAACAATTCTTTTTCTGGATACTTCAGAATACTTATTATAATTACATGTAATTAATTTTACCCTAATCTGGTCATCAACTAACCTTACCATCATCCAAAGGTGATTCCTTCATGTAAAATGACTTCATATCTTTTGGCCACTGTACTACAAAGACTGGAACTTGACAATGATCTACTAAAGCTAATTCTTGTTCTTTATTGATACCTTCCTCTGCTGAATGTAAGCCTTTCCTGTCTAAGATACTTTGTGCTTCCTTATAAGTTAATGTTACAAAATCTTTTTCAACCCAATTGGGTATTTTATTATTTTTATCAATTAAAAATAAGTCAGATTCATTTGTTTTTCTAATTTCAATGAATAGATATTTTAGTAAATTTTCAATAACCTCTTGTAATTTTTCTATAGAGTCACAAAATGCTATTTCAGCTTCAAGCATATAAAATTCTGATAAATGCAATCTTGACCTAGAATTCTCAGCTCTAAATGTTGGCCCTAGTGTATACACGTTCCCCATGCCCCTACACATAGCTTCTAAATGTAGCTGACCTGATACTGTTAAATATGTTTTTGTGCCAAAGTACACTGAGTCCCTATTTCTTCCCTCCTGCATCATAGCTTTAACTGTTTCATCATTTTCAGGTTGTACTTTAAAAACTTCACCGGCGCCTTCACAATCATTGGAAGTCAATATGGGTGTATGTATGTGGATATAATTTTTAGATGAAAAGTAATCATGAATGTGTTTTGTCACAGAATTTCTTACTCTTAATATTGCTGAGATATAGTTTGTCCGTGATCGTAAATGCAAAAACTGTCTTACATACTCTGGTGGATGCGTTGTACGAGGATTAAAAGGATATCCATCAAGAACAACACAATTACCTAACACATTAATATTATTTGCTATAAGTTCCAATTGACCTCTTGGACTTTTAGAGAGTTTTCCAGTTATATGTACAGAACTGCCATAAGTTAAATTGTCAGTATTAAGACTTTTCGGTATAATAATCTGTAACTTTTGAGCGCAGGAACCATCGTTAACGTCCGCAAAAATGAATTCTTTTTGTATACGGAGACTTTTTACCCATCCCTAAAGAAAAAAACAAGTTAAATTCTGATATTGTGTATATTAATATAATCAACTTTCGGTAAATATTTTAATATAACCTTAACTTCAGTCATTTCTCCAACATTTTGTTGTTGTAATACTGAAGCAATAACACTATAATTTCTGGATTTTGTATTAGCAAGAAACCGTTTGCTTAGCTGGATATATACGGGTTTTAACATATTTAACAAGAATAACTTTTATAGTATTTACTTTAGAAATAAGTTTCTTAGAAATTTTAAATTAGAATATATAGGTAATTTTTGACATTTACATCTGTCAATTATGAGCATGACGTTATGCAAGTTTAGCCAACCTATAATTTTTTTTGTCATGCCCAAAAACTGTAAAATGAAGAAATAATTCAATACAATATTAATTTAAAAAGAAAAGATTCTTCATATTATGGAACTAGTAGATTATTGTCGCTTCTTTATATTAATCCAAAAAGAAAAAAACATCTCTTTAACGACTGCCAACCTTAGCAGCTAATCAATATCTATTCCTGGCCCCCAACTCCCAAGATGCTTTTATAATTTTTATATTTATAATGGCTTGGTATGGCACTTGTGAATTGTAGACGACTGCTATGATTTGCTGTCGCATCAACTCCCGGCTGCCACACAATACACATCCACACAATACGTACAAACTTTCACATTAATTTTAGTAACAAATAACAACAAATATGTTTTGTATAGTTAGGATCCCTTTTATTTTTTAGATCCTAATTTATTGGTCAAGATATTCATCCTACTAGTTACATATTATCAAAAAAAAGATATTGTTCCTCTGTACCTATTAATTACTACTGTATCTATTTTTTTTTTTTTATTGTCGGAAAATGCATTTACGCATTTTTTTACGCATTTTATTTCGCATACCACCTGATCCCCCAGGTGGTGATGTGGGGCTCACCGGCTAGAAGAGCCGGTACTACCCACTAAAACCCGACATCCCTTCCCCCCGCCTTAGTGGGACGCCGCAGGATCGCTTGCGCATAACTACTACGGCGCCCCGGCGGCAGGTCTGCCTAAATACTAGGCAGACCACCAAACCAATGGGGCTGCTCCACAGTCAACTCTGCTACGTCAGAGAGGTACCCGGAGCAGCCCCATAAAACCAAAACACCGCCCACCGAAGTGGGCCACCTCCAATCGGCTGCAGAGGACAGGGAGAGCGGCAACGAAACACCGACACTCCTCTTCCCCTGCAGCCCCACCGCGTCCGCCATCAAACGGTGGCGGCCCCGTCTAGGCCGCGGAAGGTAGGGAGAACGGCGCACCGAAATACCGGCACTCCTCTCCCGCCGCGGCCTACCCCTCCGCCGAATGCGGGCCTGCGACCACAGTCCCGCAACCGGCACCCATCATCCGGTTGTGGGACCAAGCGGTCCCACCACCGGTGGCCGCAACGTCTTCGGCTCGAGGCCTAGACGAGCGGCCCCATCCAAGCCATTTTGGGCGGCCGTTTAGAATTGGGGACTTGGCCCCTAGCGGAGTGGGTGGTATTTCTGGATAAGGGACGTGATAGGGAGTCGAAATGTTAAATAAAAATTGTCCGCGAACGTATGAGTAAAAAGTTATTGAGACTTAAAGTTACAACATTTCCATACATTATTTTGACATTACTACCATTTAGACACTTGGAGTCAAAACGTCACTTTCAATTGTCAAAATGATCTCCAGATGATTGTCTTTATTTGTACTTTGCGTGAAATTCGAATTTTCTAGTTTTCTAGTCATTTATGGCACTCGCCGGCCGCTACCGCGGCACGCTCACTTCGCTCGCTCGGCTCGTGCGTTGTGGCAACTGTTCTAACCTAACCTAACCAAGATATGAGGAATAATAAATTAATAATCTTAAATGTTCTAACCTAACCTAACCCAGATATGAGGAATAATAAATAAATAATCTTAAATGTTCTAACCTAACCTAACCCAGATATGAGGAATAATAAATAAATTATCTTAAATGTTCTAACCTAACCTAACCAAGATATGACGAATAATAAATAAATAACCTATGTCTTAAACTAACCACGATGTCGCAAAATAAAAACCAAAAGTAAATAATACATTTAGATTTTAAAAATAGTCTACTCACGTTTATAAATTGTTTACACTAACACTATGAACACTTAAAACTATAAAAATAATATTAAAACAAAAACAAGAAACGAAAGTATATAAAAATTAACAAAAACTAATAACTAATGGAAAATACACAGAGTACAGAGTCACAAATTATGAAACTTCGCGGTATTTTAAGAACACCCGCCAATAATACTGAAAAATATTCACAGATAAAAAAATGTTTTTTTTTTTACTAAATGTACAATTGTAAAACAATATATTTTACATAAATCAGATAAAAAATCATAAATGTATTTATGAAATGAAAATAATATTTTCTTTTTATTTATTTATTTATTAATATTAATATTTTACCAACAGAAAAAGCAAAAATAATCAAATATAATCTGTTGTCATTTAAGCGGTAATATAAAACAAAGTGTCAGTTTTGCTTTTGTCAAAATGTAAGATCATTTTGTTTGTGTTGTGAAATTATTAAAATATTAAATACAATAAAGCATTAATTGTTGTGAAAATGTGTAATGTACATAAAAAAGGATGCGTACTATTCGTTAAAGGTATGTTTATCTGTTGTAATCACTTATTTAGGTAAAGAAATGTATGGAAATGTGTTAGATATGTTATAACTTTAAGTCTCAATAACTTTTTACTCGTACGTTTCCTCCAAATATTTTTAATATATTTTGACTCTCTGTCACCTCCCCTATCTAAAAATACCACCCACTCCGAATGGTGGTAAAGAAATATATGAAAATGTATGGAAATGTTGTAACTTTAAGTCTCAATAACTTTTTACTCATACGTTCGCGGACAATTTTTATTTAACATTTCGACTCCCTATCACGTCCCTTATCCAGAAATACCACCCACTCCGCTAGGGGCCAAGTCCCCAATTCTGAATTTGTGCCCCATTTTGGTCCGCGCCGGATTTCTCCGGTACCACCCGCCCCTCTAAGCGGGTGGCATGCCCCTATCCGCCACCTGGGGACGCGCCCGGTAGGAGTTGGCTTCTCCCCCGGGACTGTATCTATACCTTATACCATTTAAATATTATGTTTTGAAGTTTTTCGGTGTAAAAATATGAAACTTTTTATTTATACAATCACCGTCGATATAGTACGATATGTACGTACCATTTCTATATAGTATATACCTAGTTTGCGAGTACAAATCAGTGATCTGAGACCGTACGCTCTACGCACAGACAATATATTGGTTGTAAATCTGTGGCTCTACGATATTGTACTTTTATTGTTTCTGCGCTACCATAGATTTTAGTTATCTTTTTACATACGTGTGTCAATTTTTATTTTTGAATTGTCAATTGTCATTGAGCAAATCATGTTCATGGATTTCATCGTGTAGTGAATAGTGATTAGTGAAATTATATTAAGAAAAGTATTTATTGTGCTTGTACACCCTCACGGTCTATTGTAAAATGTAAGCAATTTTCAGTTGTATTTTAAAAATCTTTTCTAATAACTACTAAAGAAATTCATTTTTAGAGTACCTACGATAGGTACCTTTTTTTTAATTGTCTTCACAAACAAGTTTTTCTACTATACGTCACTATAATAAATGTGCAAAAAAATTACATTTCAATTAAGTTTAGTTTCAAATATATATGAATTATTTATAATGTCAATAGGTCTAAACTTGTGACCCACTTTTAAAGTTTTATTTATAAAATATTTTGCAGTTTATATATTTTGCTAATTTATATATAATAAAACCATTTAAAGTTACATAAGATACTTAAATAAATCTTACTTATATTGTAATAATTTTTTCTTACATTTTAGTCATAGTTTTTATCTACTGATATGATATCACAAGGTGAAAAAACTGCAAACACTACATAGACATAATATATAATTAGATTCATAAGTATAAGTAAGTCCTATAGTGTTGAATATTTATGTGTTATATAAATGAAGTATATAAAATATTAGTTTATTTTGTAAAGCAAAAACCATTTATATGTTTGTGTTATAAAAAAATATGTGTTATATTTTTACAACAAATCAGCTCAATTAATGTTCACTTTTTGTAGAATTAATTGGGCTAGCCATTTTTGATACAGTTTCTAAAAAAAGAAAGTGAAGGTTTCATACTTTCCCTGACATACTTTCTGAGAGATGAAATGTAAACTATCTCTAGTTTATAAATTTTCATTCTATTCATTTTTCTACCACAGGATTATGTTTATATTTTTGTAATATGATTACTGTTATGGGTTTTCTTATAAATTATTTTTTTAAATTTATAACACTGATATTTTGTTATAAAAATAATAATAATAAGCTTTAACTTATTACATAGTGTTGATTTGTGATTGATATTCTAATTGTATATTTTGTGTAACATCTAGTTACAAATTGAATATTGAACATTGAATAAAAACAATGAGTTTTTATTTGATAATATTGCCAGGACTATATCATCAATATACATCTCATAAATATTAATTATTGGCATCACTGCAAAAATGTGAATATTAAGTTCTTGAAATGATTTATTTGTACTTTAAAAAAATAAGACAATTGTAGATATAAAAGGTTTAATTTAAAAAAAAATAATATAACAAAAATTAATTGAAGTTATAAGCAATTATTATTATTATTTTTTAACTAAAGATTTAAAAAAATAATACTTATAAGTACTCATAGAATAACATATCATATTAATATCAAATTTTATACTTTGCATAAATCCTTTAGAATTGTGTGCACTATTAATCTTATTACAACTAATTTCATTAACATTGCATGTATGATAGATATTGAAATATGTCCATTGTATATGAAACTGAACACTGAAAATGAAAACTTTTGTCTGTTTGCCTGCATTACCATTTTTATTTTATTTTGAGTAGATTGATTACTAAGCATTTAGTTCAAGGTCTATCCAATGATACAGCTGTAAACTCATTACATATTCCAAAAAAAAAGTTAAGTATCATATTAAATGAGTCTATAAGAATATAATATATTTTTTATAGCTAAAGGTAATTGCTCATTATAAAGATTTTACCATTTTATTTTTAATTCCTAATTAATGAAAAACAATCAGTTTTGTTTAAGAATGACTAAGTTTTAAAGGAACAAATTATTTAACAGAAAATGGCAGAACCTAACCCACAATCTGGAGACACTGGCCCACCGAAGGGTATCCCAGCATTAAAGGCACATGTAATAGCTAACAAAATAGATGTAGCTCTATGGGGCATTCGTATTCTCACAGTCCTCTGCACTTTTGGATATGTCGTACCTATATTTAACAAGTAAGTGAAACGATTATTTAATTATATTTCTACACTCAGCTGAACAAAATATTTTTTTTAAATGCTAAATTAAAAAAAGGCTTTAGATTTTTTTAGGTTTTATTTAAAAACCTGGATATAATTTTAAGTGGGAAATATTCTTGTTAAAATACCTAGATTTAGATATTTTGAAACAAAGTATTAAATCCATATATGAAGATGCAAGAACCCTTTTTCACTAAATATTTAGAATCTGAACTTAAATCGGCAACGATTTTTCAGTATCAATATCTCGAAAACAAAGCGAGATATCAAATAATTTTCCATTTAATTTTTTCAAGACCTTTTTCAAGATTTGAATATTTCATCAAATTAAGGCTACACGAAAATAAAAATATCCTCTTAAACTCCATTATAGTTAGAATAAAATCTAAGTTTCGACCACTAAACTAAATGTAAATATATTCGAACATACCAACTAGTTAATTAACAGTCCTCTTTAATACATTCTCGAAATAAGTAGAAACAATACTTTAGTAATAATAGACAATCAATGACGTACAGTACTCATGTATTTCCAATACATACATATGATCGAATTAATAAATCTAGGTCATAATATATGTCATAATCAAAAGCCTCCCAACGTTAACCAATAGTGAAGATTGGGCAGACATAATTCGTTGGCTCACTATTACAAGGTTCTATGTTACAATTTTAGTACTTATTTAGTTATTAATGCTACAAGGTTCTATGTGTCATTAGCTACAGTTTTGCAAAAACAAACCACTAGATAGCGGCACTATAACTACAAAATATTCAATTTTACATAGTTCTATGTTGGTTTTTTTACGATAACAAAATAACGAAGTTCTATATAAAAATTACTAAACTTCATTAAAATTAACATAGAACCTTATAAGCCAACGATTATGTAGAGGAAGGGATGAATTGAAGAATGCTTGATAGATTTATAAAAATATTTAGCAAAATGTTATAATCAGTTTAATATATTATTTATTGATTTTTGTGAAAGTATAGCTTATGAATGAAATATTTGATAAAGTCATTTTGCTACTTTATGTCAGTTTGTCTATTTAAACATGCATAACTCAAGAACGACTGGACGTTTAATAGGAGATTTTAATTGTAATAATTTGAATTTTAAAATATAGGTAATATACTATTAAATTGGTTGTTAATATTAGCAAAGTTTAGAGATTTTAATGTTTTGTTAAAAGCTGATGGTCAGTAGTCAATTTTATTTGAGAATGCCGCTGATTAAAGTTAGAGTGGCACGCGTCCCGCTGAGTGATGAGCGCAGTAATTGTAACATGATTACTGCTAATTGTATAGTTTCCTGCTCATGAATTAGCGTGACCATTTTGGTTTATAAAGTTATTATGCCTGGAAACACTACACTTTCTAAGAGAAAATTGGAATTTAGAAAATATTCATGACATATTATAAATTACAGCGTCATTTGTGTGTTTATAGCCCCAGAACCTCTTATCAAATTTACATGATTATTTTTTTTACATCGATATACGACACTGGGCATGGGTATTAGTAATGAAATTGTTTGTACACATATAAACATATTTTAAAACTGTTAAATTTTAGGCTAATATTGTATAGATTTTAGTGTTAGTTGTAAATGGCAAAATTTTAGTATATGGGATGTGGCCTCTAGAGGAGTGGGTGGTATTTTTGGATAGAAAGGTGATAGGGAGTGTTTTGACTCCTTCATTTCCTCAAAATATATTTTGGTATACTTCCCGTCCCATATACTAAACTGCAGCCCTGTTTTAGCCTATCATTAACAAAATCTCTCTCAGCCCCATATCAGCGTTCTACAAGGCATTGCTGGCGAACGCCGCGACGTCAGCCCTCAGACTGCATCAACGCATACCTGCGCGGGAGATATCCTTATCGCGGGAGTTCCTCAACCGATTCTTCTTAGAGGACAGCGCACATTATTTGTTCTACTCGCTCATATTTATGAACGTGGCGCCCAATTTGTGTATCCTTTTCAATAAAATAATGACAATAATGCCCAACTAAATCTGTTTGGTGGCTAATCTTACTGCGACTTATCTAATGGAGCGGTTTTAAATTTTTTTAGCCACGGAACCTAATTGATCATAATTTTTTTAACGGATCCCCATTTTGATAATAATAAACTAACTGATTGTGTTGTAAATAAATCAACATTAACATACGGCACCATCTCGATCCACGGTAAGCTACGGGGCTTGTATTATGGGTACCAGATAGGTAATACACTAAACATATATGTATAACTTTAAATACATACATATTATAAATATAAACACCAATGACTAGAGTACAAACATTCGTGCTCATCACACAAATGAATGTCCCCAGCGGGACTCGATCCCGCAACCGTTGGTCACAAGGTCAACAAGGTCACAGCAATTAGGGTCACTACAAACTGAGCCAAACGTGTCGTGTTGTAATTTGTACACTTTCTTATTTGACTTGAAAGAATAAATCATGAATTAAAAAAATATTAGCACTTGTAATAATATTTGTTGTACCAAAAATATAACCTGTTTAATATTATGATGAATGAAAATTTTTCACATATTTATTTATAATACAACGTTTTAACTCGGACGGAATTCGAACCTCTTTAACCCTACCACGGAACCCTAGGGTTCCGCCGACCACTATTTGGGAACCGTTGTACTAGAGAAAGTACATCTGTAGGTGTAGTGCGCACAAGTTATAGAGAAAAACGTATAGTAGGTGTAAGAGAGGGAGAGAGATATATAGAATGAATGAGTAAGATGATGAAGATTTTATGTAAAAACACCACCAGTTTCCATATTTTATTACTTATTTTCATGGTCACAAGATATATAGAAATATATATTCTCTTATCATATTTGGTCAGAGTTGTTGTATGTTTTTTTTGTTTTTTTTTTTTAATTTTATTTAGCACAATATTTATTTATTTTTTACTTATTATATCTTACGTGAGCAGAAAAGTAATAAAATATAATTATACTGCATTACAAAATATATAATTTATAAACAAACTTAAATGTCTGTGATTTCAAAATGAGTAGGCTTATAATATTTTTATTTACACATAACCGAAACCCGCATAAAAATATTATTAAAACATATTTTCTGTGCAATAAGGCTGTTTAGATTATTTTAACTAGATGTTCTCTAAAGGTTGACTTAGACATTTTTCATTCCAGGCAAAAAAATTAAGTTCCATCCGGATAGAGTATAGAAAAAAATGCTCAAATCATTTGAATGGGCCTTTTAATGGTGATTACAGCATTCAAGTGAGAGTGACGTAGATTGTTTAAAACCAACCGTAGACAAAAGCTAGTCCTGTATAATAAACAAGACAATTAATAATTATATATATATATATATATATATAGCTACAAGTTGTAAAACTTATGGCGTGAATTTCACTTTACTTAAAATCTCGACTTGACTGACCTGGAAAAATCTTATTATGTTATTCCTTACACCATGTGAAAATCCCATGAAAATAACAGTAATAATTTCTCATTTCAACCTAAAAAATTCAAATATGTGAGCTTTAAAGATGCTTTAAAAATATACAAGGTTTATTTGATTAGATATAAACTTCTTGTTGCGTGACCGAACGTACTTATGAGATATCATAAAAAGGTACAAAGTACTTATTTCATTGTATATAATTATTATAATGCTAATCGATACCATAATATTATTATCGTTTCATTCTTGTCTTTATATGAAGTGTCTATTAATCCAGTTACTGTATGACTAATATATAATTATAATTGTTTGTTCAGTATATTTTTTTTATATTTAGAGCATACGGATAAAATATGATTATGTATGTATTTGTAAGTTAAGAGAAGGCTAAGGCGAAAGCGAAGCGTAGCCGTAGCCGCCTTTTCAATCGTTTATTTATCGTTGTTATCAGCCAGCTCTTTCTCAAAAACTTTACATTTATAAAGTTATTTAGCTTTTATTTGCTTCACGTTGCTCTTATAACTATGTAATCAAATCTTTAAAGCCAATTTTAAACTACTTGAAATCGTCGTATCGATGCAACTTTGAATGAAATCTAGATGATAATATAATTTGCCACCATTGAGTTGGTTTGATGATTGGAGTCAGGAGGTGGATGATGGAATTTTTCAATGGCAAAAAAATCCTCAAATTTGAGATTATTTGATTCGTTTTCACGAATGTCACTTTACCTACGTAGTATGGTTGATGGGATTTTTCATAACTTCGTTAGTGCCAACTTTCACGTGTTTGCCTTAAAATGATGACCTTCCATATAAGTACATTCATTAAATTTATCCCATTAAAAGCATTAATTGTTAAAAATCTTTTATTCTAATTTTGTTTAAATATATTCAGGTAATTCTAAAATTTAGATGTCTGTCACTAGGTCATCGATAGATTTTTTATAAAAAAAGACACGTAAAATATATTTATATTACATCACCACACACACACATCTGTAATCAAAATGACGTTAACTATTTTTATTTACTATATATACTTAAATAAAAAATGTAGATATAATTTGCATTACCCAATAAGTTCACACTCGTATATTTTTTACACTTTTTTCCTTTTTTATAATTTTTTTAAAGGTTAACCTTGAAATTTTTTGTTTAAGTAACTTGTTTAATTAAACAAGTTTGCTGTACAATGTATTGGGATGACGGTCGAAACTCCACCATTATGGTAATGTATTCAAGATCTCGCACAACGACTAACTTAATTAAGTTTCTCGTATATTTTATGATAGACACGGTTGGTTTGTTTTACACACAATGCTTATTTAAACGTATAATATACGTTTCATCGTAGTTTTTATTTTAAAACTATATAACAAATGTAAGTGAAGTAAATATAATAACATAGAGTAATCATGAGTTAATACGTAAGTGAAACATAAAAGAGGACTTTAAAATGTCCCCTTAGGGCCATTCAATTAGAAAAACGTGTCAAAACGATTCTTTAATTACCTAATCAATTCAAAATCTGCGAAAATGATAGGAACCTCGTGTTTTTAATAGAAATATTACATCCCTTCTTTTTTGTTTATTGATTTCTCGATAAGAAGCTACTTAAGTCTTAAGACAAAATAATTGGAAACACCTACTACAATTGTAGAGCTTATACTTATTTATATGGACTTCAAACGTACAATTATACATTTGCATATACATTCATATGTATGTATATATATAAGCAGCTAAGCATAATATATGATATATTTAACAGCTGCTTAACTGTTTAACAAAAAAAATTAGAAACACAAATTGCCTCCTAAAATCCGCCCTAATGATTATTAATTATTTCTATATATCATGTAGTTATTAAGACGAAGCTAACGACGAATGAATCATCAAATTTGGTTTAGCGGTTTATTAATTAATTAATAGAGAACATGGGATCGGACATACATACCTACAGGTCAAACACAACTCTCCTTTGCGCTTTGCCGCAGTCGGGTAAAAAGTTACAAAATTCAGAAAGTTTCCAGTATAAACTCGATGGACTCGATAACTTTTCGTTTACTGTAGTTTAATGCTAAGGTGATAATAATTATAAACTCTACGTATACTCTGTACAGATGTCAAGGAAAACTAGTGAGACGATATGTGATTGTCTTTTAAGTTGAATTTTTTAATATATTCGAACACATTATTAAAGGAAATACAATCAGTATATGAACTTTTTATATTTTATTCTTTATTTAGTTTAGTAATATTACTATAGTTCAGAGTTTTATTTGAATTAAATATACGTTTTATAATAAAAAGTATATAGATTCAAGATGTTTTTTTTTTTAAATTATTGTCCAAGAACATGTTTTATTGATAGTTAATTTTATTACGTTGACCCGCGGCTGACTTCAGATTTACCTACAGTCTTAATGTTGTAAAAATACAAACACATTTCTGCCCCATACATCAAAGTGTACACGTGTCTTGAGTATAAGACGAACTGATAACGTATAACCCCCAAAACTGCTGATTGAACACTAATAAAATTAAATGATATCCTACGTAGAGGTATTTTTTGATATGTTTTATTGGTTTATTATTATTCTAGTTTAACACCTTGGCAAAGTAATACTGCACCTATCTCTTCGTATTAATGGGTTCGAATCCCGTTAGTGGCAAGTGATTACATCGGCTTACACTTGATTTTATGACAACTTTTATATCTTAAATGCTATGCTGCCCTTCTGAGAAATTAACTTCTGCTCTTTTTAATGTTGGGAAAATCACTTTAAATGTAATACAATATAATGTATGGCTTTTATGCATAACAGAGTCAATTTACCCTAATTTCACACACTTTCTATAAAAACCCGTTGAATTACTCTAGTGACACATATGACAAATATGATTTACTTAATAAAATGTGCAGTATGATCTTGATATGTGTAAAATGTAAATTATGGAACTTCGACCTCATATCCCCTACATCATCATCATATCTCGTTAGCCTGCGTTCGTCCACTGCTGGACATAGCCTGTCGTATGGCACGCCACTAATTTAAAGAAACCTAATTTTAAATAAGCCTTATTATAAATATGTGATTTTTTTGCTCACATTAAATAGGTTACCTATATTTTTGATACAATAAATATTATTATAAGTATTGATATTTTTCATTTATGATTTGTTCTTTGAAGTCGAACAAGGAATTAAGTACATATTCTAACTATAACACAATCAAGTTTAATTATTATCAAATAGGGATCCGTTAGAAAAAATAAAAAATTTGGCGAAAAAAATTGGGAATCGCTGTTCTACATATACATGTTTCCCTCGGGGTAACACTTTGAGGGATGGCTGTACCGTTTAGTATGAAACTTTGTATAATAATAATAAAATGATAATTTTCCTTAATAACAAACAGTAATTCTAACACCAATCTTCTTATTCGCATTGCTGCACGCCGCGTCCTACTCGCTCACTATTCTTGACGTAAGTATTTACTATTTAATTGGTTCATTATCAATTCAATAGGGCTGATAATGTCCCCCCCAACGTGCGTTCACCTTGTCGTGGTGGGGGGGCTCAGTAGTGCCCGGCAACCCGACCGGGCGCGAAGCTAAGAAACGCACAGGGAGGTTGCCCACTTCTGTGGGCGGTGAGAGGTGGCCCTCTTCGGAGGGCGGTGTACCATGCGGGTTGCTCCTGGTACTTCTCTGATAGCAGAGTGGACCTTGGAGCAACCCCGTGGTTGTTGTGGTCTGCTTCGGCAGACCTGCCGTCGGGGCGTCGTAGTTGAATGCGTAAGCGATCCTGCGACGCCCCATTAAGACGGGGGAAGGTTTTGTTGGGTTTTAGTGGGTAGTACTGGCTGTATTACGCCGGTGAGTCCCACACGTCGTGCGTAAATGCATTTCCCAACGTTAAAAAAAAAAAAAAAAAAAAAAAAGGGCTGAATAATGTAAAATATTGTTAAATGTTTTCTATGATCACTTTTATTAAATCCTCTTATAACTAATCGGACTTACTAATATAAAGGTTAAGGATTTGTTTGTTTGTCTGTAATAAATAAACTTTAATAATTCTTTTAGTGTATTTTAGTACATTGTCCCAGATTGCTACAGGTTATTACATATGTATTGTATGTAAAAACAACCATAAACATTGTTTTCAATGAAAACAATGTTTATGGCATATATGTAGACTTTTAACTGGTGAGTGGAGGAATAGTCCTTTGCTGTTAGTGCAATTTAAACGTATTATTCGTAAATTCCAGACTCTAGGGCAGAACTCGATGTGGGTGGCGCGGCTGCTGATCTCGCTGGTGGAGTTCCAGTCGCGCAACATCCTGCGCGCGGCCGCGCTCGCCGAGATCGTGCTTTTCCCCCTCGTGCTGCTCATGGCGCTCATGTGAGTATACACCCCCTCCCCTTCCTCCTCCTTGTCCTCCTCCTCCTACCTCCCTCCTCTTCCTCCTCCTCTAATGTCTTAGCTAAAATGCTTTTGTCTGTACTTTTTTATAATGTAACTAGCCAATTTGCCCCCGCTTGCCTCCGGTACGTCCCTAGGTATTATTTTTTTTGCACGGAGAGTTTTCCACTTTTAAATAATTATTTTCTTAGTCAAAAAGATTTATGTAAACTAACATAAAAAAAATATAGGCTTAATTCAATAGCATTCGGTATTCGGCCGAAAAGTATCTAGATATTCGGTATTAGGCCGAATAGGATAAAAGTAACCGAACAGGCCGAATACCGAATAATAGCCGAATATACTTACGTTGCAAGTTTAGTTTTTTATTGTAAGTAAGCACGTGTGTAGTAAGTCATAATGCTTAAAAGGAATTTCTAACACTTCGAATGTGTAATTTATTTGTTACTGAAATAAATTGTGTTTTTTTCATGCCAGCATTGGTCGGTTAGCTTTACAGTTTACGGTGTAAAGTAGATTTTTAAATATTTTTTTTCTATAGTTTCCAAAAATAAAAATTATATGCAATTTGTAATCACAATTTACAATCACATACATGTAATTTGTTTACATTTTAATTACTTTAATGAGAATTTTTTTGTAGATTCCCCTATATTTTTGTTTTTTTTTTTGATTTAGTAAGTTTTTTCTTATTAAGGCTAACTATAAAATGGTATTTTATATAGTTTTTTAAGAAAAGAAATTTATTCAGGCGTACGTTCGTTAAATTCAGTCACGTGAAATGCCGATGCCTGTATTTATGCTATTTCTACTGCGCTTTCTAATTAGCTAAAAAATGTTCCATAAAAGTAACTTAACTTTTGAGATTCACATAACGTATGAAAACACTTAATATTTCTATTACGAAGAATACAAAACTATGATAAAGCAAATTATTCAAAGTAAAATTCACTCCATCGCATGAAAATATAATAAAATAGCATTTATAATTATTATATTATTCTTAATAATAATATTGTCGTTATTCTAAGTAATTTCGGTCACGGTCGCGAGCTTCTCGCTTGGCAACGCTTAATAATAATATTTTTTTTTTTATATTCAAATAGAACAATGCTTGTCGTTTTTCCTTACTAATGATTTTGACTAACATCATCCTTATAACTGCACTATAGCCTCCTTTTTAACACTATCTCGCTATCTCACTTTAAGGTTGACTGGAACTGAAAGAGATCTCTTCTAGAAATACGTCCATCTTTGCTAACTAATTTTATCCTAGACTAACTCACCCTCGCTTCGCTCGGGTTCGTCCCTAGCTTGCTTCCCAATACAAACTTTTATTCCCATTTTCAGCCCCTTAAGGGATGATATCCAGGATAAAAAGTATCCTATGTCCTTCCCAGGGTCTCAAACTATCTTCTTACCAAGTTTCATCTAAATCGGTTCAGTAGATCCAGAGATTACCCTCTACAAACTCACAAACTTTACCTCTTTATAATATTAGTAAAGGTATGTTAATTACTGTATTATAATTAAGTGCAATTAAGAATATTATATCCTTGAGATGTCTTTTTTTGTAACTTTGTCACAGCTTTATAGCGTTCAAGAAGTATGGAAATAGTTTTTATTGGCTACCTACGAGTGTATTATTATAATTAATAAAAAAAAATAGAATATTTTTTTTTATTATCAAGCAACATAGGCTCATAGTTGGTTAGTACAATATAATTATTTAAGAACTATGTTAGTAAAACAAAATACAAATAAAATAAATAAATTATAGAAATATGTGTTTAAAATTTTAACTATTCAGAGCCAGTATGGACTGATTAGAACAAGTAATTTTATATATTTACAAAAAGATAAGTTTTGTTTTGTTTAGTTTATTGATCTTTTACGTTCCTGACAAATATGAAATTAAAATCTCATTAAAGTCGTAGCGCTCTGTCGCAATGGTAATGGGGGAGATTATCGTATACTCGCTACTTGCACTAGAAAGTTATAGTATACTTTAAAATATTTATTAATGTTTATTTATTAATTTAAAATATGTATTTATTTATATTTTATTGCTTTAATAGCCAGTTATATACCATATAAAGTGGGTGAAATTGATTTTATTTTGTTAAGTCAGATTGCCGTTCCATCGAATTACATATACATACATATATATATATATATTCACGCACATATTTGAGGCAATATAATTATTTCCGTAAAATCGTTGTGGTTTAAAACTCACTCGTCGAGAAAGAGAAAAGGACATAAATATATAGGATTAAGCTGGCGAGAGAATGAGATAGAATACATTACACACTAAGTGAAAAATAATACTGAATAATATGTTATGTAATATATGTTAAATAAAATGTAAAATAACTTTTAAACTTGTTAAAAAAACTAAACCTTACAATTATTTTAAATATTATATTTATATTTCTATAATAATTATTATTTATAAAAATGAATATTACCTCACCCTCGCATTGCTCGGGTTCTTCGCTAGGTACGTTTTAGCGGTTAGTGATTCCCATACAAAATAAACATCTCTAAACTTTTTGAATTACCAGCAGTTTTTTTGGATTTTCCCTATTTCTTTATTTTTGAACCACCCTTGACACGCCCCCAACAAAACAAGAAAAGAATTATTCAAATCGGTCCAGCCGTTTTTGAGTTTTAGCGAGACTAACGAACAGCAACTAATTTTTATATATATAGACTGTGGGATGAATGTGCATAAATGAAATAAAAGCTAATAAGACTAATTGTTGCCATGGTTGTCTGACAAATTATATACATATAACATTATATTCTTTCCGTATGATATTCTATAAATATGCCTTATTTAATTTTTAAATTGCTTTAATTTCATTGCGATATTTGCCAAAGAAGTTTTACTTCGATCGCGTGTTAATATTACATGCAGCCATTTTTATTATTTATACTATTTTACTCCGTGTGTCGGACAGCGGCTACTGCGGCCTGATGACGCCGTTCGTGTACTACTACTTCATCACGTGGCGCTACACGTCGCGCCGCAACCCCTACACGCGCAACACGTTCCGCGAGATGCGCGTGTTCGCGGAGCACACGGCGGCGCGCCCCGCGCTGCCGGCGCCGCTGCGCGCCGCGCTCTCCGCCGCCGTCGCGCTCGTCTGCCGCATGGCGCCGCCGCTCGAGCCCGCGCAGCAGTGAGCGGTCAGTCACACACACACACACACACACACACACACACACACACACACACACACACACACACACACACACACACACACACACACACACATACATACATACATACACAAACACACATACACGTAGGATCAGAGAATGCAAATAAAAGCACTTGGTAACTCACCGACTATTCATTATATTAAAAAATACAGATACAATGTTCACGCGTACCGTCGTGTCGCCATCGTGACGAAACATCCATACCTCCTCTTTTATTCTTAAAATATTATCATTTCACACAGACTCATCACGCAAACATATATATTAGGTCACGTTTACGACTCACTAGTGAGTACTCTGCTTTATACATACAAAGATAGTCACAGGGCGCGCACATAAAAATACATACACACAAGTGACGCACACACAGACACTAAAACATATGACTATAAACATGTTACTATACTAACAACATTTAAGTATTTTAAATTAAAAAAAGTATTATAAAAGAAAATTTTCACTTTATTAACTGTAACACATAACATATAATATTAAATAGTTTGACAACAGTCTATCAGTTGCAGTTGTATTTGACGACACGTTTGGCTCAGTTTGTAGTGACCCTACTTAGTGTGCCAGCGGTCGCGGGTTTGAGTCCCGCTGGGGGCATTCATTTGTGTGATGATCACGAATGTTTGTCCAGTCATGGGTGTTTATATTTATAATATGCATGTATTTAAAATTATATATGTGTAGTGTATTAACTATCTGGTATCCATAACACAAGCCTCGTAGCTTACTATGGAACTAGGTGGTGATGTGTGTTAATGTCCCAACATATTTATTTTATGAACAGACAAAATTACCACTGTGACCATTTTCTTCTTTTTTGTAGTGATTACTACCTATAACCGACGATATTAGTGTATGTAATTAAAGAAGTTAATTACAATAAATTATGTATATGTACATAATACATAACAAACTGGACTTGAACTTTGAACTATTTCTTATTTTTAGTCTATTGTTTTTATGTCAGTGTCAATATGAAAATAACATGACATTCTTTTATATAAGAAAAATACATTACTTATAACATGTTGTATGTAGTTTTTTAGTAATAAGTAATTATATAATATTATTTTATCTATTTACAGATAACCGATGTGTAGTGAGTGGTAACGTCGCCAACATCATCGAGTCCACTTGTATAAGTCTGCGCTAGAGACTGCGTTCTGTTCAGTTTTCGCTTCACGTTATCTCCACACAAACTAAACTTACTATATAATATACATATACATGTGTAAATCATAGCTCTGATACTTATGTCAAAAAGAATTAAAAAAATTGAGTTAAGTAAGTTATTCGGTATCTCGAACGTTATTAAGAGTTGGACAAAAAGTTCTATAATGTCTTTTTGAATTTCGAATTTTAGATTTTTCCTTTACCTATATCAAAATAGCAGAAAATTAATATTTGAATTAGTATTATGTTTTAAAACGGGTCTGGGTATTTCTTATTATTTAATGTATAAATGATAATTTTATTTATATGCATATTTAATCGTATTTTAATTGTTACTTGTCAGAGCTCGTACACAGATAACATACTGTATACCACAGACCGTTCAGTACAATTTTAAACGTATATATTTAAGGCCATTGAGAAAATATGCAATAAAAAAATTAAATTAACATCTCTTTCACAATTTTATATAATAACATATAATGTATTTTTGCAATTCACAAGCTTTGGTTGTAATTTGTATGGGATAATGTACGGTATTATAATAAGTTTAATTTTATGAAGAAGCGAACAACTTCGGTCCAATTTAAGTTAGAGATAGATAATAGCTTAATCGAGATATATTTAATAATAAGGCAGATATTATTTTTACACAATATTTGTCTTTGATGTAAATTTTCTTTACTGTTTCTATTTTGAATTCATAAAGAGTTAAATCATTCCATGTGACTGTCGGTTTGATGTATTAAATTTTCTACAAATCAGAATTACCTTTACGTTTGTGTTAAGTATCAATGCACGTGGTTTGGGATGAATGTAGTCTGGATTTATAATAAAATGTTGGTAAGAAATGCTTATTGTTTTATTTTAACCAAATGTTTTTTATTTTTATTTTTGATCGATTTTATATTAATATGATGCATCTCACGTTATTATTCAGTAAATCGACTAATTGATAATAATAATTATGATTAATGATGCATTTTGCAATAAATATTAACTATTAGTAGGGGAGCCCAAGAGGGGATTTTCTGTAGTTACTCGAGCGCGGCAGATTAACATAAAAGAGGTTACCTTGCACTCTATTGAGTACTTTCACCATAATATAAGTCTTCTATATAAAGGGACGCGTCTAGGGAAGCCGATTAAAATATTTAAAAAATGTTTTGATAAGGTAGAAATACTTGAAACCGTCAGATTAAGGTGTGGTAGGCTAGTCACATCCTGAAAAGTGTCCAATTCAATAATTTGCCGATTTGCACAAGCCGAAGAGGCAAAAATCGACTATAAAGTTTATGATGATTTTTGCCTCTTAGGCTTGTGCAAATCGGCAGATTATTAAATTGGACACTTTTCAGGATGTGACTAGCCTACCACACCTTAATCTGACGGTTTCAAGTATTTTTACCTTATCAAAACATTTTTTAAATATTTTAATCGGCTTCCCTAGACGCGCCCCTTTATATAGAAGACTTATATTATGGTGAAAGTACTCAATAGAGTGCAAGGTAACCTCTTTTATGTTAATCTGCCGCGCTCGAGTAACTACAGAAAATCCCCTCTTGGGCTCCCCTACTATATTGTCATGGGGTTTCATTAGGAATAAAGAAAAAATTGCCCAAATAAATCTCAATGAATCGACTTGTTATTGTAGTCGTGTTAAATTAACAAAAGGTATGATGTATCCAAGTATTACATACAGTAACTTTTCCTACCCACAGTGCTGAAATTTACAATTTACCGTTATTTACCAAGAAGAAATACTAGATACGTTTTGCGCTTCAGGGTGGGCCATGAGGCCGCTACGATTCGCATTTGGAGGAGCGGGATTATAAGATAATGATATATCGTCAGTGAGAAGTATAGACTCAGAGCGATAGATGCTCAACGTATTTTTAACGACGTAGCGCCAAAACAGTTTTTAATTCACTATAAATTAATTAAACAACCAATCGAAAAATGAAATTCGGTAACTGAAGAAATACTTCTAAGCATCCTGACAAAACAAAAACCTTACAAAAATATTGAGCTATTTCTGAGATAATTAATAGCATATGTGTGCAAAACATGTATTTTAAAAAAAATCGAGAAAATTTTCACTAATCGTGTTGTCATTTGAATTTGCCAATTGAAGTCCGAAGTATCATTTTCCTAAATATCTCTAGCCTCTAAGTCGAAGTCTAGGTACAAAATTGCCATATACACACTCTTATGTAGCTTTCGTTGAAAGTATTTTAAAAACTTTGTTAAATTTTCCGTCCCGAATTATGCTCTCATTACAAATATACGGGTCATATTACAAAGATTACATTAACAATGGCAACTATACTTTTTAGCTCAATCTCTAGCATTTCGATCAATATGATTTAATTTCTTCCAACATCGACTAATTATTTTTTTCAAAATAAGAGGAAAGAATAATTAGTTAAAATAAAGAGCTTTTTATATAAATTGCCCTAATAATTATTTAATCGTCAGTCGTCTCCTCAATATACCCTCCTAGGGTCCTCTGGACAAAGTGAATCTGTGTCTACTGTCGTCTACATTCTACAGTCTATTTATTTTATATATATATATATATATATATATATATATATATATATATATATATAAAATGTTTATATTTTTTCGTGTTATCGCGTGATGCGGTAACAAATAGACAAAAGTTTTCAAATATATTCTATGTACAAAGACTAAACTCACGATTGTATAGATTTGAGAATAATTAGTTAAGAGTGGAGTTTCTAGAATGGATGGGTAAAAGTAAAATAACCCAAACAATAAATAATATAACTGGAGTAAAAATCTCAGATACCTACATTTTTATAGACTTTTAGTTCATAATTTAGATAGAACCAAACAGTAATTTCTTTAATTTAAAAATTATCATTGTAGGTATGTTTTTTTTTTTGCTTTTGGCTTTATAATTACTAGCATTACCCGCGGCTTCACTCGCGTTCAAACTGCTAAAAAAACAAACTCTTTGGCTTTATGTTATAAGTTATATCTAACTTATAATAATTTGATGATTTCAAATGTATGAGTAATGATTTTGACTCTTGCATAGAGGGTTTCGTACCGCCGATTATTGTGCTGTTTTTACTTAACTAAGTACCTATGTACGTATGTATATTTGTTTTTTACACTAAAATATTTTTAGTACGTTTTCACAATAAGTATATATATACTTTATTACTTGCAAATAATAATTTTCAAAAAATATCCAGTATCTTAAAATATATTTAACGTAAATTCTGTACATTAGGTAATTTTCATATAAAATTAAAAATACGAGTAGTTAGCAAACTACATTATCTCTGTTTATGGATAAAGTTGGTTTAAGTTAAATCATCCGTTATCTATACATGTAATAAAATTGTAACTAAGTCGAATCTGTACATTAAATATTTTTTGGAAAATCTAATTGAAATAGACCTTATTATCGATATAGAGTCCGAATCTATAGTTTTTAGAATTTATGTCTGTCTGTCTGTTACCGCATCACGAGTAAACCACTGGACAGATTTTAATGAAATTTGGTATGATGATAGCTAGTTATCCGAGTCAACATATAGGCTACTTTTTACCGCGGGAAAATATCTCATTTTTGAGAAAAAATATAAAAACACAAAAACTGCATTGTAAGAGTATACTAATATGTAAAACCTAAGAATTAGGTTTTTGGTCATCTGAACGCGGGCAGAGCCGCGGGCAATGCTAGTAAAATATAAAGTGCCATTCTTATTTTTTTTATAGCTTTCTGCCCGCGGCTTCACTCGTATGGAGTAATTAGCTTTTGCTCAGTTTTAATTTCCTTTGGATTTATGTTGTCATATCAAATTTGTAATATTATGTGTACATTTATGTAAACACTGTAGATTCACTCAACTTAACCTACTCTAAAAAAGTCGCGAACAGGACGTTAGTATTTAATTAAGAACTTCTTTGTATTACCACTTTGGTGGCTGTTCTGTCTGGTTCTGCGTTCTGCTATAATGTCCATAGAAGCAATCCTGCCTTAAATCTATACCTGCTACTTTTAACGACTGGTTCTGTGATTTATTAATGGTCATTGCAAAGCAAACTTTAAGGAGGAATTACAATAGATTATTTAATCCCTTGAATTTTCAAAGGCGTAATTAGAGGTTATTGAGTGGTATTCGAGTTTTGAATACCGATTCCTCTGGACTCTGAGCACATTCAGCAAACACAGTGGCTACTATGTGCTATGGATAACTCGCTGTCTAGTTCTGTTACAAAGCTTATTCATTACAGGTGTGCCAACCTTCAAAAGGCCAAAGGAGTTAAATGAGAAAAGAGGAAAGGAGGCCTGGTGGGTAAACACTGTTAAGGGACTCCAGATGATATGAACTACTTCATCTATTGGCACAAGTAAATTGACCGACCTATATTCTATTTCTGACCCTTCAAGTACCTAAGCAGGATTTTATCAATAGGAGTAGCACTGTTGTTCTTGGGGGTCAGTGTAGCACGTTCACATACTCTAGGTAGATTTTCTCTCCAAGTGTCACTGCAGAGAATTTATCCATAATATTCAACCGATATTTTTACCCTTTCAGGGCACGAATTTTGAATAATCTGATTGATAACACGTATTGCTGATTTTTATCTTGAATTCCTAATTTTAACAATAAAAACGGACGGATTTTCTTACAAACTTACGGCATGAAATACAAATATGTTCAAACGTGTTTATTTAATTGAATATCATTAATACCAAGTTTCAATTAATTCTGATCATAAAATCTTTTTTGGTTTGTAGTATAACTTGTTTTCCCGTGGAAATGAGATAATATCCACAGTAAAAAATAGCTTACGACACTTTCCTGCTCTCCAACTCAAATCTCCACACAAAAAATCACGCCAATCGGTCACTCCGTTTCGACGTGAAAGAACGACAAACAAACACACTTTCACATTTATAATATTAAGTATGGAAGTATGGATATATAAAAATAAATAATGCTTAAATGGAAACAAAATAAAACAAAGCCAAATTTTTCACGCTTTATTTATACAAGATAATCTAAGCCGTGACGGCGACGGGCGGCGGCAGCGGAGCGGCCGTGGGGCGCACGTCCGACGTGGGCTCCGACGGGACGGGCTCGTCCTTGGGCTCGGTCACCAGGATGTGGTCGGGTTGGGGTTTCTTGGGGCCGTTCTTGCCTTGTTGGTCCCATGGCAACATGATTTTAACCTAGAATTTTATGTAATATGTTAAAAATATTATGGATTAAAGTAATATGTATCAAGAGATTTCTCTATACTAATATTATAAAAGAGGCACATTTGTTTTTTTGAACACACTAATCTCAGGAACTTCTAATCTGATTTGAAGAAGTCTTTTTGCATTAGATAGCCCGTTTATTGAGAAAGGCTATGGGCTGTATATCATATAATATAGTCTATCTATTCCATACTAAGCGAGAGTAAGTCACTAGTTTCTATTATTTTTAATTGACATCACGGATCAGTCAAAAACATCATATTGGAAGTAACAATACTACATATGTATTTATGAAAGCTACACATGAATAATTGTAGAGATTTTCATGGCAAAATAATGTATAGTTTACTAAATACAAGAGCTTGTATGGACAAATTCTCAATAAAAGCAAACTTATTTCCTCTTCCACATCAAATTAGGTCACACACCACTGACAAGTGAGCAACCCCTGATTGAGTGGAAAGTGAGTAAAATTATTTTATTATATTTTACACTGATTAGAAATGATAGCTTTGTAGCATCCTTATCAACTATTTAGAAAAACCTAGACAGAAATAATATTAACATTTATTTAAATTAAGCAAAAAATAATTAAATAATGCATCAATGTTTATTATAATATGAAAACTCACCTTGATACCAAGTACTCCTTGCCTAAGCAGTACATGTCGTGTGGCAGTGTTGACATAGTCATTGCATGGGTCACCAGAGTGGATCATGAGGCCATCAACGAACTTCATGGACTTAGCTCTTTGTCCTCTAAGTTTGCCAGATACTACAACCTCACACCCTCTAGCCCCAGATTCCATGATGAACCTAAGCACACCATAGCATGCACGACGTACGGCGAGACCTGTAATTTAAATAGATTTTGAAGTAATTTTGCAATAATGAAAACTATTTAGTAAAAGGTAATTTATTTAATATCTCCATCATCCAAGTAAACTATCATTGAAAGGTAATAACGTTGTAAATATACAGCAAAATATTTATAAAGCATATTTTATTGTATATTACAATCATATGAATATGACATTTATTTTTAAGTGTTTCAACAAATAGTCTCAATAACTAAAGTTATGGATATCGTTCTACTACTGCAATCCTTATTTCCTTCAGAATTTTAGATTACTAGTATAGATATGTAACGTAGCATACTAACCTCCGATGAGTTTGTATCTCAGAGATTCAGCCTGAGCAATGGCGCAGAGACCTCGCGTGGCAACCTTTTCAGCATACAACTCAACAGACTGTTCGGGAATGTTGAATCTCTTCTGTACTACGGAGGTTAATTCACGGATTCTGCGTCCCTTCTCTCCCAACACGCTCTGTGTCCTGGTAGCCATAATGATGATTTCTGAACGGGTTGGCGTAACACGCACCTCCACACCGGAGTACCCATCCTCAGCAAGTTCCCGAGTAAGGAACTCGTTCAATTCAGCTTTGAAAACTCCGTCTCCGACGAACTGTAAATTACCGATAGGTTATGTTGTGGTCACATATTTCATAAATTAATACATATGTCTTCACTTGCAAACAAAACTTTATTTAATATATGCATTTACGTGAACATAGTATACTTATATAATTGTCAAACTAAGCGAAACTTAAGACAAAACATTGAATCAACGGATCACTACAATTTATCACATCCACTAACATCACGATTTGCACTAATAGTATTTAACAATTTATGGAATTAACGAATCCGTAAGATATTAAGGAATACTGAAAATCAATTATTTTTGCATTTCAAGTACGAAATTAAAACATACTTTTCGCTTTTTGGAAATGTTGTTCACCGCCATGATTGCAAAAGGAGCGGAGAAAATTCAAAAGACATGTAGAAGAGAAGCAAACGTCAATGTCAAACTTTATCGTTCGGAAACTCTAAACAATCTGTCTAAAGCTAGCTATTCACGTTTTCAAATTAAATAATCTAGCTTCATTATATTTTAAAGATTTTAATAATGATGATTTTTAAAACTCTTATTATAATGAATCTTGATGAATGAATTCATATAATAAAAATTATGAAACCATAAATATTTCTAAAAGATATTTGATTGAATATTTAAAAACAAATTAAAAAGTGCGAGTCGGACTCGCACACGAAGATGCCACGAAGGTGTTATATCATGTGATATGACACTATGTATTTTTTACATATTTCTGTAAAAGAAACAAGAGAAGCGCATATAACTATGTGTAAAAATTTTGTATGACGGGTATTTTAAAATTTGCCATCTTTTCATATATTCATATTTTAGTAATAATACTAGCCGCTTGAACTTGTGCCGAGTCCTACTTGCCGTAGCTAGCTTGATCTACGGCATCTTCAAGATTTAGATTTAGATTTTCTAGTATTCTTTGTCGTATACATACAGTATAGATGATGTAATAAGGTCCGATATAAATGCCTCCCTGAAAGTCATTTTTATTCTGAATAGCGGACACCGCTTTGAAATCATAATTCTTAGCCAATAAATGTAGTGTTTGTATGTATTGATCTATAGATCCTCCTGTGTGTTGGATGCGTGTATTCAGCTTATAGTGAGTAAAAAATATATTTGGATTTTACAAAAAAAATTTCTAACGTGTAAAGTTAAATGTAGTAGGTATGAGATGAGATGTATAATTTAATTGTAGACGTGTGATGATACGTTGTTAGCTACCTACTATTATTTGTCTTCATAGCGGCAATAGACCTCTGTGAAAATTTCAACTCTCTACCTATTACGGTTCACATATATTATGCTGCTATACAATGCATATTGTGCATGGATAAATGATACATTTTTACTACTAATGCAATGTATTACATAAATCTAATCTTTAAATTAATACGTGAAGCAAAAACTTTTACGTATGCATCGTGGTCAAGCGGCATAGGCGCAAGATTGACAATCACAGGTGTCCGGGTTCGAATCCCGGTCGGATATAAAGTTTTTACTTTTGTTTTTTTTTGTGTTTAGTTTTTTTTTTGTTTTTAAACCAAATTAAAAAGAAAATTGAACTTGTGGCCAAAAACTCCGAGCGAAGCTCGGTCGCCTAAGTACTAAGTACATAACACAACATACATAATGTATTACGTTGGTATGACTTTTTTTTAATAATTATCTGCATTCTGCCATGTTTTTAGAGCACAAATCACATTAACTAGCATGCTCTGTCGTCCAGCGTGAAAGCACTCTAGCACAGACGATAGGAGACAGAGATAGTGTCGCAGCGACAAAACTTTATAGCGAGTGCAGGCCATAAAGAAAATAAAAAATATTTTTTACTCAATGCAATTTATTACTTAAGATCTTTTCAATACATACAAACGCACCATATACTTAGCATAACAATTTACGTGGACAAATGAGTCCTAAATAAAAATAAATGTTATTTATAAAGCAAAGAAATCATTGTATGAGAGTTTATCATTTTTATGAATAAATTTCGAGTGTCAACACTCTTAAATTCTCGTGTATTTCATAAAAAGCATGTGCAGAGACATTAAATTTTAGATAACTTACATATACAGTAGAACAATAACTAATAATTGATTTAGCATTAGTTACTACAGATACTACAATAAAAGTTTTATAAGAAAATATTTTACAAGTAACAAATTCAACAACATAAATTCGTTTGAAAATAAATTTAACAAAGTTATTCTATTAAAAATTGTAACTGGCAATTCTATAAATATTGCCAGATGTAAAACTACTGCGCTGTTGCTGTTCACACGATGACCAAAATGAAATTCGTGAATGATGAATATAAGAAATTATGATTCATCCAACAACTTTTACATTATCGTTCTTATTCTACAGCGACTACGGTCCTACAAATTATTCTAGGCTATGTTTCATTGACTAATACGCTCAACAACAATTTATTATATAGATATTACCTAAACGAGACATCTCGTGGCCAAGCCCCAAGGCAATTCATACAAAATTCTTATTATTATGTGAATAATTAGAATAAAATTACAGAAGCATTAAATACGATTGTACGCGTGAAAAGCGAACATTAGGCATTAACACGCCATTGTTGTAAGCTTAATTTAAAAAAATTATACAATTCACTTATATTTTCTATAATATTTTAGCGTCCTCGTAAATGCGTCTTGAATTTGCTTACATCTAAATGGACAGGACAGTGATTATCGAAATATACAGGTGATCTTAACACTAGAAAATAAAAATCTTATTTATTTTATCCAACATTCGCTTACAATAACCTTATTTTAATGGACAGAATTGCGTGTAGCGTGCTTCCTTTAAGCGTGCGGCGATCGGTCACGATGGTATGAGTATTCATGATAAGTGCGAATGGTATTACAAGTTAAGCGTTACATCTATTGTATGATTTGCTTTTATTGTAAATAAATTATTTAATTCTAACATCTAACATGGAAACGAATGCTAACCTGTTTATCTATGACTCTTTTGAAATCAGTGGTGAGATAGCATTCCGTAGAACAAAGTCGTAACTAAAAGTTGTTAGTTTATTCGTAGATTTTAATCAGACTCTGTCCAACTTTTCACTCTAACCAGTTTGTCAAAATATTCCATCTAAAGTATATCTAAATTGAGAAGATACATTAGTTTTATTATTTGAAGGGAAATATTACTGATCTATCATAAGAATATTATAGTTTAACAGCTAGATAGAAGCGCTAACAGCCGGCTAGAGGCTTCCTAGATAGACACTACTGTGGGACGTGAGACAAGGGTTCAAGGGTCATTTGTACAATTTACTACAAGGTACTACTAGAATTTGTAACTAGTAATTTTCTAGAATATTAAAGATTTAACGTATATCCTAGCCTAGTAGCATAGGAATGGGAACGAAGGCAGAGCGATAACTTTATATTAAACTGTTCTCTCAATTTGTATTTTACAATAGTTTTGGCACAGTTTAGAAGATATATTTATTTCTAGTGTGCGGTTAAAGCCTAAATCACAGAACGGAAGGAGCGGTGCCGGTGTGGAGATGCAAAAATAGTTTTTGATATTTTACAATAAATACAAACGCGTAAAAAACTAGTCTGGCGCGAACCGGCCGTAACACAATCGTTAGCTTACATACGTACATCTAACTCCTTCTATAATATATTGACATTTTTAATTTGCGAAACGATTACACGAGGCACGTACCTTAAAAATAATTATACTTATGGAAAAGCAAACAAAAACTTAGTGATGAAAATAAATAAATATGAAAATAATATAAAAAAAAGGAAAAGAAATAAAATGCAGAGTAAGTCAATATGACCATTTAATAAAAACCAAAAAAAATGATAGAAGTTACAACAATACGATTCAATAAAATTTCATTAAGTACTTTAGCCTACCCTCCACCAAAGGAATAAAAAGGAACAAAATTATTGGAATGTTTAGAAGTCAATAACAGATAATACTCATATTACATAAAATTAATATCGATTGAATGTGAATCAGCAATAAAATAATAAAAAATAAAAATATTGCACTCTAATCTAATTAAGTACATAAAATCTTGGGTAAAATATATTAATGGACGTATGGGAGATCTGACAAATAAAAAAAAATATGTTAATATCTAATAATTAATTTTTGAATTCAATATATTACTTATGGCACTAACAACGTAAAGTGGACGATTAAAATAAAATAAAATACCATTTATACAAAAAAAAAAACATAATAAAATACTTATTTCTCGTGGAATGTCAATAATGTTAAATAATTTTCTTATATCTATATATCGCTAGCTGCCACTCGCGAACGTTTTAATTAAAACGCTAAACGTTTCCAACATTTATTTAATCTACACTATATTAATATACTGTTCTGCATTATAGACAATTTATGTTTAAAAAATAATAAAATTACAAATTTATAAGTTTAAAAAATAATTAAATAGGAAATGAATTTAAATTTAAATAATCTAAAATTTACTGTTTATTTTTGAACTATATCAGAGAACAGTACATCTCAATTGTATGTAACGAGAATCGCGAACTAACATTTTAACTACTGCTTACAAACACGTTAGCAATCCTCCCGTTACATCTAAACGAATATTCTTAAATTCAACAATCACATATAAATCTATATAAAATGGCATTTAATGGAAGCTTCACTTTCAAATAAAATATTCATATAATTTTTTTGATAAAAAAATCGTCGTTTTTAATGAGTGCAAGATAAATTTTTTATATTACATTAAATATATAATATTTTTTTTTTTACTTCACTAATGTTACTATTTAAGAATATTCGTTTTTCATAAGATTAGTAGCAGGCAACACTGAATCCTGAAAACAATACACGTCATTTTATTTGTGATGTTGGTAGAACTCACTCTATACAACTCGGAAATAAATCATTAAGAAAAATTACGGCTTTCTGAACAACAATAAAATCAAGTCATTTATTTATTATTTTTTTCTGTCAACAGTAGACAAATAAAGTCACTTGGTCAATAACAATAACTTTAAACAAACTAATTTAAATATCCAAATAATGGAAGAAAAAACCATGATCACTATTTATAGTTTCACTATTTATACTTTAGTATTAAAAACATTTTTTTTCCTGTAAAAAAGTGCATGAACATTAAGTAATAGTATTATTAATGTAATTGGTTTTTCTGTAATCATTGACAACGAAAGTGGACTGAGTGTTTCTTTATCAGCCTTAAACTAAAAATGGCGGACAGGCGCGACAGAGACAAAAGGAATGTGCGGCCAGAGGTCTTCTGTATTCATTGAAATACGATTAATTTGAAGATATAAATTTACAACCAGTGTTTTATATTACATGCACTGTTTTATATAATTTTTTACATTCCATTTGTAAATTTAAATTGGAATAAAAGACAGATATTGGTCGCGCATGATAGCTGTCTCTCTTTCTAGAGAGTGGTCAATTTCATGAGTATTGCTCAGTCCATTCTCTATGTCTACGTATGTGTGGTAACAGAGTGGCGAGTGAGTCGGGAGTGAGTCGGGAGTGAGTCGGGAGTGAGTCGGAGCGAGTCGGGGCGAGTCAGCGCGCGTGCAGGTCGCAGTGCGGCCAGGCGCAGCGCCGGCCTCAGTAGCGCTGCTGGTACTCGTGGTGCCAGCGGTTGAAGTCTATGTGGAACACCACCAGCGACCCGTTTTCTAGACCCGCCAGGAGGAACCTGTCGTGTTCAGATACATATAAATGAATGAGTGAATGAAATTAAACTTTATTCAAGTAGACCGTTGCTAGCACATATATATAAAATGACATAACCATAAATAGTGTCATTAGGATGAAAGAATGATTAGTTCAAATAAATTTCAATAGATGGGCCAAGTTCAATATTTTTTTATATGTTAAAATAGTTAAAAAAATATATCCATAAATATATATTGCAATTTAGAAGACTTTTAAACTTTCTATGGAGATCGTTTACTTTCTACCATAATAGTAGCTTATTTCTTTTTTATAACAAAACTAGCGACTCACCCTCGGTTCGTTTCGGGTTCGTCCCTAGACAAAAACAAATCTATCCCACATTTTCCACGATAAAGGTAACTTATATGCTATTCCAGACTATATATAACCTATATCTGTGCTAAATTTCATCCAGATCCGTTCAGCCGTTCTGGCGTGAAAGAGTAACAAACATTTATTCATTCTCAAAAACTTTGACATTTATAATATTAGTAGGAGTAGGATAAGTTTGTTATATTTATTTATTAGCAATTATTTACTTATCACAGAAATGAGGTTTTTTATGTATTAATATTTGTATACTGTTTTTAAACGTTATTGTTTAGCTTCATGTTTAGTTTTATGAGACTCCTATAGCCATGCTTAGATTGTCATATATAAGGATGTCAGTTCAGAACTCAACTATTATAGTTGGGTGTTTCACAAGGTCGACCTGTTTGGACGTCTTCGTCAGACGACTATATGAATAAGTAGACTGTGATACAAATGTATTAGTGTGATGTAAAACGGGGTATTTACCATGTTTGTCATTTACTTTTGAGTGTACCTGATATTTCGGCAGTGTTATAAGGGTCATGGTTACGGGTTATAGTAAAGCTTGTAACAATGCTGAAATATCTTTTTCGCCAGTTCTTCTCAGGTCTGAGGCTTTTTTTTTCCGAACTGGTAATGGACTCATGACGTTCGATAAAAAAATGATATAATTTAATCTCGTATAAAATAATTTAAATTTCGAATTTGAATTTTATCAGGAACTCCTAAGTAAGCGTTAACCATGGTACACGACAATAACGTGCGCGTGCGTGCTTGCCTCTGGTCGTGCGAGAGCGCGAGGCCGGTGACGGGCGCGCCGGCGGGCGGGAAGGCGTACAGCGGCGCCAGCGTGACGGCGCGCCACACCTCCACCACGCCCGCGTCGCCGCCGCACACCAGGTACTCGCCGCAGCGCGACAGCGCCAGGCACTGCGCACACCGACCATTGTCTCACACCGATTTATTAGGGCATACTTACTTACTTATTTCGCACTGTGTGAATAATCTTTTACTTCTGCGATTTAATTCACTATTCTCTAATCACCAAAAATATGTATTCAATTTTACAAATCGTTTATAACTGCTGAATCCTGGCTTTTGAAATGTTAGTTACTGTCAATTTTTAACTTGTCTCACATATAAGATGGTTCTCTTCACTTCATTACTTTGTGGCATTGATATCATTTCACCATTTTAAACTTTTTTTAAACTTGGGTCGAATTATGAAACTAGTATATATAGAAAGATAAATAAATATGAAAGCTTCTCCCAATAAGGTGTTTTAAAATGTAACATTTAATATATCTTTAGATTCTCACGAATATTCTATATAATATTTTACGTGAAACTATCTATTCGGATCTTTTCGATTACGATTTCCCATTCTCCCATTTCCAGCCTCTTTTGAAGAGTACAAAAAAAACAAAATAATAAAAAAATCAAAAATATTTTTTTTGAAACCGTCCGATTAGCGTGAAATGCCTCACATACATAATAATAAAATCTCAAATAGCACAAAAAAGCGATGGTGTACCTGAAAGTTATCGTTGTGGGTCTCGTGGCGCAGGCGGCGGCCGTTGAGCGTGAAGGCGGCGAGGTGGCCGCGCGCGTAGGCCACCACCACCACGCCCTCGCGCGACAGCGCCAGCTGCCGCGGGCCCGCCACGCCCTCCGCCGCCGCCAGCGACCGCAGCAGCTCGCCGAACGTCGTGTGGATCAGCACCGGCCCGTCTGCAACGTTAATATTACTGTTGATGAAGGTGGACTCGATTTTTAACCGATTTCAAAACGGAGGAGGGTCTCGATTCGATTGGTATTTTTTTTATGTATGTACCTACACCGATTACGCTGCGATTTATGATCCGATTTATGTGACTCTTCTTTAGTTTGATGCGGAATGTTTGGTGGCGTGAAAAATATTTGGTGCCATAAAAAATTATCCGCACTTAAACTTTAAGTTGGTCCGTTGTGCGTCCACAATCCAACTCCGCCCAGAAGCGCAGAAGTCAGTCAACATTACATTTAATTTCAAAATAGAACAAACCGATTAAAAGCAGTAACTGTGAGTGTACTCACTGACGGAGGAGGAGATGACGAGGCCGAGCTCGGCGGACACGAGCACGCCGTTGAGCGGCGCGTCGTGTCCCGTGAGCGTGACGCGCGGCGCCGGCGCGTCGCCCTCGCCCACGATGCCGCCGTGCCGCGCCGACCTGCGCGCCGGGACCGTGTGTATAAATATAAATGTGTTGGGACATTAACACACAGCACCATCTAGTTCCATGGTAAACTATAGCTTGTGTTATGGATACCAGATAGTTGATACACTACACGTATATAACTTTAAATATAAACACCCATGACTGGAGTACAAACATTCGTGCTCATCACACAAATGAATGCCCTCAGTGAGACGCGAACCCGCGACTGCTGGCATAACAATTAGTGTCACTACAAACTGAGCCGAACATGTTGTACTTGTTTCGGGATATATGTATATACATTTCAAATGAATTACAGAATAATCCACTAAAGCTTCATTATAATCGGATCAATGGTTTAAGAACTCGTAGAGGACAAACATACAAATATTCACTTTTTTATATAAGATAGAAGATAGATTACATAATGTTTATGAATGGCATTTTGGAAATTTCGATCACTTTCCATTAAAGGTGAACCTTTATACAATAGTGGGATGTTAATAAGCTACCAGCTAACATGAAACAACAAGCAATACATGAGTCTCACTGTTATATATAGTTTTCGTTATTGTTTAGATGAGCACACGTTTATTACAGAACCAAAAATACAACAACAATGGTATTTCGTTATTTTGTTATTAGGCAGTGTTAACCAAGTGGTAAAACGCTTGCTTAGGAAAGCAGGTGAAGCAAGTTCAAATCCCAGGTCCTCTGATACCCTTCCTCTGATATTTTCATATGTGAATCATTCCCAACATGATTATCACTCGTTTTACGGGTGACGGAAAATATCGTGGGGAAACCTATTAATTAATATCTGAAATAACCTAGTAAGTTTTCGACAGACATACTCAGCCTATCCACACTCGGCCAGCATGGTAGACTATGGCCTGATCCCCCTCGTATTGAAGGGAGGCCCGTGCCAGTAAGACGTTAAAAAGGGCTGAACGCAATGGCGTTTTACCACCGAACACTTTCGGGCAGTCAGTATTGTCTTCTCACTAAATATAACACAAACCCACCAGTGCCAGAGCAGCACGGTGCAGTCCTCGGAGCCGCTGGCGACGTAGCAGTCGGACGTGATGTTGCACTCGGAGCGCGACACGCACGTCACCACGCCGTAGTGCCCGAAGATTATCTGCACTATCTTGGCTGTGGGCCGACGGACAGACACACGTGTCATACGTAATAAAATAACAAGTATACAGTACATATGTAAAAGTTATTTAATTTAGTATTTATTTGGTTTAAATATTGTGTTGATATAAGAATGTTTATACTATTTTTAAAAGTTGAAATTTAAAAAAACAGAGGTATAATTATTAAGATTCCGTTCCCTATGTAAAACTGAGAAAAAATATATAATAAGCCTCATTATATAATAGGGTTATACTGTAATTTGCTACAAAATAGTACTAAAGCGCTTTAACTTAAAACCACCATTAAAAATGGTATTTTTTGAGAAGGCTTTTATTTGACCGCACTTTTGTCAAAATTAAAGACAATTGCCTTTTATATGGGTAATAAAAAGTATGTTATTTATGTATGTATATATATTAATAGTATTTAGTATTACTAATAGTACTATTTTATCCTGCTTTATAACGCTTAGATCTCTTTTAGTCTAAGTCAAATTCTACATTCGCAAGCTCATTTTATATATTTTATTTGTGTACTTCTTTTTGTTTTTAAGTGCAGTAACAGACCAGTCTCCGTGGAGAAGACGCGGAAGCTGTTGTCCCAGAAGCCGGCGGCGATGAGGAAGCGCGAGTCCACGGTGGTGACGAAGCAGTTGCTGCGCGCGCGCACGCGCTGCGAGAAGTTGTCGCCGAGCTGGCGCCGCGCCAGCGCCGCCGCGCCGCCCGCCGCTGCGGGGACCGTTACTCTCGAGTTATTCATTCTATACTAGCGTACGACGGGACGGTACGTTTTACCCAGGGGCAGATTGTAATATTGGGGGACCCTGGCCTAACACTTCGTGGGGGCCTTAAATGTCATTATGTCTTTATAAAATCTATAACGATAGATAGTACTAGATGAAATTAAGACAATGATATTGTTTGGTTCTTAATTGATCTCAGGGTCTTAATTTATATTATTTTCCATATATTTTTTATTTTATAAATTCACAACATTACTCATTGTTCTTGACAGGGGGCTCGTTATATCTTAGGGGCCCTGAGCTGCAGCCCAAAAAACCTGTAAATAGATCCACCCCTGGTTTTAACGGTTATTATGAATAGATAGTCGATCTCTTGTTCTGTGAAAAGCAAATCCGTTCAATCGTTCTGGCGTAGTTGAGTAACAAACATCCATCCAAGTTTTCACATTTATAATATTTATGGGACTAACGACTCACTCTCACTCGGGCGCGTCCTCGAGTGCCTAACAGTATCCTATGTGTTCCAGCTCGTGATATCAAATTTCTCCAGTTATTTTAGTATGAAGAAATAACAAGATACAAAAATGCTTCTTTAAGCATATTTGTTGATGCACGTGTACTATGAGAATGCCGTCTACAGAGGCGAGTGTACTCACCCCACACGGGGTCCATGACGAGCGGGTGGTGCGGCGCGGGGTCGGCGTGGCGCGCGGGCGCGGCGTGCGCGCAGCCGCCGCCGGCCCAGCGGTGCGCCGCGAACGCGCGCGCCGCGCTCACCTGCGTCACACCGACTTATGCTTTATTCATGTACACTTTACGACGACTTTAGAATGGTCACTTTTTATATTTTTTAAATTTAAATTAAGTCTAAGGAATCTACCTTAGGTACTGCATATCGTATTATAACTTAAGTTCTAATCTTACTAGCTTTCACTCGCGGCTTTACCGCGTACTATATTAATTTATCTTAGAAATTATAGCCTGTGTGTTCAATCTACGGTAATTATAATTATAATTTATTCATACATATACTTTTAAGATTCATTATAATATATGCAAGATTCGCTATCTAACATAATTATGAATAAATCTTTAAACCATAAATTAAGTCAATTAAAATTTCGTACATGATGAATAATTAAATTATATTCAATAATTATTTTGGTATCTATCTGAACTGTGTTAAAAACCTGTTTGATGAGTTTAATGTATACACTATACTAATATTCAGTTTCATCAAAATCCTTTCAGTACTTTTTGGGTAAAGAGTAACAAATATATGCATGTATGTACATCTATAAAACTTTTGCATTAATAATATTAGTGTAAAAATGTAAACATACGCGTATGTCACGATTTTAGTCGTTTCAAGAGTTGTTATTTAAAAAGTCAGATAAAACTTTTTATCTCCATTCTACGTGACATTAGCGAAGTAATTAATGTTTAATTGGCACGTTTTGAAATCATTAACAAGAAAATTGAATTGAATCATTCGATTTAGAATTTCAGTTATTATGTCATTAAACCGATTTACTTAAGAAGCAGATAAGACCTAAATGTTAAGAGCCTTTAACATAGACCAAAAAAGTACTAGATACACAAACCATGAACGAATTTAATTCGTTCATGACACAAACCTATACAAAAGTTCTCTTAAAACTGTCAAAAACCAATTGTGTTTAGAGAATTATTCTAGTTGAAATAAATATACAACAAAGTAAATTGAACTTCAAATGCAATATTTAAAGTTGGTTTCACAAAAAAATAATTAAAAGCGTGCTTAAATATAATGAGCGCTCATTCGGTGGGGACATTTTTTGTCACCGATTGTGTATCTAGTACATTTTTGACCGCCGGTCTGTAAGCACGCATATCCCCACCGTGACGGCGGCCGGCATCGCCAGCTGCGGGTAGGTGTTGGCGGAGACGTGCACGACGGCGGCGTTGGAGGGCAGCTTGAGGCGCAGGCACACGTCGTCGGGCGCCGCCGCGAACATGAGCGGCGCCAGGTGCATGGTGGAGGCGCGCGGCGGGTGCGGCTCGCTCAGCAGCTGCGCCGGCGTCTGCCCGAAGCTACGGATCTGGTCCTCTATCGCCGTTCTTGTTATCGGGTCCGTTATTTGGTCCAAGCGCACACCACCCTCGTATGTTAGGTAGTAGAACACGTTCGTCGCTCTCACGGCTTCCGGCCCTGAAAGAAGGGTAGCGAAAGTTTTGATTTTATTAGTGTTGGGATGATGTTTTGTTTTGATATTAAAATATTTTCCTTATAAATTTTACGTTGTTACATTATTTTTTTTGAAAAAAAATGAAAATCAGAGTAAAAAAAGTAATTTACGATACATTTTTGTAGAATATAAGCTATAAATATATACTTTAAAAATATGCTTGTATTCAATTTTGAAAATATTTTTGGCATTTATATTAAATGTCATATACAATATTAATATCAATCAATCAATCAGCCTATCGAAGTTCTTTGCTGATGAACCCTCAAAGATCGCCAACAATAATAATACATATTATATAATTCACGAAACAGAAATTAAATAATGGCCAATTAGGGAATTCTGCTTACCTCGCTGTTTGTAACCGAAGATCAAATCGATCCACTGATGCAGCTGACAGCTTACAAACTCAGACTCGAGGGCCATCCGGTTGATCCTAACAAACTCCTCGGCGGAGGACGCCCAGGGCGGCAGGATCACGTCGCCGGAAGGAGATTCTGGGATACCCAGTTTGTATCCTGAACTGTTCACTAGCATTTCCGGTAGGAAGAATAATTCTGGGATGAGTTCCTGAAAATAATATTAGCGTAGCAAAATGTTAAACTTATTGGCTTAAATATACCTAGAATAAAAGTATGCATAATATAGTTTTTTTTTAGTTTCTATAGTAAAGATTTCTATGGTTAATATTCAGATAAACGTATCTGACGATGACGCTTCATTTAAAACTATATTTTTGACAAACTTGCTATACATATCTACGTACATATGGATCAACTCAAATAATATTTGCCTTAAACGGACATAACCTTTAACATCTATGTTTACTATTGTGTACTTAATGTAACTCACTTTTACATCAGATGTGTCTCTTTGGCAATTTTTCCAAGATAGTGCGATCGATGAGAACAGACGGTTGGGATGATCAAATTTACCGCCGTGCAGGGCTAAAAACATCGTAGTCATAGGTTCCTGAAACATTTCAAATACAATATGTTTATATTTAAGAAAAATCTATAGACATTTAATCAAAAATCGAAAAATTTATTAACCGATAAAATAAAATGATATACGTATAAAATGAAATATTTTTATATTATCCACCATTTTTATTATTAACATTACATCGAGTTCCAAAAAAAAAAATTATCAGTTCTTTTACAAGTACATAATGTGGAACCTTTTTAACATTTGTAAAGAATTGCATCGAATGAAAATAGTAAATTAACTCTGACACAGCACTTCCTTTATGTCCAAAATCGGCTTCACTGTGACGGAGCTGTCACATCGAATTTTGAGTGCGTACAACATCTCGCACCGAAACGTTTCACTTCCGATATGATCTTATTAAAAACTAGCAATTGTCCGTGGTTATGTTCGGGTTTATTAACTCAATACTATCATATTTTAATGGATTATTATTATTAACGTGAGCGGTGGGTCTCGCTAACATATAAACGTACAATTTTAAATAATAATTTGTATCAATACTTGGCTAAAACATGAGTATGACATGAAAACCGCCGGGTAATTTATGGACCTTTATATTCTATCTTCATTAAAAAAAATGTCGTGTAAAATATACATAAAGAGAAAGATTCTACGTGATATGTGCAAAGTAATATGTGCTCAACTGGCACGATTTGAAGCCAATTAACAAGAGAATTGAATTGAATTCATTGAAAGAAAAGAAAAACCATACAACCGGATTGCGTGCCTTCTTCTTTATTGAAGTCAGTCAAAAACCAATTCAAAATTTCTTTTAACAATTTTATTAGATCCATACAGCTTAAAACGGTTGAAACTATTGTAATTACCAAAGCGCGCACATGCGGAGTCGTACGCAATTACCGTAAATAATAATAATTATTAAAGAACTTCAAAACAAAACTATATACCTAACAAATATGATATCTCGCAAATTTTCTCGATTCACTTATTTAACTTAGTTATTCCTTTTAGACAATACTTATATATAAGTAAATAACAATTAGGTATAAATGTAACATTAATTTAAACTTAACATACAAAATTATTCAAACAATATTGCTACATTGCTATAAAATCCAAAAACGGCAACACTTTTAAGTTTTACTTCGCCGTCACAATGAATTTTCTTACCATGTGCATCTGTTCGCTCGCATCGTCCCCTACACCGCGATTGTTTTGACGCGTGCCGTGCTCTCTAGCTAATGTGTCTCGTAATTCACCACGACTGAACTACGTTTATACAGTCTTGTAAAGTATGCTTTGATAGTTTAAATGTAGCGCAATGTTGTATGAAGAAGGAATTTACATGGCGACAATATGAAAAACGAGGTGTTAGAATCGAATTGTAAGCTTTGGACTCTCGCGATAAATTGTATATTGTAGAGTGTTTAAATGGTAAACTGTGAATTTATCCCCGGGTCTCGCACCTCTGATATTTTCATGTAGGAAGGCAAATGCCTTACGGTGAAGGAAAATATCGTGAGAAAACCTGTATATTTGAGGGAACCTAGTAGCATAGCTAGAAATGATTTTACAGTGTTTTCATTATAACTTAGTACTTATTTTACAATTAGAAATGTTATATTTCATTTGAGTTTTACATTGAGTGCATATAAAATGACGTAGAGAACACGAGAAGATATTATGATTATCACAATAGAAAATATAACTAACTATACATTCACAGATAGACGATCACTTATATGGACAAAATAAATTCATTATTATAATACTGCGCTTACATATATCTATTTAATATTCTCTTTCAGGCGTAAGCACTGAAACGATTTAAGAGTTACAGCTCTAGCTCTATATATGGTCTAAGGATCTACTTCACGTAAGCTTCCTATCTATACGGTACTACATATATTACGAGTGAATAATAGACAGTCTTAGGACTATACTGTACATAGGTTTTTTTTAAGTTGCTGGAAGTTTGGAAAAACGCAAATTTCTTGTAAAATATGTGGTTGAAGCTACTTATAGTAGCATAAGTATCAAATTGTTAGTAGCACACGTGTCGAATTATACCTAAACTAATATAAATAAATAAATACGTTGGGACATTAACACACAACACAATCTAGTTCCGTGGGAAGCTACGAGGTTTGTGTTATGGATACCAGATAGTTGATACACTACACATATATAACTTTAAATACATACATATTATAAATATAAACACCCACGACTGGAGTAAAAACCTTCGTCATCATACAAATGAATGCCCCCAGCGGGACTCGAACCCGCGACCGCTGGCACAGAAAGTAGGGTCACTACAAACTGAGCCAAACGTGTCGTCAAATATTTACATGCATTTTCATCATACTAATCCTTAGTTCCGTTGTTCGCGACATAGGTATATCATGTTAATTGTTTCATATTTAAGGATAATTTAGAAAAAGCTATAAATCCAAGCTTTTTGTAGCGACTGTCTCGTCGCAGGGTGGTGTGAGATGAACGAATGTTGCGTGTATTGCGCATAAATCATGCCCGCACACTTCATTACGCTTTTAATTTTACGATGCACGCGAATGTGCGGAGCGAGTGTGAGCGGATACTGCTATACTAGCAGTCTGCTCCGGCTTCGTTCGCTTTGCCCACATATACATATATAAACCCCGCATCGTCTCTATATATACGTTAGTCATTTTCGTAAAAAAATTGAAACAAAATACTAGACGTAAATATACGTATACGACGTAAATACATCAATGAAAGATTGATTAAAACTTAGACAAACTAATACACATTTTTTGTATCTTATAACATACTAGCATTGTCCGCGGCTCCGCCCGCGATCCGATGACCAAAAACCAAATTCTTAGGTTATACATATTAGTATACTCGTACATTGCAATTTTTGTATTTTTTCTCAGAAATGAGATATTTTCCTAGGGTAAGAAGTATCCTATATGTTAATCCGGATAACCAGCTATCATCATACCAAATTTCATTAAAATCCCTTCTGTGGTTTTTCTGTGATGGGGTAACAGACAGACGGACAGACAAAAATTGTAAAAACTATAGATTCGGCCTCTGTATCGATAATAAAGTCTATTTGAATAAGATTTTCCAAAAAACATTTAATGCACAGATTCCGCTAAGATACAATTTTATTATATGTATAGATTAAGTTAATTTCTCTGTGCAGCTTCACCAGCGTGAAATTTTCTAAAGAAAAATGTAAGCATTTTATTATTATAATCTATATTATTATTCTATGGGAGCTGGTAAAATGGAAAAAATATTTGATTTTAATCCAGACTTAACAAATATTTTTACATAATAATTTATATTTGTAAAATTAGTTCAGAGAGACTAATAGAAGAGTATGATAAAGTATTCATTCTCCATATTTTCGACCCTTTAACATATTTTATGTTATAATATTGTCATCCATTTTATATATCTTCAGTTACAGAAAAATCAAATCCTTTTATGTTGATATAATAAGTCTGTAGATCCTGATAATGTTTAGATTAAAGTTTAAGTAAACAGATTTGTGGTTTATAATCTCAACGTAGCATTAATGTTCTTATGTGATAGCAGTTTCTTGTCTTGCTTACATAAATGGGAATATGCATCATTTAAATATAGAAATATTTTTGCTAAGCTAAGTAAAATTTAATAATTCCCTAGATTCATGTGAATATTTGACACTTTAAATAAAACTCTTTTATGGGAGAGTCTTTCTCGTCCATGATTGCTGTAAAGCATTCGAAATGTCGGGAACAAAAAACAAAATGAATCCGAAAAAAATCCAAAATGATAGTTTTATTTAAGTAGAATATATTATTATTATAATACGTAGGATTCTAATTAGTAAATTCAAATACAATTCAAATTAAACATATTTTTTTGTCTGTTTTTGAATCATATTTCTGTGGACCATTTATTATTGCCAATTTATTTAAATGGGCAATAATGCAATATTTATTACTTGGGAAATAGACAGGGAGAAGAGATTTAAATTATACGCAAATAGCTATTATCGTGTAGTTAGGACTGTTACGTATAACTGTTTTCGTTATGCACTGAGGATATTTTTTGACTTTTGAGATATATGTATGTTCTCTTAGTAATCGACGACGCGGTCAAAATGTAGTTTAAAATATTCAATGGATCGATAAAATTAATCAGCGGTTTTCGTGAAAGGTATGGAAAAACCTTACCAACTATTTTTTATAAGGGGTTTCTTCAATTTAATTATTATATAGTCCACTTATATTGGTAATGAGATATTTGCGGTTTCTTACAGTTTAAATTTTGGCTTTATCGCTAATTTGATACATATAATTACTAAATGATTTAAGAGCAAATGTACTTTTCATTGTATTATTAGAAATAATACTTTTAACACTGTGTTACTCTATTGAACGCATTTACTGTAGCAATCTATGTATTACAATACAATAGTATTAGTTATTTAAGTAAAAAGGTTTAAGTATAATGGAAGATATGTCATATTTGGTATTTGTTATTTTTGGTTTTTAAATTGCAATTCACGAAATCGCAGAAAAACGCTTATTTTTAACGAAATTTAAAAAAAGGGGAGGGTACATTTTTTAAGTATACGTTTTTCTGTGTGTGTATATATGTACTTGAAACGAATATTGTTGACCAATTCTAATTAATCATTAGTGAATAACTAAACTTCAAGGCTTATAAATATACAGTATGTTAAAAAGTACATGTAAGCTTATATAAAACGCTAGCACAGCGTCTCTACAACCCTCAGTCACCTTAACGGCGCATCGGAGTGCTTTATTAAGACAATCCAGTTCTAAATCCGGCAAAATTGCTCTGAAATCATTAGACGGCCAAAAGGAAATGTAAGTGCTAAATAATTAACACTTTATATTAAGCTAATATTTATTTCAGTCACATTACTTATGTATGATATCTGTACTGTTTGTGGGTGATAGCGAAGTAAACATATACCTACATAGATACATATATTTACTATGTATTTATACTATGTATTTATTTTATTTTATTTTTTTCTTAATTAGTGATATTTAATTAATTACATTATTTCTACTAAAAGTGTAAAGTGTACATCTACTTCTAAAAACTAAACTCATATATGTGTAATATTTTAATTTATTATTATTACTTCAGCACTTTTAACGTCCCACTGCTGGGCAACCTCCATTCGATGCGAGATCAGTCCACAATTCACCACGCTGAACAAATGTCTTGCGACTCTAATTAGGTTCTCTCAGACATGCATTTCCTCACGATGTTTTGGTTCATCGTAAGACTAGTGAAGTGGTGTGTTACCATTTGAGTACTACTAACAATATTTGTATATTAAAAAAAAAACCTCATTCAAACAATAAAGCTTATCATGTGCTTTTTGTGTATAACCGTCTTAATAATAAAAAAAACATAAAAATTACTTACAATTCGAACTAGCCAGTTGAGTACGAAGGCTGCCGTAGAATAATGGGTTCCGTAGTGGAAAGGTGGCGTGGACTCGTGCTCCCACGTGTTGTAGCGCTCCTCAAAGTAAGCCCGACGACTCGGGTTAAGAGCACCTATTGGCTATTGAATAATAATAAAATAAGTAATTATAGTAGAAAAAAGCTATCCTATTAGTGTTGAAGCTACAACTACGTCTTGTCAGTACTTATTTGTCCAAATGACCAATTTATCAAAATAGTTTTTAATACAGAATTTAAATATTATACTCTATTGGTTTAAAATACACATTTTACATTAATAAAGCTGAAAACTTGTATTTTATGTATATATATATATATATATATATATATATATATATATATATATATATATATATATATGTTTATTGTATTCAGCCCATTTTAATGTCCCACAGCTGAACACGGGCCTCCCTTCAATACGAGTGGGACTTTGTTGGGATTTTGTTGAGTTGGCGGACTTCACATGTCTTTCGAAAACTTGCCAGGTTCTCTCAGACATGCAGGTTTCCTCACGATGTTTTTAAATTGTGTCAATAAATCTTTATTTTTAAAATAGAGGAATAAAACTGTCTACTGTAAACAACAACAAGTACCTATTGGTCGTTTGTACAAATAAGCACTAAGACGACGAATTTAAGTTTTATTAAATAATTATTCCAGCGATTACAGTAGTTAGTGAAAAACCTACTTTCTCTTTTGCTTCTATTTATATGGCATTAGACTTTATTTTTATGAAAGAACTTTGGCACCTCATTCATTTATTTACACTTTCTCTATTTTAAAAGCGTAACATAAAAGTGGACCTTCTGAAAGATATTTCTAAAATTAAAAAAAATATTACTGTTCTTAGTAAATATCCAACACTACTTATAAAAATAAAATAAGCCATTAAAGAAAAAAGGATGTCAAAATTAGTTAATTAATATGTGTGTAGGTTTCATATCCTCTTGAAGTATTGAATTTATTCAAAAATTATTTCATTACTAGAAAGTTCAATTTTACCTGTGAGACAATGGAATACAGTTTTTATAATACAAAGTAAGATACCTTTGACAGATCCCTATAGTTGGAGGGTTGACTAAGATCAAGCTCTTCGCTCTCATAGTTGGTGAGCACCCAAGGGAACACCGGGTACTGGTTGAGGTCATTGTACGTGCGACCTGCAAACAAATATGAGAAGATAAATAATTGTATATGTACATACGTGAAGTTGAAAGACTGAAACACCCATTGTGTGCAAAAATCGGCTACAATGTGTTGTGGCTAACACAAAATGACCATCATATGAAATTCGTAACGTAGCGCTGATGATTTTAAAACAAAACTAGTTCTGTTCAGCATTGATGCAGTCTGAACATTAGCTATATTGTTTCTGCGATGCATTGTGTAAAATCAAAACTCGTTGGTAGATTAGATGTGGCTCATGGTTAGACGCTTTAGCCTTATCGTTAGGTCTTTTTGCTGCATATTTAACATTCCGAATGCCTTATGATATATTAAAATCTCATTTTATGGTATGCCTAAAGAAAAAATAGTAATTTGAAAACTCAAATAGGTATCTTTTAAAATCAATTTTTCAACTTCTTATATTTATTATGCGTATGTCGCATTGAGTGACGCACAATAGAGATAATATGTAGTGTATGAATAGTTTAACCGACTGGTTAACAAAACAACGTTAATTCCCTATACAATTGCAATGCTGCATCGAAGCTGAGGCGTGTGCATTCACGTCACTGTTATTAAACTAAATATACACCGAGATGGTACAAGTATGTTGTAAATTACAAGATTACTCGTACATAGAAGACATTTTAGTATATAGTCCCTAGTAAATAACGCTAAATACCTTTATATATATTTTATATTAAGAGTAGTAGTTTGCGGAATTTTCACTGAATGTAAGGAATTTGTTTAGAAATAATCTGGATATTTATAAATACCGTATATATAATATATAAAGTCGCTTGCTTAGCCGATATGTCAATACTCTGGCCAAAAAGCCAGGAAAAATATTTTTCGGATGCCAGATTAAAAAAAAGGAGCCAGACGAAGCCGGAGCCGACTGCAAGTAGCAAGTTGATATATAGGTAGTCGTACATAAAATGAAATCCTACTGTAGCTTGTTTACAAAGGTCAGGAGAAAGTTCTTAAAACGATAACCTTTGCATGGAAATATTGATATGATTTGCACTTTTGTTGATTATCTAAGTAGGCGTACTATTGCAGTGAAGTGCCACCGTGAAAGTTATAGCGGTTATAATAAATAAGTGATAGTTATTTAAGCCAAAACGATATCACGACATTTGTAAATAAACAAAAAAATTGCTACAATGGTCTATCGGTTTGCGTTTTGCGAAAACTACATTATTTAACGAATCATATGAGCTTTTGAAATGGTTTATAGGTTATGTTTTTATTTTAAATTCTTGTAAACTTAATTTTCTTGTTTTTCTATTTGCAAATATGATGTCTAGACTATCTAATTTAGCTTAGATTGGATGAATGAAAATAGATGAACATTCAGATATCAATATAAAATAAATCAGTTTTAAAGTACAAAAAAATAAATAAAAAATTAACACTAATTTCATAGCAACCTCTTGCACTTTGACCGGCACGAGATATTTACTGTTAGTTAAATAATGGCCACTTATCATCCAATGTCCCACTGTCCATTGTACTTTTCACGTGACCGCGTCTACTTTTCCCACTGAGACCGACGAAGCATTCATCCATCGAGTGCCTACTTTCGCAGTCGTATCAACCACGCCTTTAACAGCTTATTTATACAAAAAATCAACAATTAAAAAAGAGTGCAAGTGAGAGTATCCGAACGAAAGTGAAATTCAAACACAGACTATGGTTTCGTAATAGGGATGACGTTTGTTTTACGCGGGAAAATAAACATTACACTATCTGTGCCCAGTGTCAAAAATAACTAAACTAAATTGTGACATGCGAAGATTTCGGATAGTGGAAATGTTGAAAAGGTAAGATGAACCAAAAACAAAACTAAAAACGTGCTTTTTAGTGATATTATTATTTAACAAGAGATGAGCTTTATAGTGGATATGTAAAACTTAGTGTAGAGGTGTAAGACAGTTTGTTTTGTGATGTTATTTATAATCATTGTTTAAAATAGATTTTTCTTCACGCAATAGTCTCAAGCTTTAGTGTCAGTAACCTTCATTAGTTGTTAGAACATTGATAGCAGCTGCTAATTATAGCCGTATCTTCGGACAAAATAATTGTTAAATATAATTAATAATGAGTAATAAGTATATAGAAACTTCCACTATATAAAAAAGAGAAATAATACAAATCATTGTTGCTAATATAGTTTAAAAATATTAACTTATTGTTAAATAACTTATGCTAAAAAATTTCGAAAGTGCATCGTATAAAATGCAAATTATAAAAACATTTGATGGTAGGTATTTTAAACGGAACCTACTTTAAACGGAATTAATTTGATATTAAATATTTTTCTTCCCAATCTTCTTCATGTCTTCTCCGTCTTACGTGTCATTGGCGAAGTAATCTGTGCTCAACTGGCACGCTTTGAAACCATTAACAAGAAAATTGAATATTATTCTTATTATATGTTTGGCTTATATTGTTTTGGAGTTAAGTTTTAGAAGATATATAAATTTGTTATGTTCTTTATTATTAAAATTAGTTTTTAATATAAATATTCCTAAAACTAAGTACTTTTTATTTTATTTCTCTATTAACTTGAACTATTATCAAGATATTTTACGTTCGTCGGCTTAATTTATATCAATAAATATATTGCAATGAAAAAATGTAGCGATTTCACATGAATGGCCTTGAAAGCCATATTTCCGAGGTCTTGGCGGGAAGCAAATAGACCACAACGAATCGTTAGGAAACTCGTGAAGAAATGGCACGATGCTTATGAAACTATAAATTGCGGATCGAGAGCAAATTATAGCTATAAACTTATTGTGTAAAATCCATCATTTGTAGTTAAAGAGTATAGTCGGAGACGTACACGTACCTACCTACTTGTCCAGAACGTGTTTCTAAGTATTATTTTTACCACATTTATATGGACGGGAATACTTCATGTCGTAAATGTAGCATACTTCATACTATAAACTACATTTATCGAACAAGTCACCTTGTTTCGCTCCGATGTTGAGCGAGAGAAAGACAAACAAACAAACAAATTCTTTCGCTTTAATAATAATATACGAAGAAACACACGATATAATGCTTCTGTTATAGTTGTATTAGGAAATCGATAGTATTCTTCCCTTTCTTACAATTCCTTAAGAGAGTTACATAAAAACTGTTTACGTTCGAGCGTCGTGTTGTCGGTACAATTAGCACATTACGTGCGCGGATGACAAAATGTCGAGTTCCTCATTAATATCGCAAATTATCCTCACAATTGTCGATACATTTTGGATGATTGATGATTCTTGGTGTCCACTATTTTTAGATAATCAATGAGTTCAAAAGTTATATAATGTCATGAGGCCATTTGTTATTTAGGTGATCAAACCTCTGATTAATTTTGTTTGAACCAACTAATGTTACTATTGTAGTATGGAGATGCACACGTAACGGTTTTGCAAGTTGCAACCTCTATGAAGAAAGTTATTTATTTTCTTAACTTCCTAATTTTCCCATATAGCTTGGTCTACTGACGTTGCTGTTGTTTGTTGTTTTAGGCTAAGTTCTGATTCTGGCTAAGTATAGCTACTGAGGGATCTTGCAATAAATCAATATATAAATAAGCTAACAAAACATTAATTAAAAATGACCTTAAATAGTAATTATAAAAATGACAGTAATACTACAAAAAATTGCAGTCATATTTATTTACTGTATTTACCTATTAAAATTACGTTCCGGAGGTGCATTGTTATCTTTGTAATAGATAGCGTTATATTTCAAAGGAAGGATAAATTTTTAACCAAGGATTCTCAGCACACGCAAATTATCAATTACTGTCAATTTCATCAAACGAAATGCGGGAAAAGCTATTAAAATAAGATCGTACAGTGGTCGATACAGGCGCGACCCTCAAATTGTTAATATTTATTAAAATTATGAGGGAACTGACTTAAGTATAAAATTTAACCAATTTTTAGTGCTATTTTTATGAATTTTAAAATCTAAGCTGAATTATTCTTATGTCGAGGAAATTACTTACGATTTAAGAACGATCTCTGAAAGATGTAAAGAGTTATGATAAAAGTGTTCTTTACTTTTATAATGATAAGATTTCGATCGCTTCTGACGTCAGCATGGCAGAATTGAGTTTTTAGATATAATCATCTTGTTGATCTAGTTGCTAGTTTATGGTTGCAGATTGTGAGGTCTGGAATTCTCAGCAGTCCGGTATTAGAAAGATGGTGTTGTTATACCCTAAGTGGAAGAGCACATAAAGCACGTTGATTTTCATTCGATGTAAGAGTAACGAAATAGAAAATGTACATGTCGCTTTGTTGTAGATAGTCTTGTGAAAGATGTGCTAGTAAAATTAGCCGTCGAAACCAATTTTGATCTAGAGTTAGCTAAAACTTATTCTAAATTCCTTGACTATAATATAAGATGTAAATGAAATTGTCGCAGATTTTTTATATCGCCGTCAATAACAAGTAATGATTAGTGATTGATTACATAAAAAAGAAGCAATAACAATATATAATAGATCATATATAATATAAAATAATCATTGCTAATGTTGAAAACTTTAATAATAATAATTTCGCTATATGATTTTATGTATTCCAGTAAATATTAAGTACTGCTCTCATTTTACATTTCAATTTAAATAAAACACATAACTAATGAAATTTAAAGAGATAATTTTCGGGTTCAAGGATGGCTGATAATTATCGTCCATCCCCATTTTCACTCCCTTAAGGGATGATTTCCGCGATAAAAAGTATCCTATGTCCTTCCCAGGGTCTCAAACTATCTTCTTGCCAAATTTCATCTTAATCGGTTCAGTTCAGTAGATACCATTTTAAATGGCTTTCTTGAGTGTAATAATAGATTGATAACGCAAGCGACACCGGTTTATTGGAAGATGAGCTTATCAATTGCATTGACTTAATTCAATTGATCACTGGCTCACCCTGCTGGTTATATGCAAATGTTGCAGTCCGTATCGCTGTGT